TGATATAAGATGGTCTTAGACATTACAGATAATATATGATATTTAAATCATAAATCATCATGTCATCTGTTTTATTGGCATATGTAGCTAAACTTTATTAAAATATTATTTAAGCCAAGAATTTCTCAAGAAGTACTAGGTTTACTAACTTTTTCCCTGTCTCTTTGGCCAAAAGCCTAGATGCCTTATGTTTCTAATATATCATGCTGCATCTAGTACATGGTGGAAGTTGAGTCAAGTGGAAACAAAAAGAAGCTCCTATTTTCAGGTGAAATCTACTCGCACCAAATTGACATCTTCTCTTTCCTGCTTGCCAAGGACACAGAAAATGCAGTGTATGGGCCCAGTGCCAGGTCACTTAAAAAGGGTGAAGTCACTGGGAGAAATTGGTGCCTTTCTCTAAAGAATGTGTGCAGTTGTTAGATGTACTGGGACTCCTAAAATGGGTGGGACAGTGCAATGCTAGGTGGGTGTTACTGCTTGTTTTGAATGGCTGGTTGTGAGAAAGTATCTCACAGGCAGTGCATTATGCTGTCATTTCCACAGGGAAATAAACTTGGGCTTCAAAAGTCAAATTTCAGAGGTGATTACATATGACAAGAGATTCTGCTTTGTTTTCTAATTTGAAAAGAAAATGACATCCTCCTCTGGACTTTCCCTCTCTCTGGAGCAAAGGTAGGGCGTGGGGACATGTGAAGAGTGGCCAAGGGGGTTTGTGAGCCAGCTGGCTTCCCTGCTCATGTGACTGCATAGCTCTCCTTCCTGAGGCGTGGTGATGCCACGTGGCATGTTGTTGTTGTTTTTTCTTTTTTAAAGGAAAATAAGCATTAGCCAGTCCAATCTCATCATTTTTTCTGGAACTACTGGTTGTGATTCAGATCTTTGTTCTTGCCTTCATGCCCCCTCCAGGTTGTTGGGTTCTTTTCAGCATAAGACAAGACTTCCAATTGGCATGTACTCGCTGGCCACAGTTGTATGGGCCAGAGGTCGATTCTTGACCCAACACAAAGTAATCGAAGTTGTGCCGTGACATTTAAGAGGAGGAAGTGAGCCAGACAAAGTAGATTTCCCTGCCCGGCACTTTAATTAGACAGTCTGAGTGGGGTGATGGTGAGCTGTGTGCTCAAGTACTTAGGATTCTGTCTGAGATAAGCATGCTTCATAAAGGCTGATTGCAAGGTTAGAAGGATGTGCTGAAGGGAGGGAAGGCACAGAAGGAAGCTGACAAACTTGAGACAGAAACCTGAGCCTCGGAGGTTTCTAGCCCACTATTCGCTTTTCCTGAGAGCTGATCATCACACTTTTCCTTGATTCCAGTGTAGAAGGAGCTTTTCATAGCGCCCTCGCTGTTCCTCCCCTCCCCTGGAGATTCAAGTGCCATCTTTGGAGTCTGGCAGACTTTAACTAGATTCATTTAGACCCTTAGTCTCCTTCCTATAAATGGTTCTCTCAGCATATGTTATATAGTACTTTTAAAATAAATTATATTCACTATTGATTTATAATACTGTATGAGTTTAGGACGTATAGCTTCAAAACTTGACAAATGTATACACCACACTTACCCCATTCTAGTGCCATCCACCGTTATCAAGTGGACCACCTCTATCCATTTCCTCCAACCTTCTTTCCCTCCCCCTCAGATAACCAGCACATTGTTCTCAGCCTCAGATTACTTTTGTTGTGCTCTGTCAGTTCACTTGCTAGGTAGTCTACAATCCATGTGTGGCTAAAATACTTCACAAGTGAAACAGTCCACATGAGTGTAATATTTGGGCAGTAAATAAAGTATGTCTTTCTTATTCCTATTCACTTAGCATAATCACCTGGCATTCCATACATATTGGATGAAAGATATTTCATCTCTTTTTTAAATTAGATTGCCAGACACATTTTTGGTTGAAAAATATACAAAAATATGACATGACTTTACTAACAACCCAATAATAACTGAGAGATACTACATTGATTTTATTTACACCATAACCTATTGATCCATTTATTTGTCAATAAGTTTTTAAGTTATTTCCATGTCTTGGCCATTGGGCTAGTACTATAATTAACAGGGGAGCAGATATTTTTTTCAAGTTGGTATTTTCAGTCTGTGGATAAGTACCTCGGCATGGGGTTGCGGAGTCATGTGATTTTCAGTAATCTCCATACAATTTCCATAGAGGCTGCACCCAGTATACTCTCTCACCAGCATTTGTACTCAGTCTCTCATGTAGGCTCTTTTCACAGGTGAGGGGTGATACTGGTTTAGATTTGCATTTCCCTAACAAGTGATGCTGAGCATTATTCATGTGCCATTTGGTCACCTGTATGTAATTTTTGGAAAAGTTTTTACTCAGATCTCCTGCCCATTTTCTTACTGGGTTATATACTCTTTTTGTCATTGAGTTGTAGGAGTTATTTTTCTGTTTTGGATATTAGCCCCTTGTCAAATGTGCAAATGCCTTTTCTCAATCAGCTGGCTGCTTTTTCCATTATGGGTTTTTTTTTTTCTTTCACTGTGCAGGTTTTAGTTTGATGTGTCTCATTTGTTTGTTTGTGCTGTTGTTTCTGTTTGAGTCAAGTCCCTGAGCATCTTGATGTCCAGACGTGTATCATCTATGTTTTCTAATATTTACTTTTGGCACATTATAAAGCTTGGCACTATCCTGACAAGTGGTCTCCTTGAACCACTTTGTTATTCTAAGGTGAACACATAGCAGATCTTTAACTTTTCAAAGAACCAAACCTTATTTTCATGCCGCATCTTGTAGTAGGGAGGTAGCACCTTTTATAGATTCCCAGTTCAAACCTTTCATGACAATCTAAATCATGCCTTTGTTCAGCTAAAAAACCTATTCACTGTCTTAGTTACTTTAAAAGTCAAGTTCAAAGAGTCACTTGAAGCTCCTATCTCTACATATACATTTTAGCATATACTAAGAAGTGAAATCCCTTCCTAAGGTTGCATTTGATCTAGAAATTATACTTCCTGCCCTTGTCTTGTTTCTGTGCTGTATTACTGTGTGAAGGATTCATAGCAAGAGGAATGTACACCACCAGGTGCCTGTGTGTGGTGGGAACACACATCATGTTTGCAGGGGTTAGAGGACAGCTGGTAACCTGTGAATGAATGGGCTCGGACAGATGGGGGTTCTGTTATCTACACATTCAAAGGACTGGTGGACATTTTGAGTGTCTGAAAGTGATTAAAACAACTTCAAAATTGCTGTCACCTGGTGTTGGAACAAATGCCAGCTACCGTGAATCAAAGGGCAAATACCTTGATGTAGAAAATCTGTTAATATTAAAGGTTAGTTAATATTAAAGTCCAATAATCTTTCATTTAATAACTGATCATGTGTGTCTCAAGAGAAACATGAGAAATCAGTTGGAGTAAGCATTGCACTGATGTTATATGTGAACAAGGTACTAATTTATGCAGTGGGGAGATGAAATGATGAAAATAGTGATCTATCAATGTAGCTCTTTGTCACTTGTATGTAGTATGTAATGAAGGTGATCTGTGATGGTTGGTTGCACTGAGATTACGGAACATGTTCTTAGAGACAATTACCTTCTTATATTGATATGGGAGGTACTCTGTGTTAATGAGGGAGGTATGGTTCCCTCCCTCTTAGCAATTTAGAAACAAGGCAGTGATGACCAGAGTGTGAATGGACTGCCTATAGAAAAATATCATTTAAATAAAATTAATATAACCACCTGAATTTAGAGCTAATTTCCTTTCCTTCCATACTGTGAAATAACCAGAAGTGAAACTTACCCAAACTGGTCACATTACAGATCATAAAAGTTTGGAAATAAGAATTTAAAAATCAGTAGAATGAACAAAGGAAACAAGGACTGTTTTTTTTTCCTTTGTTTTAATCTTTTCAGCTACAAAAAAGTTAAGTGAATGAAACCCTATGGGGAGACAAAACAGTTTATGGAATGACCCCAAGAGATTCTTCTTGCCCTCTGGGTAAGGTGAGGTCAGCAAAGGGAGGAAGCACATAATGCCTCCTGGCTCTGCCAGGCATGACAGTGACAGGCGTGAGGGGGCTGAAGGTGGATGTTTATAACTGAAGTTGGTCACTTATAATCTCATTTGGAGGTGATTTCTAGAAAGTCAGAAACAAGACCTTTCATTACAGTTTGATTCAAGTGAATCTTAATAATGTTTGACTAAGCCTGTTGTAGATGATGTGCAGTGACTAAGGAAAAAATTGAACAGAAGCGAAGGGCTATATATCCTTTTGGTTACTGATTTTTTTTAAAGATCTATTGATGCATAATTGGGGTGTAGGCCAGAGATGCAGGGAATGGGGTTTAGAGGACTCACTAGAGACAGTGAGGAGCAGAACAGGAAAATGTACTGAAGTACGCTGCTGAGGGGAGAAAGGCAGGCAAGGTCTGCTGTGCCATGTGGGTCAGCTCCCTGGCTGGGGTTAGCTCAAGCTGCAATGGAGGGCTTGAACTCTTGCTACAGTGGCTGGCACTAGCTTGAAAGCTGTGTCTTTAACCCTAGCACCACCAGGGAGACCCCTGGCTAATGCTTCTGATGCTGAACAACTGAGATTAGAAAGTTGCATTTAATATTGAATAATGAGTCAATAGGGAATTGTCAGTACTATATGTATAACAGAACAACAAAGTACAGTATAGGACGAGCAAAAAGAGATTAGAAGACAACCTTATGAATTGATCAATAAACCTTGGGGAGAAGTCCAAACATCTTGCTACTTAATTAGAACAGTGATAAAATTTATTGACACAGCTGTTCCACTTAATGGAAACTCCTCTGGAACCTATATATTAAAGTCATGATGTGCATGATGGAGGCAACTGTGAAGCAGAATTAAGATGAGATCATTTATTGTCTTGGCGACTGTTCTGGATTTATATCTATTGATCCGTCTTGGTTGATACCCAATGGTAATATAAATGAAAGAATAATCACCCTCTTTAACTGAGCAAATAAAGAGTAATTTATTATACAATACCAAACCAATATATTTTCACAGTAAAATAAACACAGCACAGAAAGTAGAGAGACTACATTATAGCTGTAGGCACAGGGTTAGTGGTAAAACTATCAATGGGTAAGTAACCTATTGTTTACTACCTACCATGGGCCAGATGCTTGTATTAAGTGCCAAGGTCACAGAGACAAACAAGACATGGTCCCAGATCTCAAGGATCCATTACTTAGATTTGTCTTCTGGTATCTGATACAGGGCTGGCTGACTGAAATAGGTGGTGAGTGGCAGTGTAAAAGGAGAGCACAGGCCTTTCAGAGGAATGTCTTTCCTAGTGATAACTTGATGTTTTAACATTTGGCTAGTTAAATGTAAATTATAAACTTTGATTTTGTTGAGCTGGTCTTTTATAGTGATGTATCTCCTTAGTATGTATTTCCAGATGAATCACTTCTGTACTTAATAGATACTATACGTAAATGAACAACTAGAACAATAACCTGACTTGAGTTACTTAATGATGACTAAAAAGAATTTAAAAGTTATAAGGGAGCCAGCAACCACCTGAGTGTAAGAAGGGTGGATGTGACTCGTGGTAGTGAGGTTTCTGCTGCCACTGTCTATACAGCAGTGTACCCTACAGATATTATGAGTGCTTATTTCTATGGGTAAATCCACATTTCTCAGTGAGAATGAGGTAACCGGTAACATGTCATGTAAATTCCTCTCTATGCTCCTATAAAACAGGTGCATGCCAGCAATACATGGAAGTACTATATTGCTAATACATCCATCTACTAGTTACTGCTTCCTAAAAGCTAAATAGAGCAAAATTAGTAAGCAGTTTTCTCTCAATGACACTTTAAGCTAAATAACAGGATATTTTCACCACTATGGAGTGAAAATTTTTATTTTATTCTACATATGTCCCTTACAAATGACTACTGGTTTTCCAACAGTGAATATAAAATTCAGTAGGCTAAACACATCTTTGTGGAGGGAGCATACATTCTTTTTCCATGAATCAGAGTGCTTCAAATGGACATGGATTCTCAGATGAAAACTTTTGATAACTAGAACTTTTGTTCTATTGAACTCACATTCTGCTAATTGTATTGAACTCTTAATATGCACCTTAAAATTGGAGCAGGACCAAAAGCTAGAAAGTTTAGAGTAACATTAGGATATACTTTACAGGCACAGTAAATTAAAGCAGGAACAAATTCTACACACATATAACATAACTGAGCATACCTGGTAAAAGTACACTGTCACCTAGAAATACACATATATAAGTAGTTACATACAGAGGCATGTGTGTGTATAGTCTGCAGAATAAGGCCACTTGCTTATGATCCTGAATCCTGAATAACAGCATTTTAGGGCTCAGGATCATTACCAAATGTAAAGATGAATTAAATTCTGGAGCTAATTACTGTTTGGACGTAGCTCTTCTCAAATACCTAAGCTTTTTTCATAATCTTTCTAGTTAACATCATGGCTTTACAGAACTATGTATGTGATTATTTCTTAGTGGCAGGAAGCAATTTAGATGGAAAAAAGGGAACATTTCCATACAGTAAATAAGTTTGAAGTGTCCAATTTTCTAACTGATAAGAACTGTTTTCTTCCAACATCATTTTGAGACATCAGCAAAAAGGAAAATATATTCTGACAAATAAGTATTATATTTGTCATTGTAGCTTCTATGCCTGAAATGATGAGAAAACTAGCTGGTGACTTGCTATTTCAAGTAGCATGTTTTAATACAGCCTGCTATCCTTAAAGTAGCTTAATCATTTAACAGAAGTCCATGACAAGCAGACTAAGCAGTAATAACAAAAATCAGGAAGACATGCTAACTTGGTAATACAATATCTGCTAATATTGTGATGTTTCTACTAAATACAGGTCTACAACATAGCCAACAAGATTTATGAAAGTGTGAAACTTTGAGGTACCACATCACGACAGTCAGGCTGATGATCCATGATGTAGATTATGACTGTACTATTTTAAATGTGCTTGTCACTGTAAGACATTCCTTTACATGTCTGCACGGACAAAAGAAGCAAATACTCCATCTTCTTGAGCCAAGAGGCTTTCAGGAGTGTCATATTCTAGAATATTCCCTCGCTTCATCACAATAACCAGGTCTGCCGTCAGAATGGTGTGAACCCGATGCTGAGAATGAGAACAATACATGTGGTTAGTACAGATTTCAGGACATGAGCCAAAGCAATGGCTTGTGCATATTTCATCATTACATTCAGGGACGTTGTTTTGAGGTGCCAGGAAATGCCAGAAGCACACGCTCACTTTTTCCTTTCCTATTTAAAGTATATTTACTTATATACTTTCAAATATTGATCAGTATGTGTGGGTCTTATGCATGGACTACATTAAATTGAGTGTAACTAGGTCAGTAATTTCATTATTTACATGCAATTTAAGTAGACTAACCAATGGTTGCAAATAATTGTAAGATATGAGAAGCCACCCCAAACCAGGGAGTTACAGTTTGGCCTAGACTAAAAGAATTCCACAAAGAGGGTTTTGATTCTGGGAAGACAAAAATCAGGAAGTTCATTTTGCCATGAAGTATTAAAGAATTAGCCAGGGCATTGGATGTGTCTTTTTGTAGACTTTGGAGATGAAGTTACTGTTCGCTTTCCTGTGTGGCAGTTACCCCTCTCGAGGGTTGATCTTAGAGGGTTGTTGAGAAGCAGCAAAATCAGGAGATAAGTAATATCAACTAACAGAAACAGCATTAAAATCAGGTTCACCGACTTCAAAGTATGAGATGTTTCCACCCTGAAGATTTCTAACTCAGAATTGTTCATGCACATTACCAGTGCTATGTTAAAAGATCACAAGCTCTAAAGTTGAACGGGGTCGGTTTTTGTATTCAAGGTTTGTCTTGATGGATTTGTATTTAAGTATTAGCTCTGTTATGGTCCCCTGTAGCTCCAAGTCTTTGAATTCCAGGGTGAATCTCACATTTACAAGTTAGGCTACCTGCATTTCAAGGGCACAGTAGCAAGTAGGTCCTATCTTGGGTAAGGACCATGCAGGTCAGAACACCCGCTGCTGGGAGACCTGGGTAGAAATGCCATCTGATCAGTTGCTAGTCTTCCCACGTGCCTTCTCCTAACAACCTAAGGATGCCCCAGGGGCAAAGGTCTGTCTTGGTCCCCAGGCTCTACAGAAAAGCAAGAGGTTAGACGTGGTACTTCCAGAAGGGGAAAAGGACATGTATATGGAGTATGAGTGAAAAGTTGGAGTGGAACGTGCACCACTGTTGCTAACCTCCAGAGACAGACCTATCATCCCATTGGATATTGGTAACAAATGATACATATTTAAAACTCATCAACATTTGGAGGATTTATTTATCTTGGAGAAAGAAACGCACATGCGTTTAGAAAAAGTAAACTTTAACTTAAAGGACTTTTCAGTATCTGTTGTGCTTTTTCCCTTCAAAAAAAAAAAATCAGTTTTTCAATAACTGTAACAGATTTTTAGAAAGGAACTCAACCTCTAGATCCATGAACTATTATAAACATTGCCTTGCTATTCTAAAATGCTTATTTTTAAAAATGAAAACTAGCAAAATCTTGGCAAATGGAAATAAATATATCTGGTACATTTCTCCAGAGCATTTAGGCAGTCATTAATGCTACTGCAATTGATACACTTTATCAAGCGTGAAGAATAAACACTTTAATAACTCACTTTCATAATTAAATGGCATTATTTGGTATATGCAGACTTCTTTTTAGAAGTCTGAGAAAATTTATTCCATACATTTTCAAAGTTTGGAGGAAATATTTTTCTTTCATTTTGCTAACTATCATGGGTCTACCCATGGGGTGGATTCTGTTTTCCATCACCTATGAGACTTTTAGGAGGAGTTGGTCCATGGTAATTAACAAGCCCCCTCCCCCTCAGAGCTTTATTAATGTTGAAGGGAGAACTTTAGGTATCCTGTGGCCATAGCATTTGCGATCTTGAAGAGTAGATGGAAGGTACAGATTCCTCATAGAAAAGTATTCAGTGAATGTAGGAGAACAGGATTCAGTTAAAATAAAAACATTGTAAAAATACAGATTATGCTATAATACTCTTCCGGATGTATATAAGATTATACAACCATGCCATGCTTCATGTAGAATGAAGAAAACTTGTTTTGAGTAGGTAAGGGTCTGTTTCCCATTCCAAGCCCCTTCTGGCTGCCCATCTACAGGTAACGGGAAATTATTTTTCCTCCAAAATACCTATTTTATCCAGTGAGATTCTTGAAAATATGAGAAAACCATTTTCCAAGTTAGCCATCTCTCTTACCTACTAAATCATTCACCTTTTAGTATGAATCACATGACTGTGCTCCAGGACAGAAGGAACTACATAGTTCACTGGGAAAGTAAAAAGTAGTAGTTTTTCTTAACATATTTGACAGAAAGTAAGGATTTAATTCCCGCCACCTTGAACAATCTGCACTTTAAATGGTGCTTTTTCACAAAAACATGTGAACATGAGCAAGCAACAGTCAAGTTAAACTATGCATTCTTTAAGCAAGCAAGGAACATGAATAGTCTAAGGACTATTCATGTCCTTAGGATAGCCTTTAAGTTTGGTGCTTAGGCTTAAAATTACATACCTCTTGTCTTACATGTATACATTTGAAAATACACTCAATACTGAGGGAGCACATGTAAGTGGGAGATGGTAGGTGGAAAAGCCCCCCTTTGGAGTTAGTTCCCTCCCACCTCCCACCCCTGCCATCACTGCATTAGCCTTGCCTGAGAAGGGCTCCAGCTAAGATAGCTACCAGAGAAGGGTACAGAAGTAGCTCATGGTGTCTACTTGTTGGTCATCACCAAAGTGGAAAAGAGGCCATTCTTGAGGGAGAGCAAGTTTGGAACAGTATCACACTCCACTAAGATACCCTCAGAAAAGACTAAAACAAGGCCCACATCCATAATGGAAGAGACGCGATGCTGGAGAGAAAAGAGAAATGGAAAGAAGAGAATCAGCAAAAGGGAAAATGTCCAAGTGACTCATTTTTTCCAAAGTTTTTGTTAAACATTAAGCCTAAATATGAGCAAAAATCCATCCATCTGCATAGAGGAACTACCCAATTCTCTCTTAATTATGCCAATGCATGAATTATAGATGTAAGCAATTCTTCAGTTTGGGGCTATCTGTTGAAAATAGAATGATCCATAGGAGTTACCATTTATATTTGGTGACAGATCCACAGACGATGACCTGCTGGGGACCTTACATTTGTCGTGTCCTATCCTTAGAACTTAAGGGAGCAAGGTAGAGCAGACAGACAGTTTAGGTAAGAAACAATATAAGGAATTTCAGAGCATAGCTTGTTTTTTCCCTTCTTCACTCTTTTTTGCAGTTAGAAAAACAATAGCAGAGAAGCAGAATGAAATTTAAGTAAGCTAATTTTAACTGGTCAAAAATAAACACTCCTGAATTTCAGAACCAAAACCAAAGAGGAGTAAATCACTCCCACTTCCATACTTACAGCTATCGTGACGACGGTGCGGTCTGCAAATGCTGTCATTACCACTTTCTGCAGAATGTTTTCCTAACAAAAAAAAAAAGTATGAATTTTCTTTGGACTTTCTCTTGTTGTCTACAAAAACCAAGCTTCACATGCTCAACCCCTTCTGAGAACCTCCACTCCTAAAATCTGCCTCTAATTTATCATTCCATTCTCTCCCCTCCCCTCTAGTGAGATGGTACTGTTGTTATAACCCCCAGACACATTTGAGGTTTTTAAACAATTTCTTTCCAAAGACAAAATTTTTGACTTGTTACCATGAATGCAATTCCACTTTGAATTCTTGTGACATCTTCAAATTGCTTTAGAAAGTAATAACTGGTTACCAACGTAGTCTATCCAAATAGAGACTAGCATACTTAATTTTGAAACTCAGGGTGTAATACCTGAATACAGGTAGTACTCTCAACAACTGAGTTGGAATTTTACTATTTGTGGATTGCCAAAGAGTGCTGGAAAGATGATATTCTTCCCAATAAGAACTGTTTGAAAGTCACATCTTCTTTATTGTAATTCTCAATTTGTTTTCATCAGTTGATCAAAATGATAAGAAGTTGCTCAAAATAGTAGTACTGAGGATTCAGAACATACTGGGGTGTAATAAATTACATGCTTCATGTGCATGAGTGTAACCCCTGTTTTAAAAAGTCTGGCTAAAGCACTCACAGTGGCCATGTCAATGGAAGCCGTGGCTTCATCCATGATGAGAATGCTGCTTTTGCGGACAAAGGCCCGAGCAAGGCAGAACAGCTGTCTCTGTCCAACACTAAAATTCTCTCCACCTTCAGTGACCACTGCATCTAAATCAGAGAACCAAAGTGAGGCATTAATGAAGAGAATGTTACTGAACAGCTTTCCTGGGCAAAGAGCAAAAAACCCAAGCATATTTCATGAGCGCTCGCGAGGAAGCATTTTGTATTGTTGCAAGGGTTTCATCTTGGAAAGGCAAAGAGGAGTTTTACTTTGGGATAAAGAATGTGCTCCTTGGCCATCCCATTTTGACCACGGATACTTAAGTACCCCTTCATGTTAAGATATAAAACTGTTGAGCTTTTTGAAGAGTGGAAGATCTAGAGTTATTTAATAGTATCAGTGAAGGCCCAGGGAGAGACAACATGGCTTGCCAGTGATCACACAGTGAATCTGCAGTAGAGCTAGGTCACAGCATTCTGTCTGCTAACTTCAGTACTGTTCTTTTTTAAGTGATCATATAGCTCAAGAGAGCAGAGTGACCAAAGAAAAATACCCGATTAAGTGCCTTTGGCCAACAGTGGAATATTAAGGAGTGCTTACATAGAACACAGTATTGTAAACTTCATCCTCTTGCACTACATGCAAAATCATTAGCTTTTTTGAAGTAGTGACCTTTAGGAAAGTTATAAATAGAAGGGATTTACTATTAGAAGCATGTAATTCCAGCATACAGCATTTGTATGTATTTACCCAAACTAAACGTGTTATTTAGAAAATATACCTAGACCTCCTGGTAGGGATTTGACCATATTCTTCAACTGAGCGATTTCTAGAGCTTCCCAGAGTCTGTCATCTGTGCATTTGCACTCTGGATCTAAATTAAATCTGTAAGAAAAATGACTTAGTTAAGAATATTTTATGTATTATATATTTGCTTATTAATATTCTTGCCTTAAAGTGCACATTTTATTTATGTTTACAATTCTACCCCCTAGAGCTCAGGATAAGAGTGGGTATTCAATTCATGTTTGATGAGTGAATGAAGTTAATGTTAATAAAAATGATCTTTGACAATATACTTACTATGCTTACATTAAGTGTATGCATGCTAGGATAGAAAATAAGTATTCTGCTTAGTGCAGTTTGAATAGTGTCTACACGGACCACAGTGGTGATACTCATAGTACGTTCACAGATATATATTGTTAAATAGCTTGATATATCCAACCTTTCATTATTTTATAGCTGCATATAAAAACGATCTAACATTTTTCTCTTCAAGACAGTATTTAGTCAAAGGAGGTGGCAAATATGTCAAGTTGAGAGAGGGGGAGTGAGCAGAATAAAGGGAAGCGATCTGGTGGGTGATGTCACAGTGAACTTTGCAGTGAGAGGACTTTATTGGTATTGCAGTTACTTCTGAGGTGCAAAATCCTCATCTAATGGGGAAAATAATACGTGTACTGGAGTAGTGCTTTGGGGATCTATAAGGCAGTATGTCAATGCACTCAGCAGATGGTAGATACATCTGTTCCTTTTTGCCTTATGGGAAAGCACAAACCCAGTTTGGAGAAGGTTATAAACAGCTTCTTAACGCTGTTTTGGCTGAAAGAAAAGTTGTGAGGTGGGGGGTCTCATTATCTGGTGGCATCAGATCAGACGTAGAAAACTTAGGCAAGGCACTGTATGGCAGAACACCTCAGAACTATCTCCCAAGAACCACTGCCCCCAGCTCATATAGAAGAAAAAGTAGATTTTGTTGAATCTGTCTGACAAGGAGCAGTTCTTGGAGATATGAGATTGGATTCTATAGGCTTCTTTATTTAGTTGCTGTAGAGTTTCCCAAGCCAAATTGGACAGAATATTGGATGGCATAATCTTAATAATGTCCCTTCACCACTATCTGAAAACAGTTCTGTGCCAAACTCTCCTAAGAGCCGAAAAGGTCCGTCCTGAGGCTCCAGGGCCCCTGCTGAACACCTCACCTAATGGAGCCGCTGAACAGTATTGGGTCCTGCAGGATGATTGAGAGTCTAGAACGAAGTGTGTGCAGTGGTAGTTTTGAAATATCTATCCCATCAATGACAATCTTTCCTGTTAAAAAGAAACCAAGTTATAGACATGCAGTAAAATCTGAAGTGAAAAAATGTTAAAGTTCTTTTTAAATTCAGAAGATGAAAATTTATACTTTAGTAAAAAAAATGCATCTTTAAGAAAAACATACATCTTGGTGATATTTTCTTTGTGTATTTTCTCTTAAAAGGGTTTTCTATTTTTATTTAGTTACAATAGTTTCTGCAAGCTGAACACTCTTTGCCCTTAACTGGCCCTCTCTCTTTCAGTTGCTTTTATCCTGGTTCCCTGCTTTTTCTTTCATAGGAAATTCTCTTTATAGTTGCTTATCCTTTACAAATCTCTTTCCAGCCAATAGAATATAAACTTCTTGATGACAGGGATTTGTCTCTTACTGTTGTATTGACTGAATAGTACACTGTCTTATAAATAATTTCTGTTATAAAGATACTGGGTTTAATAAAGTTCTCTATGTTCTATGAAGACATTTAGGCTGTGCAATCTTGAGATCTTTTTCAACTTGATACTTTTATATCATCTTTTGCCTTGTCCTGTGAAACAAGTATGAATGGAACTTGGTGTATCTTTCTCATTAGATTTGGATTCAAGACAGGGGAGGGTGGTTTGTGTAAACTTTCAGGAATACTTAATATATCTGCTATTAAAGTCTTGATAATGTTCTACTGTTAGAATCAGTCACTGATAGTCCACATGGGCCTGAAACGATGTTTCTAAACTCAAGAAAATCAGGGTGATAATTTCGTGTAGACTGCCAATTACTTTTGGATCATGTAATTGACATATAACACAAATCCCACTGAAAACCTATAACTTATCTATCATTATGAACCATGGAAAAAAGAGCTAGCTGCTAACCTAGTGGCATAGTCTACCCTGTCCCTGAATCTAAATCCCAGAAAGATTGCATTACCACTGTTTGCCTTTTTTGTTCATAAACTGGTCTCTTATCTCAGAGAGCTATTGTTTAAATACTGTAAACCATCAAGCTCAATAAAAATGTATAGTGCTATCACCAATCATTACAGGTAATAATAGCAAGCAATAACAATAATAATAATTCAGGCACATTGCTGCATCCCCTAATATTCAAGATGGCTCACATGCTGGCCTATTTATAGTGCACTTGATAGACTAAATAATGACATACTTTTCTAAAGCAAAGGTTATTAATAATTTAGTGAATGAATAAATATTTTTGTAATTGTAAACATGTATTGAAGTTCATCATCAAACCATGTTATTCAGAAAATGAGGAGAGTCATGCTCCCAAATTAAAAATGGAGTATCTCCTTGCACTTTTTCCTTTGCTGGAAAGATATATTTTTAGTCTTAGGGAAGCAAGAATACACCCCTTCCTCTTAAAAAGCCACCTCAATTTGTTGCTACTCAAAGTGGGTGGCCTTGTTTTCATTGTACTAGAAAATTAAAATGTTTAGCAACAATCTGAAGAGCTAAGTTTGGGGCTAATACTTTTATTTCCTCAATTCTATGTGTTTTTCTTTACTTCTGGATTGTTTATCTGGTGGATTGTTTACCTGCCACCAACCATGGATTGTAGGGACACAAAGTCTTTATAAATATTTGACTTAATTTCTGCAGTATTAGATAAGTTGATACTGCTTTTAAAGAGAAAGCACAAGGCAATTAAAAAGTTGTGATTAGTAACTCACCATCAAATATGTCAACCATTCTGAAGAAAGCCAGAGAGAGCGATGATTTCCCACTGCCAGTGCGACCACATATGCCAACCTAAAAAATCACCTGTCACTCAGAAGACGACTCAAACAAAAATGGACAAACGTGTTTCTAATTAGATAGTAAAACTGCAATTCTATTTAAAGAACTACTCTGAAATCCTCATTCTCATCTTAGAATTACCTTGTGTATTAGCATTAAGACTAGAAAGAGCTTACCAAGTTAATGCTTCATTGTAATTTTTCTATGCTATGTGCTTGGGTCATTTGTCCTTGGAGTTTCAACTTGTGTATCTTGTGTACTGTTAATCTAATGAATAACTGTTCCCTTTTATTTTAGAAGTGGTGATTTTATAATGAATATTAGAGTAAATCCATTTTCATTCTGCATATTATTCCTTCTACTAAAATCATTTTGAGACTAAAACAAATGCAAGGTTTTCCAAGGAGCTATCAGGTCTAGTGAGGAAGCAGAAGCTCACATGCTTTTGAAAAACCATGTCTACTGTTGACTTTCCTGAATGGCAATATGAGTTAGACAAAATTAGAGTATACATATTTTATACAATTTCTATTTCTTCCTTTTCCTTTTTATGTAGATAAGTTGATTTCTTAGGTTGAGGGAAGTGGGCCCAGTTAGAATATGTTTGGGTGGGAAGCCTGGAGAGTTCAGGGGGTAATAGAGTGGTTCCAGCAGAGCATGAAACAAATGAAAGTGAATTTGATACCTTTTGCCCAGGTTTGATGTAAGCCTTGACATGTTTAAGAACAGGTTTCAGATTATTTTCATATCTGACACACAGATCATGAATCTTGATCTCCCCTTCTTGTGGCCAGTGCTCTGGGACTTGAGAAGGATCTGGGGTAAGAGTAGTGGATGGAGGTAGAAAGAAACAGAAGCTTACAATTTTTTCTCTAAATTTAAATAATCCAGCACCAAATTATTTTGTTTTAAAATTACTTTCAGAGTAAAGTCTTCTGGATTAAGGACTTTTTAAGTGGCTTGTAAATTTGTTTTTAGAGCATTAACCATTTCTAAACTATTTTCATGTGAGCCAAGTTCCTCATAACCCAACCCAAATAGCTGGTTATATTGTAATAAAATATTTACATTGCCTCCATTCTGGCTACAGTTGTTCATTTGTGAATTAGTTCCTTTGTTCATCAGTTGGTCACCATCTATTTGAAAGTTTACAATGTAAGAGGTGATATGCAAGGTGCTGCTGGCAATGTGGGGAGACTCCAGGCACTCAAGCTGTGTGCTAAGTCAGCATCTGACCCTCTGCAGAGACAGTCGCAGAAAGGAGGCCAACCCACTTGCCGAGAGCACAGACAGGGATAATTTGAGAACTCCAGGGTGGTTTCAGGAAAAGACAGTGCCTTATATGAGTCTTTTTTTCCCCCAACTGTTATCCCTTATACCCCTGTGAGTCTTTTTCCCCTCCTCAACTCCTCTTAATTGCACTTTGTTAATTAGTGCCTGCTAGTTTTCCTAAGTATTTTGTTTTGCCAAATTGTCCCCTATGGAATTGGCCACTGTTTGTCTTTGTCCCTCAGACTTGCTTTAGTGTGTGTAATTCCCTTGAATTCCTCCCATTATGCTACCAATGGCAACATTTCATCTTTATGACTGAGCAGTATCCATTATGTGGACATAATATATCTTGATTAAATTCTCTACTAGTGAGTACTTAGTTGGTTTCCAAGTCCTACATATGGTCAATAATGCTACAATAAACATTACCTAGTGTACTATTTATAGCATTTTATACAGTGTATGTATGTATGTGTACTCACACCTATATACTGTGTATGTATGTGTGTATATGTACACACATATACAGTGTATGTATGTATACATATGTATATATAAATACACACATATAAACACACATATATACATATACTGTATAATATGTAGTATACTATATACAGTATATTACATGAACTGATTGGGATATCTACCCAAATAGCATGAAACTAAATGGGATTAATGGTGTTTACCCAAGATGAATCCTTAAGCATGAGAGATGAGGAAATCTGTTTGATATATACCTGGAAGAAAAAGACGAAAAGCATAGCATGTCGGTGTGTTGGGATGCTAAGAGAGGAGACTGGGCGGTAGGCAAAGATTGACTAACGAAGAGTTTAATAGTTTTAACTAAGTTACCTGGCTTTTTTCCCTTGAGACTATGGATAGCTACTAGAAAGTGTAGAAAATGAAATACATCTAAGCATGATATTTGCACTTTAGATAATTCTGTCCTCAATGATTTTGTGCCAGATTTATTCTAGCAAAATAGAGAAACTCAGTATTTTGGTATCCATGTGTCTTGATATTTTAATTAATGAGGTCTTGAAGAGAATGTATTGGTTCAGAGTTTAGATTGAAAGGGGATTCTCTTGATATTGAAATGCAGAATAAAAGCAATGACATTGTGCCTGACATTCAAATATTAAACTAATAGTATTTCTAACCGTAACATTTAGAACAATTACCCATGGTGCCTTCGTAGTTCTCAGACTCCATAGTCAAGAAACTGTTGACTTTCTTCACTGCCCCCATCTGGACCTCCAGGTCAGCCAAGTTTCTTACAACCCAGTTCAAATAATTGGTTATCTGTCATCAGGTGACAAAAAAAAAAAATTAAGACCTTTAAGTCAAAGTAGCAATTTTTGTAATCACTGGATCTTTGGGGATGGGATGACTTGGACAGTTACTATTTATCATGTGGCAACAACACCTATGTGATAGAGGCTGTGGGATAGTGTGGGCAAAGAAGGCATCTGCTCTTTCTCAAGAGTCCCCAGATGTCATTGTTTTGTGACCTATGACTTCCCCACATGAGGGGTGAGTTTTATGTACCTCCTACCTAACTCTCATTCACTTTTGTGTCCCGAGAGGGGACACTGACCACTGGGTTTGAGGAATTTTAACAAATTGGTTCATGATGTCAGAAATTAATCTCTCCCATCCTACTACACTAGATTTGGGTTCAAATCAATTTGCAAAATTTCAGACTCTAACATTCTTGAATAAGAGATGTTAATAAATAACTCCTTCATGGAAAGAGTTGTTCATCCACACCTACCGTAAGTGCATACAGAAGCCCTAAGCCCACCAGTCCAGAAGAGGAAGACCCACTAATGGACGCTATCGAGGCAGTGAGGACAATACAAGCACCCAGATAATCCTGTAAAAGGAAAAAGGAAAAAGAAAAGTGATATTTTTCCTAAGTTCTTAAGCCAAAGATCCCAATCAAACATAAGAGAACACACTGTACTCAGAACGACACTTACAAGATGAGTGCTGGAATGGGAGCAATACAAGTCTCTCACATTAACTTCAGACCATAGTTAAGATACCTTGCCAGAAGTTAAACTCACAAACAGGATTAGATAGAGGAATTTCTTGTATTTCTTCCCCCCACCCCAGGCTCCCTCACCTTTCTACTGCATTGCGTTTTTTAGACAAGCTATTAGGATGACTTGATCTTCTGCCTTAAATTTCTTGCATGCTTACCCCACTGTGTATAAGGCCCCTGAAGACATTTTTTATCTGGACTTTGTCATATCTGTCTATGAAGGTAATATAAACAGGATAAGGGTTACATTTTTTCTAGTTCATAAGAAGGATGCAAATGTCAAGCATGATAACCATTTTTGCAAAATTTAAAAATTTCACTAAGGCCTGCCTTCAACTGGAAGTAGAGACAAGGGTGCATTTGCTTATTTTGTGGCTTTCTTAGTTATTTTTTAAGTCAAAAAAAGAAATCTTAATGTATACTGATGAATCACTTATCTCAGAAATGTGTAGAATTTCACTAATACTAATACTATTCTACAATTATCTGTAGCCTTATCTCATTGGAGTCAACTGTCTCTTGGTAGATTAATCTGACTCTTAATCTACCAAGATAAGACTTTAATGTCAGTAATGGAGTGTTTAAAGTGTTGAGATCAAAGAGGTTTCTGAAATCAGTTTACACATGTACTTTCCCTCCTTTTTAAGAAAGTAGCTCCAAAGATCAAGCTTTGGCGAAAAATCAGTGACCCCCGACCCTGGAGTCAGAGCTGTGGGCACAAATGTCAACTTTTCCAGTTACCAGCAAGTGACAAGTATCTCCACTCCTTTGTGATTCTATTGCTTTTTTTGGAAAGTAGAAGCGATACCTAATTTCCAATGTTTTGATAGGAAAAAGAATTTTAATACCCAGTAACTTACCCAACCTCCACTCATACATCAAGATCTTTTCCCTTCCTGATGATTCTCAAATGTTCAAAGCAAGCTTAAAAGTTTGTATGTTTCATAACATATTAAGGGCTAAAACAGCTTAAATTCATATTGACTTTTATGCCTTTTGAAGGGAGGAGAAAAATCATGGGAACTTAATTTCTTGATGCAGTAGGTTCCACAAAAGCAGTGAATACTTTATAGCTCCTTCTGGTTTAACAACTTGCCATGCCCTATCACAGTTCTTCCTCTTTTTCCCATTTTTGAAGCCACAACTATACCAACACAATCTAACTGGTCTGGGCCACTCTTTTGTATTTTATAAATGCCAGCACAGTATGAAAATACTTCTAAAATATGCATAGTAGTGTGAATTTTCCTTTTATTCTCTTTGAGTAAAGTTAATACTTTCAATGTTACAAATTGGCAATTTCTATATTATCTTTCCTAAAAAGACTCCTAAAAAGTCTGTGACAAGTTCCAGAAAGTTAAGGATCATAAAAACAAGGTGCTTCTGGCTTGCTATAAGGAAAAGCAACAGTTGGCTTCTGAGAAAATTCTGTGGGCAATATATACCTTAAGGATTCGAAGTAAGACTTCTTTCATTCACTTCTATTGTTCACTTATTCCTAGATGACCTCATTGGGAAGAAGAACCTCGTTCATTCAATCATTCCTCCATCATCCCTCACTCACACATTGTTTTAAAAGTGCATGTAACTTCCCTCTATAGAACCATCACTGCCTTCATATTTTGCTTACAATAAATTCAGACTCTGATGAATTACCATTACATGAATTAAAGTCTGGATTCTAGAGTCTACTGCTCTGACCTCATCTGAACTTCCTTTTCTGTTCCTTCCATATCCTCAACATGGAACCTTGGTTCTACTGCCGGCCCTGCCTGAAATGCTACCTCATGCCAGTGTCCTGTTGGAGATGTTTTCTATCCCACTGTCATGTTTTATTTTCTTCTATGTATTTAGAACTATCTAAATTATCTTTTTGGTCATTGTTTTTTCTTATAGCAAGCCAGAAGCACCTTGCTCTTACTACCCTCAACTTTCTGGAACTTGTTGCAAACTTTTTAGGACTCTTTTTAGGAAAGATAATATGGAAATTACAAATTTATAACATCGAAAGTATTAACTTTACTCAAAGGTAGTATCTTCTATGTATTTAGAATATCTAATTTAGAATATAAATTCCATAAACACAATTGTCTGAATTTTTCCCATTATGATGTCCAACAATAAGCATTACAACAGTACGATAGTAAAGATTCAATAATTCTTTATGCATAAAACATGCACTGAGCCAAGTATCTCCTAAGTTAGGACTTTACTTGATGTTTCTTAGGATTAATGCAAATAATTATTAACCTAATTATTCACCACTCCTTTTCCAGACATGGACTTCAACAAGTAAAAATAGCATGAGTGTATTTTTTGATAGATGGATAAACTCCAGTACTCAGTTTCTTTCTTTTAATTACCTGCTTAGAACTCTAATATGACTATTAGTTTTGCTATCTATAAGTGTTAGGAGGTTAATTGCTCTTTTAATGTGAAAAACAGACCAGGAACTTCAATCAGTTCCAAGTTCTAATTTTTTTTTTTTTTACTATTTCAGTTGTAGAAAACTGATAAAATGTTGTATTCTGTGTTGGAGAGCAGATGTAAATAGAACTAGGGCCACGCCACAGCTGAGATAGCAAAACAAAATAATCATTGAGTTTAACTAAATGGAAATAAAGCAATTGACCTGACAAATATTATAAAGGAAATACAAAAACAGCATGCATTTAAATTTCTATGTGTCCATTCTCTGCTGTTAAATTTAGGTTAGCATGGAATCTTTATGTTTCAAATTGGGCTCCGAATTTAGCATTACATAGAACTAAGCCACAGTTCGATGGTAACTATTTCCTAATGAATTAAAACAGTAATTTGAGGGAAAGAAATGTAGCCTTATCCTGGTATTAGAGACAAGACAGATCATTGTTGGGGTTCCTATACGAGGCTAATGTTTTCAATACTGCTCATGAAGTTTTCATTGTGATCATTAGACATTATTATTTTCATTTAGTCAAATGTGCAAAATTTATGAAAACACATAGATATTTTTGATACCTTAACAAGAAGCAATGGCTTTCTGAGGTATATTCATAGCAAATTTTTCAGGCAATAAACCTATTTTCAAAATGTACAATCTATTCAAATAGATACTGGAGCCAGTACCTCTATAATTTAGTATCTAATGCAGAGGTATTTATCATAATCTTTATTCCTTTTCTTATCAACTTTTCACCTCACTCATGAATTATTGCTAATGCTTCAAGTGTCTTTAAGGAATTAGAAAATTTGGGTAATGTCCTTGATTAGAATCTGATCTGCTTAAGAGGAGCAGCTGTTTTACAGAGTGCTTATTAGAAATTTCAAAGCAAAATGACCAAATTTCAATCACTTCCATTCAATACTGTGAGTAAAGAAGGGTACAGTGACAATGTAAGAGCTTATATTAGCTCCTCATTTTGTACTTTATCATTAAATTTATTTTGCACTTTATCATTAAATTTATTAACAAGCTTCACAAATCAAAGTGACCATAAAGTTATGGTCTTTTAACACCTTCTTTAATTCCTCTGCAAATGTGTAAACAAACACAAAAATGGCTTAAAGACAACAAATTAGAACAGGAGTAGGTGGTCTGTTAATTTGCACAAAGGAGGACAAGTAATTGAGCACCATAAACAGCATTCACGCTTCCCCCACCACCAAAGGCCTTATAGTCAATTCAATGCAAGTACCAGTGGTTGTCACCATAAAATGGTCCAACACTCCGCTTCAGAAGTACAACCTACTACTAGGTAAACTGCCCCACTGTCAAAGAGGTCCAGCCATGGGACACTTTGTTAGGATAAATTATATCCTCCATCACAGATCACAGCATTAACACACCCCATTTATCAGGGCATCAAAGCTGTGCTCTTTCATGAAATAAACTCTGCAGCATGCCCTAAGCCTATTTTCACTTTAGCCTATTGATTGTAAATATCTAGCATTTGGCTTCTTGATGTGAATTTTCTTTTATCCTTTTACCACATAGCAAGACAAAGCCTTGGAGACAGCCTTTAGATAGTTACACAATTTGCACAAATGGAAGCACCAACGGCAAAGAAATAGAATTGTTTAGTGCAGAGGGATTAAGAAAGAACCTAAGAACTTTAAGCAGCAAAGCTCAGGGTGTGGACTGGGTGTGGACACACCAGACACCTTTGGGCCCCCTCACATGGCACCCAGTGCAAAATGGGGCCTCTGTCAAAGTAACCCAGGGGGTCTGTCTGGTTTTCCTTCTAGAGGGGAGAGGTGATTTTACAAATATGGAGGCTATAACTTATCCTATCACACTGTCCTGTGGCTGGGAACTCTTTGACCGTGGGGCAAATTCACTGATGTGCTAGGTTCTGGTTCTGAAATTGAATGTCTCAGAGACTGAACTTTTCCACTAGCCTAGTGATCTTACTATTCAGACCAGGTCTTTCTTCCATTCCAGTGTGTTGTAACTGTTACTCCCCTTATCCCCTCCCCCAGTTCAAAATGAGTGTGATGGGCAGGACTAAATCTTCCACCAGGAAAACTGTTTACCCTGGGAAAGGAATCACTTGTGACTGTCTTAACTCCTACTTAACAAGACCAGGAAAAGACATAAAAATCATGATACAGAATCAACAAAAGGTGTTCCCACTTTCCTTTTCCTAGATTTTCCAACTAGAAAACTCAGCAGCATTGCTTTGGAAAGCTAGAATTTGGAATGAAGAGACAGGGAAGAGTAACAGACACAGAAAGTGACGGTTTTCTACTCTTTCTCTTCATCCCAGAACTGAGCCTGGGAATGAGAGTTTGTGAAATCCCAGGTCTGCAGCAGGAAATCCTACGTGACTCTCCATTTCTCTTTGTTTCTGTACTGGCAGCTCCAAGAATATTTGCTATAAGCAGATACTCTTGTTAATTTACCAAATAGTTTGGCAAAGACTTGGGAAAGGAGAGGGTTGTGTTGATAAAGTGGATAAGATCAATGGAGATTCTCTGGGCCAACTAGAAGTTTCCATTACTTATTCTGCCTTGTAAGTCATTTTAAAAAAATATATCCAGCTGTGGGGCTCTGAGAGCAGTTCACACCCTAGTCTCCAAGGTCTTGTATCTCAACTTTCATATTTACTTATTTATTTTAAATTGAAATGGTTTCTGCAGTGATGTAGACTTCTTCACAGAAACACAGTAGTCATGAGGTCATTTTTATGTGTATGACTGGAAAAAGGTTATTTCCTAATAGGTGCCATCTGCCTAATTTATCCTCTACTACTACTCAGGCCGATCATCAAAGCATTTATATTCAAATATACCTGTTCTAGTGAAGACTTTGGACCATGACTGAGATGAGCAGGTTATACCTAGAATTCTGCACATGTTTCTTATCAAAATTTACCTTTATTCATAGAAATAGAGACTTAAAGAGTCCCCAGTTGTTTGCATTGATCTCTAAGGGCATGTTCTTGTAATAAGCGGTAGGCAGCTACCTCTTAGGAGGATAATAGTAAACAGAATAAAGAAAAATACTAATAACATGAATGATAAGTTAATAATGGCAGATTTTTCATTTATTGTTTTTAAGTGCCAGTGATTTCTTTAGGATCATACGTGAGCTAGAATGCTTTTACATTCAAATGAATCCTCCTGTCTTTTGGGGGGGGGGAGTGCTAAAATGATCAATTGTGAGTCAAAGGAAGCTAGTCCATTCTCAGTCTGGCTACTGTCCCTTTCTTGGCAGTCTAGAATCTGTAATATCTTGTGTCTGGCTATGAAAACAGAACATAAGGTTTGGTTGAAAATTCTTGTTCAACACTTGTCCATTAACCTGATATTAGGAAGTGCTTAGGAGCAGGAGTCAAGGGGGGACATGTAGTTCAAGTTTAGAGAAATCATATACAGAAGTAACTATTATATTACCCTGTTTCCCTTTGAGTTTGAGACATTCTTTCATCAAGCTTATATTTATCAATTCTAATATTAGATATGATTTCTTTTCCTTAGGGAAAATAGATCCAAACAAGCAAGCTTAAAAGAAGGACTTAGGGTCTGGGTAGAATCTCGGAGTAATATTTTGGTTTTGTCCTAAAATCCTAAACAACACTGTACCTTCCCTCATGCTATCTGTCAGTGACTCAGGGAGACACTGCCCTGTCCCTTCCTAATCCCCACCACCCACTGGAAGGACTTTAACAACCGATAGTTCTAGCTAGAGAATCTAAACTAGTGAGAAATCATGACAGCTAAGGATCACAGGGATGGGGGAAAAGGGGGTACGACTCCATTTCAATCTGTATCTATCCATTAACAACTAAGATTTCAACTGGTGCGCCTTCATTTCAACTTCAGCAAATCCCCTTTACTATCTTCGATCTCTAGTCTGCTGAGTTATGAAGAAAGCCTGTCTTTTGGTAGAGATGCTTATTAATAAGGAGGAAAGTTTCTTATAATAGCTAAGATAACCTTTTGACAAATGGATGGACAATCTAATATATATAAATATGTATGTTAAGAGTCTACTCTTTATCTGCATGCTGTATATGTTACGGCAACTGGTCCCATGGTGACTTACAGAACCATTGACAACTGTAGGAACCTTTTCCATTTGTTCATCCATCCAATCAAAAGACATTGAGTGTAATTCCAGTCAGTCAACTAGGGGTTCATATTATTAGTTTTGACACCCCCATTACATACATATTTTTACTCCTAATTTATAGATGAAGAACTAGGACTCTGATGAACTTACCATACCATATCTGAATGATGTCAAACATATGTTTGCTTTCCCATTTCATTCAAGGCCTGTCTGGTTTAGTGAAGGAAATGAATACATCTGCTCACTTGTCAAATTTGCTCTTTTAAAAAATATTTGAAGTCGTACAAATATTTACCATTCCATTAACTTCTGTAATCTAGAGACTAATGAACACAAAATGAATTTTTGCTTTTTGGGCTATTTGTCTTGCCATTAGCTAAAACATTAGGACAAATCTCATGGGTAACATAAACAAACCTGAGCTATTTAAAGTCCAGAAAATGCAAAGTTGGTGCTGAATGTTAGTGGAAGACTAAATTTTACAACAGCCTCCCTCTTTGCATCAGGCCTCTCTGCTCTGTTTGGTTTCCATTTCGAAATCATGAAATGAACGTACCGTTCTGACCTCTAGCCATCTGTTGGCAGCCGAGAGAAATAAGTAGGCAATGTTGTTTGTGTCTGTCAGCTCCAGCATGCGTTGCTTAAATCTGGTTTCATGCCTGCAGAAAATAAAAATATTATGATGTTAGCCACACAACAGGCGAAATAATAAAAAACAGTCACACTTACTACTACACTATTTACTCAACATAGTGACAAACTGATGGGATGGAATGAGTAGTAAGTGAGCTCCTAGTTCGTAATAAAGGCTGCTCATCACTGCGGAGTTTTCCTTTATTGAACCTCTGCTGTACCACCAACCATTCTGATGACAGTCTCATTAAAGATCAGTTCGTGAATTTCCACATAACAATGGCAGCCACGAGAACGAAGCATGCCATGTTGCAGAAGTCAGAACGTAACTGCAATATTCTCTGCCCCACTTCTCAGTGTCTTTACTTTGCTTTTCAAAATGGCACAGTTGCAGCTGGGTGGAAGGTGGTGGAAGGGACCCAGCGAAGGCAGAAAAAGGCTCTTGCAACAGGCAAATAAAGAGTTGACATTTTCTGTTTGCCTGGTATTTCTGGGAACCAAAGAAGGAAAGTGAAGTGAAAAAAAGAGACCGGGGGTCCTTGACGATGGCAGACATAGAAAAGGGGCTTTTGAGCTGTGGTACTTCCGGGGCTCTGCAACACAGCTAAAGTAACTGCTCTCTGATCAAGTTAAGTTAAATCTTGGTCAGAGAGCAGTTACTTTCTAAATCATAAAAAGAGTCTTCATTATTCTTGAATAACAGAAATAATGAAAAACTGGATAATCTAACCAAAATAACTGGTCTAAAGGTTGAAGGAAATGCCAGCTCAAAATGTGGCTCATTCACTCTGTTGCCTTGGCTTGCCCCACGCCGTCCATTTGTCTACGGTCTTTTGTGCAAAGGACAGCCAGATTCGTCTCATAGTCCCATGATTCCTTTTTGAGAAGACTGCTCAAGTTCCCCCAAATCTTTCAAGTTTGTAAAACCTTATAATAAACTATCACTTAAAGTCAAAAAATGAAGGCATCCTGGGTGGGGTGTTCACTTGGCTTTTGAAATCATCCATATAAGCCAGTATAAAGCAAATACTTGATATCTATCCAATCAATGTGATCATTCCAATATGCCAACTCAGATACATCAGATAATTGACTCAGTCAGACAGCAGCATCTGATCTACAATAATCAAAGGATTTGGCAGTTGGAGCCAAATTATTACTTCACTTTGAGTTTCATAGCTTTGACCCAAATGTCACGCACGGGAAGACCCATGAAGGCCAGCAACCTACCGGGGTCGGGGCTAAGCAGTGACAGGAGCGTGAGCACCCTTTCAGATGAACAATGAAAAGTTAAATGAGAGCAGAATAGCCTTGACTGAGACAATGGCTATAATCTAGAAAGAGACCAACAGAGTCAGGGCCGTTCTTTCTGTTCCTACAGTGTTTGGTATGTCTTCATCATCCCTTCTTTTGGAAACATTTAGTAAGCACCACCTTAAGAAACCCTAGAATATGTGCACATTCTACAAGTATGCTCTTGAGGCACCCCTCAAGACAAAAGGGATGTATGATGTTACCAAGGACAGCATGTGCAGCACAGAAGCTAGCTTGGACAGCCACACACAAAATACTACATAAACACAGCAGAGATGACCCGTACTGACCAGAGGACCCAATTGGCAGGAAATGGGGTGTATGGTGGGACACGAAGGCTGAAGGCTTCACAGAGGAATGGGAAGGTGGTCTGAAGGGGGGTTTATGGGTGAGCTGAATTTTTCATGTGAAGTAGGGTAGAAGAAGTGTTCAAAGAAGACATATAGCAAAGCCAAGACACACAGATTAGAAACGCTACATGGGCCCTCCCTGGTGGCGTAGTGGGTTAAAGCACAGCACTGAGAAGCTAAAGCCACTTCCCCATGAGTTCGATCCCCGCCTGCCCTGGAGGTGACCACATGGCGCGGCAGACCTCTCCTGGTCCGCCTGCTGCTCCCCTCAGCAGTGTACTTCCTCGATCTGCCTGTTCTGCTCCCCACTCTGTCTCTGGTGAAGGCTCTCAGTGCCCCTGAGCCTCTGGCCTGTACCCCAGTTCTGTATGCACAAATAAATAAATATTAAAAAAAAAGAAAAAAGAAAAGAAACGCTACATGTCCAGGGCTCAGGACACGGTCGTCTCCCTAGAGCCTGGTGGTGATGGGGAGCATGGAAATGGGGCTAGTTAGACCCCAACCAGCAGACCACATCTGAGATGGACATCAAACACTCTTCTGATAAAGTGCTTTGTCTGAACTCCTCTTATTCCCCTACAGTTTTGGACTTTCGCTTCAGATACACACTTAGAGTAATGGAGCTGGCAACAGCCTGAAGCAGCAGTGAGAGGGGAGGGGTGGAAATGCAGTGAACATTCTTTCTGTGTGTTTCTCTTTGGCAAGAAACCCTCTGTTTTCCTAATGGAAACTTTGACACACTCAGTCTGTATCTTTTCATCCACATCCAGCTCATCTTCTGAACATTCTTAGACCTTTATTCTGTCAGACAAAAAAAATAGGAAAGGTCACTGAAATCTCAGTCTAATTTAACTGTGATACTTTCGTGGTAAACTACTTGAGGGAGTTCACCGCTACATGTGAGTACATCATGAACCCTGAGTGCAGGGGAGGGAAAGCAGCTCTAATCAGAGCTCCAAAAGAGCTGAAGACTCTTGGGAATCTATGCAGCCTGGAAGACAGAAGAAATGGACAGAAGAGAATGTGTCTGAATTCTTCACCATCAGTACCATGTGCAAAGATTCTGGAATCTAATTCACGCTAGTAGCTTCATCCACACAATTCCCATCTTCCTTTGATTTAAAAGTGCTGTTACTTGCTTGTACAAGTGGGGTAACCCTTAACCTGTCTTCTAGAAATGCCAGCTGATAAGGCTAAAAGCCAAGTTTCATGAGCACATCTCCACAGAAAGCAGCACAGTTAGGTGCTGTTGGGTTGTTTTATCCAGATATCCAGAATTTTCCAAATGTTAAATTAGTATTTGGCATATTCAATTCTGCTCATTGTCTAGTGAAAATGGTAAATGAAAAAGCTACATAAACCTTGACTCTTAGTCAAATTTCTTTTTCAGTGGAAACCTTCCTCATTCTTATTTTGAGGTCCTTTTCTTGATTCAAGTTCTCATCACTCTGAGAAAATGAAATGAAAGTTGTTACGCATTGAACCCATCCATCCCTCTTGTTCCACTTCCCTGCTTGCTACGTCGCTTGCCAGGCTGGCCTCACCTTCAGAGAGCTGGGTGCTGTTCCAGAGGGCTTATCCTTCCTCAACAATGGGCACTTGATCTCACCCTGCTGATCTACGGCGGGGACCTGTGTTATCAGCTGTCTATCCTACCTCTATGTCTTTCCTTCAGTTTTAAAAATGCCCAGTTTGTTACCCCCTTGAAAAGAAAAACAGACAGTAAAGAACTCCTAATTAGTGCCCTGAAAGAGTGGCCATCCCTTGCCATTGCCACGTTCTGATTTGCAATGAATTTCTAACCCTACTCTCTCCACTTCACTGTCCATGTTCTTGCTAAAGTTACTGGTAGCTTCAGGGTCACCCTCTCCAGTGAGAACTTTCAATTTCTTTTTATTCTACCTCCTCTCTTTTTATCACCATGGACTTACTCTATTTGTCAAAATGCTTGCTTGTTCGAACTTCTGTGACACCTCAAGGCTGATTCTTTGCCTACTACCCTGATGGCTTATTGCATCAACTATTTGGAATTCCTTTCCCCTGGCAGGGAGGTGGGGCCTGTCCAGGACGTGATTTAGTACTTTATGTCACTGTATTATTGGAAGGAGAGGACAACTGCACGGTGGGCCATCACTGCACTGTGCGAGGTAACCTTTAATGTGATACAAGCGTCACTGCTGCTGCTATTCAAATGAAATTTTGTAAAGTGGTGGTGGGAAGTCCACGGGACTACAGCTGAGATGGAAAATGCACAAAATGAAGAATGATGTAAAAAATAAATTAAAAAAACAAATGAAATTTTGTCTTAACATGGACATTTGATGATTGAACTCTGCCAAGCACACAGTAGGCACCCACCTCCAAAAGGCAGCAAATTAGCATTTCTTTGTAAATAAATATCTGTGGATGATGTAGTTGCATAATCCAGAAAATGAAAACAGCTTTACCCACCTAAATGCCCGGATGGTGGTGAGTCCTTCTGCTGTTTCTGAGAAATGGCAGAGCAGAGGGAGCTGGGTGCTGTCATCCAGTTCCTGGAGGTCCCTGGGACAGAGAGAGGTGCAGAAATAAGCTTTACCTGCAGCAGGGTCAAAGTGTTGCGTTCATTCCAAATTAAGGTTACTGTTACTATAGCTAATTAGCAAGGTGTCAATAGTTTATGGTATAAAGAGGAAGGCAAGGAGGGCAGCCACATGAGGAATTCAGGTGCAATCTCAATCAAATGTGTTGTATCAACATATCAACATATCCCCTTGCTACAAGGGGAGGGGGGATAATTTCTTTGAACAAGCAGAATATAGGGCAAAATCAAGCATGAGGAAGGTTCAGTGAGACAGAGAAGACGTGCATTCCCTTAGGGAACAAGATAAGAGAAGACAACTGAAGAGCCTGGCAAGTTCCTCTGGCTGTGCCCACAGACCTGTGGGGCTGCTGCAGGGAGAGAAGACTAGAAAGGATGGAGGGGGAGGCGGTAAAGATTCCTGGGGGTGGGGAGTGCCTGGGACAAGAACCATTGCGGTTGGAAATAAAATAAGCAGAGTGGTGATTAAGCCCTGCAGCTTGGGAGGGAGTAAAGATGAAAGAGAACGGGAGAGTAAAGGTAGCTCTGAGTCACTGCTGCGGCTAGTGCGTCTAACATAGGGGGAGGTTTGTGAGACTGGCCCTTAGAAGCAGCCTTCTAACCTGCTGCGATCAATTAGCTGGAGCACAAGAGAAGGGTCAAATATGCAGGGCTGTGTGCAGTTCTGCAGGAGACTGGAAGGTGCCCGTGCTGTTCCCCAGGTTGGGGGACACAGGTTGCAAAGATTTATAACACAGGGTAATGAGGTTTGCTTCGGCCACACGGAGAAGGAATTCCTGCCTCCGCGGCTGTCAGTACTCTCCCTCTGTACAGCAGTCAGTGACCATTCAGCACCTAACTGCTGCTTTCCCTGGAGATGTGCTCATGAAACTTGGCTCTCAGCCAAGTTTACAAGCAAGTAGAGCAAATCCTTGACAGTCACCTGCCAGCACCAACCGAGGTAATGGATGGTTACAGAATTTCCGACAATTAACTCGGCTGGCTGTGTGGTTACACCAAGAAATGCAGTTAGAATGTAATTTCTGACATGGGCCTGCCCTCCTCAGACTGCAGGAGGGAGGGAGGAAGAAGATGAATAGGAAGGAATGTGGATAATCTGCTATTTTTAAATACAAAATGAAGTGACTGTAAACTTGCAACACGTGGCCACTTCCTTGAGCTTTGTAGGGAAAGGACATCAGGTAGAAAGGAGACTTGTTTACAGGGTGTGATTCTGCGAGGGCACAGCTTGATTTTGTGTTCTTATAAGTAGGAAAACACTTGCGAGCTAACTATGCTTTATTGCAAATTTTAGGGCATTTCCTGTAGCTTGTACCTCACTCAAATTCTATTGTGTACAAAATAGTTGAGTTTTCAACCTGGGTGAGTCCTGCAGAAACTCAATCTACAGGGTTCTTTATATATATATATATTTAGATCTTTTTCATATCATAGTGTGTTCCCTGTATAATTCCCACTACCAGTTCACCCATATACCATCCCTGTAGTCCCTTAGGCTCATTTCTCCCCTGTTTTGATCCCTTTCCCTCTCCCTCCCTCGCAGAATATTTAGTTATGATAGCCAGCTATTCAAAATCTACAAGGTTTTTTCTGAGATGGTCTTATTTGCTCAGTTTGATAGAATTTTAAGGAAGAATGGTGCATCGCCCTTTATCAGTGTTAACTGTAAACCTGAGTCCTACTCATTTGTATTTCACTTGCTTATTACCAGTGTTAACAGATTATCCTGGTTTAAGGTGAACAGACCTCACTGTTCAACTTTATGAGCAACTAGGACTATTTGAGCAATTTGTATTGCTAAAGGAGGAGAACAGGCCCACGGTATATGTGTTGAAGAAGGAGCCAACAGGCATGTTGGGAGAAGGACAGGTGTGAAGACAGCCAGCAGAATTAAGCTCAGTGCTGCTTTTCCCTCCAGCAGACTGAGAAGATGAAGATGAAAACAAGTCTTTTAATTTAGAATAGATCCCTACTTCCTAGACTTGAGTCAGATTTTTTAAAAATAAAATACCAAATTGAATAGGAGGACAGACAGAGATGGTGGGCGTGTGGGAGGGGAGGGAGAAGAGTTTTCCAGCCTAACAAAAAGCATGCCTGTGGCTGCATTTATACCCACAGCAACACTGCATTGTGTTAAAAGAAGCTGACTAATTTTAAAGAGAAAGTGATGTGTATCTTTCAAGGTTCCCAGTTGTGATCCTGTCTTTCCTTGTAATCTTTTCCTACTTTTTTTCATCATTTTCCCCTGCACTCAAGGCCCATTAAATGTTTTCAGTTCACAGAATAAAGTCAGCACCTGTCTTTCTATTCCAGCACTTAATTCACAAAAAGCATTTAATATACAATATCTGTATTCTCTTCCCAAGAGGCAATACGTTTCTGGAAGGTTTTTGTCATGCTGATCTCTTCATCTACTACATGACTTACGTAATAATTTACAACACAGCAAGTTCTTAATAAATATTTGTTGAATAAACTGAGTTTTGTAATGATAGGAAATGTCCTGAACTATTTATAGCAGCCCTTCAAAGTTAAACAGGAAATTTCAAAACAAATAGTATTACATTTCACTTAACGATTCATGATCTCATCAAGTAACAAATCCTGTATTAACAAGAGAATTTAAAGCTCACAACTATCTTCTGTTTATTTGGCTTCATACTCAAATGTGTATGAAATGAACTGACCTGCACATTGCCAGTCTCTTAAAGTGACAGCACTCCTGTCACACTTTCAGAGTTATTTTACTGTCCTCACTCTGATTTCCTTTTAACTCTTTACTTCCACTAACTTTTTACAGAATGTGTTTTACCACCCCTCTCCCGCTCCCCCCCATTTGTGAAATGAGGTGACTTAAGTCACTTATCAGATTGGGCTGTGCTTGATTTTGGTAAGTTTTCTGTCTGTGTCACATTCAGAGAAAGGACTATGGGATGAAAACTTGAGCTTTGGATCCTCAGACTACCCCTACTAGCTCAATCCACGTTAAATTCTGTCCAGGGCTATGTAGGATTCATACAACCAGTCCTGCACAATTATGATAGATCTCCAAAAGAAACACGCATCAGGGTGGATCTCATGTTTGAAATAAAAATCCGTATGTTCGCTTGAAGAGGCCCTAGAGCAAAGGTGTGGTTCACAATAAATCAAACAGGTAGGTTCTAGAAGAAAAAAAGAGCATTGCTTCACTTACTTGGAGGCCACTCGGAAGTATTTCTGGATGAAATAAAAGGCGACTCCGAGAGGCACGAGGGCAACCAGAAACACAGGCGTAGCGTAAGAAATCATGCCAATCGCGGACAGGCAGAGCAGTGTGGACCGGGTCAGGGACTCCAGCGTTGGGGGGATGTGCTGGTGAGAAGGTGGTGCCAGAGGAAGACGTTTCAGCTCAAAGAAAGTACTAGTTATGAGCAGTAACGGTCATAAAGAATCATTAAACTGATCATAAAACAAAGTTTCATTGCAAGCAAGTCTACATTCTTCGAATTTGATTCCCTTCCCAGAATTTAGTCTGTCCACCCACTTAGCTACCCACTTCTCTTTGGTGGGTTAGCTACCAATTACCTTGGGAATGTGATATAGATGGTACTATACTGTACGCCTTATTTACCCATGGGCTTTATTTTATCCAGTGAGACAAACTGTAAACCTTCCCAGCATCTATAGATTTCTTTACAATGGTTACTTGTTATTAAGAACATTTCTAGCTTTTTCTCTACATAAGACTTAATTTTCTGTAATTGCAGCTCACATACTCTTCTTGGTTTTGACTGGATTATTTGACATATTGACTTTCAGATGCTCTTTCTAGAATATAAACGTTTCTTCTCTCTTTACGTGAAAATTTCTCTACCCAGGTAACCTGGCACAGAGGTAACTGCCCTATATACCCTATGCCCTCTGCAGATACGCTGCTGCGCTTTATGGCATAAAGCCTTATTTAACTCAGCAACTCTTCCAGATAATGACTGCTGCGTCTTTCCATTCCCAGCGCACACTCCTTCCAAGGAGTTTCAGGTGTGGGGTGTCCTGACAACAGTGCCAGGAAAACAGCAAAATTTCTCAGTACATTAGGGTGTGGGTGAGACAGAGGCATCCATTGCAAAGTGAGGGATGGAAACTAGAGTTTTGGTGCTGATATTTATTTTAAACAAACAAATTCTCAGCAGACTTTTTTGGCCCCCTGCATGCATCTAGCATTCTTTCTTCTAACTTGAGGGTAATTTAGGGCTTTCTAAGTCCACTCTGGAGAAATCAGCAAGGCAAGAGACAGGTTCCCTGGATGCCTTTCTCATTCACCCTGAGGACTTGCTCTTGGGTAGTCCAATTTCAGTTTGAGGTTTGTAATTTTTTTTTATAAGTAACTAATTGCTTATGTTTCCCTTAGATATTTACATGAATGAATTCTCTTAATTCTCAGGATAAACCTTTGAAAGGAAACTGGGTATTTTGGGGGCATTCCTTACTGTCTCTGGTCACATAAAGCAGCCATAATTTAGGTACCATCTGATACAGGTAAAAGACAGCTGAGATTCACTCCACACCCCTCCCCCCCGAATAATAGACAGGTTTTCTTATAAGTGTATAAATTCTCCATAAAGAGGATCCATGATTTAACTTAGAGTGCTTTTTAGCTTACATTATGTTTACTTTCAAACCTGAAAGTAACTCGGGTACTCACCTGATCAATGATATTTGTATCTGCTGAAAAACGATTCAGAATCAATCCCAGGGGTGTGGTATCAAAGAACCTAGGCAACGAATGGAGTGAAATGTGTGACAGTGACTATTCTGGAAACAGCACTGAGAATGGACATTTGGGAGTCCCCAAAATGAGAAGGTCCCTATTCAGCTGCTCAAGGATGGAAGAAATCTTTAAAATTTCAATATTTATTTGAATTAAACTATAGGTTTGCATGACTTTTGTGGGTGAGAGTGTGCAATAACTATTGTTTTACCTTATTGGTCCAAGAATTATCTTATTGAGGAGATTGTGGTGAAGATTCTTGGCAGCTGTGAGGCCCATCCATTCCACAGTGAGAGATGTGACAAGGCAGAGGAAAATTCCTGCTCCACAAAGTATGCTAAACCCAGCCACGTAGTAGGTCTAAAAGGCATTCAATACAAAAGAGAGCATGAGAAACAATCCCTTCAGTGTTTCCTTAGAGAACCATCATCACCGTCAGATAACCTGTCCATGGCGCTGGCCTGCACCAAGTTGGCCAGGGCAGGAACTCACTCTGGAGACTCTGGTAGCTACTCAACCTTAGCTCTGATGCCAAGTCCCACTTGCTTTTTCCATTCTCTTTCAAGGCTTGCCCTGCTGGGGCATTCATGTCTGTTTCAGAATGTGAAGTATTCCTGCTTTCTGCACCACGACTCATTCAACCTGGCCTCAGAATGCCCGGCTAGCACACTGGCATCACTCGTTAACATCAACCAGCAGCCCAAACCCCAGCTGTGAGTTACACAGACATCATGACTATGCTACACCACTGCCTCCAAATCCAAACATTATCTCCATATATTCCATTCTGAGGGGAAGGCACATTATCTTGAAATGCTTATGATAAATTAAGAAAAATGAAAGTGTCAATACCAGAGACCATGTTGATCATTCATTCCAATTTAGTCCCTAGTAGAATTTATTACCTCATTGAGTGATTTCCTGTCTTCTACTGACTTTTGTTCTTTTTCCAGGTTCTTAAGGTGGGAGATTAGGTGGTTTCTTTTTTCATTATGTGAGCCTGTATTGCTATATATTTTCTTCTTAAACTACTTTTAATGTATCCCCTAAGTTTTAATAGGGAAGACATGGAATCAACCCAAATGCCCAAAAATAGGTGACTGGATCAAGAAGATGTGGTACATATACACTATGGAATATTACTCAGCAATCAAAAAGATAAACTCATGTCTTTGATGGAAAGGATCATGTTTAGTGAAATAAGACAGAAAGAAAAAAGAAAAATACTTGATGATTTCACACATAGCAGGAGCATAAGAGGTTGAGAAAACAAAATCAATTGTAATAAAGAAAAAATGCAAATCAATGGGCTACTATAAGCCAGAGACATTCTATGGGGGTGGAGAGGGAAATAGGATCAAAACTGGGGTGGGAAGAGAGCACAGAACTATGGTGATGGCACATGTGTGAATTGGTAATGGGAAGTCCTTAGGGAGTACAACCAAGATGAAAAAATGTACAAAATGAAGAATGATGTAAAAAAAAAAATTACAAAAAAAAAAAAGTCATCAGTTCACTGAATAGTCACATGTGCTTACGATGAGGTAAGAGATGGCACCATCAATCCCTGGTACCTGATCAGCTTTTCCAGTGTTAATGCTGTACTCTGATGTCCATGTGGCCAGCCAGTAGTCTATAGCTACAATCACCGAGTGCTTCAGAAGCTTAGAGAAAATCATCAGGAACAGCAAGAAGAAGCCCCCAGACGTGAGGTACCGCCAACATGTTTTCCATGGCATTTTTGTCCTGAGTCTCAACACAGTGGACATATTATCATCCTCATCCTCCTCCTCTTCCTCCTCTGCAAACAGAACACTTGTTTAAGGTTCAGATGGGTAACCACTAGATAGAATTTGCACTGTCACCCACCCCCAAATACAAAGATTCTCCTTTCACTATATTTTAAGACTAAATAAGTAAGGAAACTCCTCTTTTTATATATATATATATAAAAAACCAGGTGAAGCATGAAGTAAAACCAACCTGCATGAGATAACATGTCACATCAAATTGACTGCGATTGTAGGCCAAACATTTACTAAGTGTTTGAAGGAACTGTGTGGCCGATAAAACCACATGCCTGATCCACCAGCACTTATAGTTTGTTGAATTTCTGAATGTGTCAAGCTGTACCAGGAGGAGATAGGCTGCAACATTGAGCATAGGGAGGCCTATGCTGTCCCTCTCAGGAGGGAGAATCTCCCAGAGCACAAAGGCAGTGCCACAGAGAACCATGGATAGGAAACTCCAAAAGCTGGCCTAAGAGCAACCTCCATGAGGAGACCAGGGAACTGGGTCTTTTCTGAGCAGTAAAATCTGATCAGCCCGATGCTCTGGTGGTGACTGCCTGCTTCTTCTTCTTCCCTTTCAGAAGGGTGGCTGCGTGGCCACTGTCCTGGGTGTCCTGCACTGCTGTCTGCTGAGCAGGTTGTAGGGGGCAGGACAGGCAGCTTGTCTTCGTTTGATGGGTATCGGCCTCCAGAGACATAAATAAAGGCTTGAACTGACAACTGAGTGTCACCAACCAGCCCGATACTCAAAGTGGAGGCAGTAGATGGACTGGTCTTGGGTAATCCCTCCTTGGCAAAGGTGGGGCTCAAGGGCTGAGGACAGGAACCAAAATGTGCATGACCAAAGGATGTGTACACCTGGCAGATGGCTAGCTGTCTGCACAGATCCATGTTAACTGAAAGTTCAGTTTGCCTGTGGCTGCCCAGCTGAAGACTGCATTCTCACTTTCTAACGATGTTGTCTGTCCAGAGCAGGAAATGGCCAGTGATAAGCAGTGGAAACAGTATGCGTGTTACCGTTCTTCTTCCCTCCCTGGTGACTTGAACAGACACTGATGGACCAGGAGCAGCAACCAAAAAGGTAGATACCAGACTCTGCTTTCTCTCATATGTCCCTGTGAGGAAAACATTTCTGTTCTATTTGATACTTAAGAAAAGAGCTTTCCACAGCAAGTCCAAGGCAAGGTTATGTTCCCACTGGAACACAGACAGTAATTGGGCATGACTTCACCTTTGGGTGCATTAGAGGTAATTGCCCTAGAATTCTAGAGTATTCAACCTGCCTTACTGACAGCACCAGACATTTTTTGTTCATCCTTTTACTCAATATTTGTTGAAACACTGGGTAGTTGTATGAAGCACAGAGGTGGCACACGCTGGCCTTCTCTGGCTGGAAACGATGAACTTCTCTGTTTGTTAGTTCACTTGGAGGAGACAGTCAAGCAAAAATTGCATAGAGAAAATGGAAGCATTGTACATGTACAGACTGAAGTATGATTTAGCTTACAAACTTCTTGGCAGCAAATGCCAAGGCAATGTAATTATTTCATCTCCTCCCTCAGATTTCCAGTAAATCCCATTATACCTTGTGAGATCCAGAAAACAAACCATAACAAATGGCTTTCTAATTCTCTTATCCTTCATTGCTACACTGCCTTGAAAACCCCTTGTGGAATTACTGAATGTCTTGACAATAGGTAGGGCAAAAAAGGATTTTCTCCTTCTTTCCCATTCATGATTTACTTCTGAAGGATGGACATTTTCTTAACACTTGATTCAGTCATTAGACTGGACCTGCCCAGGTGCCTGAAGCCGTGCTTCATCTACTGAGCTTTCCATGTGTCTTCTCCTCCTCTTCTCACAGGAAGTACAGACGTAGCAGAGCCTTCAGGGCCCACCCTCGGGATGGCCTTGGATGGGGCCCCTGTCCTTTTTATTCTCAGCAGCACACCCTGCAACGTGGCTCGTCACTCCTCACGGACACACTCGTCTGTGGCCAAGGTGAAACCCTCACACTCTGCTGCCCACTGGGATATTCAGTGCTCAGAACAAAACCCACCTTCATCCTCATCCTCTAGCTGGGCTTTGGCCTCTCTCGAGTACATGGCCCTTCGGAGAGTCTTCCTCTCTAAGGTCGTCTGGTCAGCTTCCATATCCTGCAGAGGACACAGTACATCACTGGGTGGCCCCCAGCCCCAGCCTAGCTTGGACTCACCCCACAGCACCCACCATACTATTGCTGTTCCCTTGATGGGGCTCCCACATATTCCAGAGAACCCCTTGCTCTTGCCATAGGAGGTGTGTGGGTACACCTGAGAGGAGATGACTAGGAATTACGAAGTCAGAAGGAGTTTCTTTCCCACCTCACTAAGAGAAAGGGGAGGCATGGGAATTGAAGGAAGTCAGGTAACCTGGAAGCAAATGGGTGATTAGGTACTTATCATTTGGTGAGGTACTGGACGTTTAGGACCAGGGAGGGAGAGATGAGAAGGGAAAGGAGTCCGAAGCAATTTGTTGAGAGAACATTGGTTTGTAAAATAGTACGTTTTCAAGGTGTAGTGTCCCCCTCTTCAGCTGTGTGTCCCCATACCACACCCACCCGTGAGGGACCCGTGGTCCTCTACTCTCCTCCTATGTCCCTACCTGTAACCTCAACTCTAGTTAGACTTCTAGAGCGTATGCTTGGTTTTGTCAGACACTTTGTTTTGTTTTACTATATTCCACATAAAATGAAACCATCTGGTATTTGTCTTTTTCCTCCTGACTTATTTGCTAGCGTCATCTTCTCTAGCTCCATCATGTTGTGGTGAAAGGCAAGAGATCATCTTTCCTTTGTAACTGAGTAGCAGTCCACTGTGTGTGCACACCAGTCTTCTAAATCCACGCATCTGTCTCTGGGGCCTTAGTTTGCTTCCATAGCTTGGCTATGGTGAATAGTGCAGCTGTGCAGACAGCCCTCAAATGAGTGACTTGGCATCCTCAGGTAGATAGTGGAAGTGGAGTTGCTGGATTTTATGGTAGAGCTTTTTTATTTTTTAAGGTTTATTCACTTGTACAGAACTGGGGTACAGGGAGATGCGGAGGGTGAGAGGATTCACAGAGACAGAGTGGGGAGCAGAACAGGCAGCTCGACGAAGTATACTGCTGAGGGGAGCAGCGGGCGGGTCAGGAGAGGTCTGCCGCACTATGAGGTCACCTCTGGGGCAGGCGGGAATTGAACTCATGCAGAAGTGGCTTAAGCTTCTTTGTGCTGTGCTTTAACCCGCTGCACCACCAGGGAGGGCCCGCTATTTTTAATTTTCAAAATAAAAACTAAGTATGACTCCAGACTGGCCTTCTGCTCCAGAGCAATCCCTTTTCTCCACACCCCTACTGCCAGCTCCTCTGCCCCCAAGCTCAGTTGTAGGGGCCCCGTCAAGTTCTGCAGGACAGACAAGGAAACTGAAATCCTCGATTCTGTGGGTGAATGCATCATCCTGAGTTCCAAATAACTGACCTGCAGACTCCTGGACTCTCTGGGAATTTGAGGGCTTTGTGTATGTGCCAATACAAGAAAAAAAAATAATGCAGTTTGACTGTTACATCAATAAACCAATAAATCTTTGGTGATCAGTCTCTAGGTAGTGATCTTGGTTTCTGGAGGTTTGTTTTGGCCTCAAAGAACATGTGTGATTTAGGAGACTTGCTATGCTAGAAGGCTCTGTTGCTTCCAGATTCTTGGTTTCAAAAGAGTATATTTTTCAGAGACAATTTCACAATAGCTTTTAATTTTCCCTAATGGTCTGAAAACCAGCACTTTATATGATATTAAACATAAAATAAAAGAGGCTCCAGTCCTGTGTGTTTAGTGTGATTAAGTGGGACTGCACATGAGAAGATTTGTTTCTTCAACTTTCCATGCTGTGCAAGCAAAAGATTTACCATCTTAGAGACATAAAAGAAATCTTTACAGTAATTTTTCTTTGGAGTAAATGCTCATATTAAGCTCATTCAAAGTTAAGTACTTTAAATTATGTTGATATTTGGATAAAGTAAATACAAATTTAGTTTTGTTTATTCAGTAAATATTTACTGATTGTTAGCAGTGGGGTCCATGTGAGGACTTAAAGTTTGGGGAGGGAACATCAGTTGAGGTGCATTTATTTTGCTTAATACGTTAATTACGAAGATAACGGTTGGTGCCATCTGAACTAGCATTGTAAATGGTATTGAAGTCACTCCTTTGTCTCTTTGTGGTCTTCATTGCTATCCTGTTGATGTTTTTCCTGTTTGCCCTTTAACCAGTCACCAGCAGCACCATCACAGGCTTTGCGGTCTGCTAGTTTCTCCTTTCACACCATCTGTTCTGGCTTGAGGCCTCTTATTCTGCCTGGGCAGAACTGACACATGGAGACAACCAGGGGTGCCCTGTGCATTGCAGCACCCCTGCCTGCTACCTCCAGGTACCAGTAGTGCCTGTGCCCCAATCATGACCACCACCCATATCTCCAACATGTTTCCAAATGACCCTAAGAGACAGCACCAGACCTGGTTGAGAACCAGTGTCCTAGCAAATATCCAGCTCTTCTGCATAACAAAAGAAATAACTGAGTACAGGCCCCCACCTGTGTTCTTCTGGTCTTGTTGAGCATGGCATGACTCTAGGCTTCTGTGGATTCAGGTGCCCATTCTCCAGCCCCAGGTATGAGTCCCCGCAGGCGTGGGGTGCCTTCTGGCTCCCACTGGCTGGCATTCCACCTCACAAGAGGCTTCGCGCTGTCCACACCCTAACTCATCCTACATCTCCCTCTGCTGATTTATCACCCTGTCATATGTCTTCAATTATGGAGCCATGCTGAGTGATCACTTTATTTCTAAATACAACTTAATGGACTTTCTTCCTGGCTTGCTTAACAGTATTACTAGAACATCAAGCCAACAGCTCTTGCTTGCTATTTCCCCCCCCCCCCACATCTTCTTTCCAAAGTAAACCACACATGGCCCCAACTCCTTAAGCTTACGTCATTTTCTTTTGTCCCTGGCATCTAGATCACTGAAAAAATGTCATTTGGAGCCACCCCCAGGGAATTTATAATCTAGGTTCTCACAGTGTAATTCCTCAGTAGGTACTTGCTGACGGTACCTTATGGTTTTTTTGAATAATATTCTCCTTTTCACAGCTCTGCGATTTTCCTAGTTTACTTAAGGCTTCTTACATACATCTTTTCTTCATTGGTTAGTTTGCTTTTGAGATCTTTGGCAAATTCGCAGAAGAAAGAGGAGTCTCAGGATCTGACTTTTCATTTTCCTCTCAACGGAATCATAGAGGCTCTTAATTCTTTCTAAAGGGACACATTTTAATTTCTTGATATTATCAAAAATTTGCTGATATGAACATTTCACTTTAATATTCCTGGCCAGAGATACCATATGCTGGATAACTCCTAGTCCCAATTCAAAACACTGAAAATTTTACGAAGTTACTGTTTCACCTCTCATCTCAACCAAAACTTTGGTTCATTAATTGTGCTCAGGCTGGTTCCGACTATTATCACCTCATCCAATGGTATATTTACAGCACATGTAACATAGTAATGAAATAATTACATTGGGTATGTTCTGTTTACAGCAGATACTAAGTGTATCTGTTGTGAAACTTTAGGTAAGTTACTTATCCTCTCTGACAATTAGTTTTCTTCTCAATACAAATAAAATCACTTGCTTTGCTTGTTTCTGGGGTTTTTTGAGAACTAAATGAGATCATTTTTTTATGAGCTCTTGTGGACTTTAAAAACTATGCAAATGTAAAATTTTATTGTAAATTCTTTCTGGTCACGTTCCTTCACCCCTACTCCAGACATGCCTTACAATGTCACCTACGGCTCCCTGTCCTTCCTTCTTTCAAAGACATACCAGATTTGGTTTTGCCATCAGTGAGGGGGACACATGAAAACATTCTCATATTACAGATGAGAAAAAATGAGATAGAAGGCAAGTAGGATAAAATAAGGCTATCCCAGGCTTTAGCAAGTAGTCTAAGTACACATATAATTGCAGATCAGTTCAAAATCAGATAAAGAGCCTCTACAAACCTGATCACACTTCATCCAAAAGATAACATTAAAATTTTACAGTTTCAAAGGAGCCCCTTTGTACCAACAGATCAATATAGATTTTGCAATTCAAATAGAAACCACATTGTCAAATCCTAATGGTAATAGTTATTTAAAGTAACTCTTAGTAATTCTAGTCACTTATGGCTCCTGGAGCTCTTCTACAGGTGAGCACTCACCTTCTCTAGTTCCTGATCTTGCCGATTCATCAGTGTTTTCCAGTGTTCATAAAGCTCAACATCTTTGGTCTGAATATCTTTCAAAGTCCCTTCTCTGAGCACCGTCCCATCCTTCATGGCTATGATCTAAGGAAAAAAAACACATGTTAGCAGAACTGGGACAAAAAGCTTTCACTGACCAAAGCAATTACCTGCATCTCAGAAAGCATCTATGTCCTTATTAAATGACTAACAAAAATTAACAAAGCTTCACTTTAAGCTCTTACCCAGTCGGCATGTGTTAGGTATTGTAGTTTGTGGGTCACAAGAACAAGTGTCCTCTTGTCATCCTGGAGAAACTTCAAAATCCCTTCCTGCATTAAATGGTCGCTCAGGTGTATGTCCAGAGCCGAGAATGGGTCATCCTGAGGCCAGGATAAAGGAGAGAGGGTGAGAAGTTTCTGTGGGCTTTAGGTAACTCATTTCCTCTAGAAAAGACAACTACAGATAACTAAAGGCATAAACTTAAATCCAGTTTATAACAGACAATCATTTTGCATTGTCAGAAGAACTATTAAAGCTTTCCTCTTGCAAAGCAAAAACCAAAGTGGCTTGATTATATATAGAGACAATCTTGAAGTTCAAAAATCCAACAACCTATACTCTTTAACTAGCAACAATGGACCAAAACAAAAATTGGTGTAGCTGAATTTTAAGTAATAAGGACAGGCCTAGACTCCGGACCAAATTGGCAATGTAGGAGGCTCTGGGACTTCCCCTGTAGGAAGAATGCACTTAACATGGAGCTATACACGGAACAATTGATTCCAGTCCCCATCTCCCTTCCAAGATAGAACCAAGTCACCAATATCTGCGTGGAGGTGTTTCTTTCTCCTCATATCTAGTGCCCCAACTTTTATAGGTGTCTCCCAAGGGAGCAACTCCCAAATCACTTAGCTCTAATAGCCAAGGGCTTGTATTAATACATCCCACAGGTAACAAGAAGCAGTAGCAGTTTTAAGACAGGTACAGGAGTGACTTCTATGGTTCTACACCAGGGCTCTGTGAAGAGGGGGAGAAAAAATACCCAAGGCCCAGTTTCTTGTCGGATGTAGTTTGACTAGATGCTTTCCCAGCTATTGCCTGAGGTTCCAGAAAAATCTTAACAGTCATTTCTAGTCATGAGATTGCGTTATAATAAAAAATGTCCCGGGCCCTCCCTGGTGGCGCAGCGGGTTAAAGCACAGCACTGAGAATCTAAAGCCGCTTCCTCATGAGTTCGATTCCCGCCTGCCCCGGAGGTGACCACATGGCATGGCAGACCCCTCCTGACCCGCCCGCTGCTCCCCTCAGCAGTGTACTTCATCGATCTGCCTGCTCTGTTCCCCGCTCTGTCTCTGGTGAAGCCTCTCACTGCCCCTGAGCCTCTGGCCTGTACCCCAGCTCTGTATGCACAAATAAAATAAAATCTTAAAAAAAAAAAAAATGTCCCAACTAGAAAACAAAAACACGAACAACCACCCATAACTACGTAGCTTCATTGGTAATTTTATCATACATTTAAAGAAAAATTAATAACAAACCTTCTCAAATTTTCCCCAAAATATAAGCAGTGGAAACTTCCAATATGATTTTATGAGATTTGACAGGACACTAAGACATGCAATGAAAATATAAGAAAAGCGAATGACAGGCCAGTATCCTTGATAAACATAGATGTAGAAATTCTCAGCAAAATATTAAGAAACTGAATTCAACAGTTAAATGAAAAGGATTATACTATGTTGCCAAGTGAGATGTATTCTAGGGATGAAAGAAGGGTTCAACATGTGTTTCAGTGAGTTTGCCTGTTCTGCTCCCCACTCTGTTTCTGGTGAGTCCGCTCACCACCCCCACCACACCTCTGGCTTGTACCCCAGTTCTTGTATGCATAAATAAATCTTTAAAAAGAGATCAATATGACACAGCACATTAACAAAATGAAGAAAACATAATTCACCTGATACAGAAAAAAACCCCTCAACATCTACTCATGATGAAAATTCTGATCAAAGTGGGTTTAAAGGGAAGGCAACTCAATATAATAAAGAGCTGATACGACAAGCCCACAGCTAACATTGTACTCAACACTGAAAGGTTGACAGCTTTTCCTCTGAGACCAAGACAAAGTTGCCAAACTTCACCAGTCCCATCTGACGTAATACTGAGTCTACTTAGACGACCATTAAAAGAAAACAAATAAAGGCATCCAGGTCAGAGAAGAAAAACTGTCTCTATTTGCAGATGACAGACATGACACTGTGCAAAGAAAACTCTATGGAGACTCCACTAAAAAAAACTGTTAGAAGTAAGTGAATTCAGTGAAGTAAAGTATAGAGTCAATATACAAAACCAGCTGCATTTCTATATTCTAATAATGAACAAATGCTCTAACAATGAACTATTAGAAAAATCGAGAAAACAATCACCTTATAACTGCATCAAAAATCAGATACCTAGAAATAAATTTAACTTAGGACAAAAAACCTGTATACTGAAAACTATGAAACACCAATGAAAGAAATGGAAGAAAACACAAATGGAAAGGTATTTTGTGTTCATGGTTTAGAAGAATTAATGTCATTAAAATGTCCATACTGCGCAAGGCAATCTACAATGCAAATTCATCAAAATTCCAATGGTGTTTTTCACAGAAGTAGAACAGTCAATCCTAAAATTTGTTTAGAACTACAGAAAGCCCTAAAAAGCCAAAGTAATAAAGCTTAAGGCATCAAGCTTCCTGGTTTCAATCTAGATTAGGAAGCTATAGTAAACTCCCACATACATGTCCAGTTAGTTTCTGACAAATGTTACACTTGGGAATAAAGAGGAAGCCATTCTCTTACCAAGAAGACAATGTTGGTGTTCTGGTACAGGGCTCGCGCCACACAGATTCTTTGCCTCTGGCCTCCACTCAGATTAATGCCCTAGAAGAGAAACATCCATAAACACCCACCTTTTACATTAGCAAATAATCTATTGGTTTTTATGAATCCCATTAAAATACAAATTTTCCTTAAAAAAATATCTAAGTTGAATGTAACTTACTAATGAACTTTTGATAACATTGCTAAAACAAAACAGCCACGCGGTAAAAATTTTAATTAAGTTAGGTAAAGGTGGATTGATAGCAGTAATCTCCTCTCCATTCTGGAGACTGTGCTGTCCAGAAGCATTCAGACCAGACAACTGGATAGCAAACGATCCCCAAATACTGCCCAGTTTTGTGAATTGTGGTTGTTGCATCCTTAACCTTAATTCGAAGTTACAAGTTATGTTTAACTGAACTTCCCAGCAATCCACTTTTATAAACAAGTACTAATTAATAGTGCAAATTTTAAACAAGTATGTAGTGTGTAAATGGCTTCACATTCCTTCTGTTTCTCATGGGAATTCCAATATGTAGGTTCATTTGACATCCATGGAAGCTAAGACTCCGAGAGTGAAATTTATGGTCTCCAGTAGTCACTGCAGTAAGAACCACAATGAGGAATGCAGACTAAGAGTCAGATGTGTCACAGCTGCACCCCTAACTCATCACTTCCATCATGTGCCTCAACCCCTGTTAGCTTTAGTAACACAGTCACTTTCTCAGCTGCAGTAAGTAGATCACAAAACCACCCACCTATCAGATTTGTTGTAAAAGCTTATCATCCATGCAAAGCCTTTTGCCCAGGACTAGACACCTATAAGGGTTAACATTTTGGGACAACACTTTATAAAGATTACATTCAGGTATAAGTAGTTTTCAGTCGGTCAGCAAATCGTGACATCAGTGCAAGATGTATTTATACAAGATGTTGACAAGAGGGGAGAGTGATTTGTCAGAAGCTTGTGTCCAAATCAACTTAAAGTAAGCTCCAAGTAAGGAAGATGCCTTTGCGGCATCTTTGAGGTTCTTACTGCTGCTTTTTTCCTGAGATCTCTCAATGGGCAGCACAATGTCAAGTGTATGAAGGTCACTTAAATACTTAAGGGAGCACACATCAGATGATCCTGAGCTCCGACTTCCGGGCCTCATCACCATGGCAATAAAAACTGTGTGCTCAAGTTTTGTTATGCTCCACAGAAGGTTCAAGATAACCACAACATTTCTAGATCTTGGCTCCCAGCTTAAGAAAACTATACACAACTCACCCGCTCTCCAATTTCAGTTTGGTCTCCAAATGGTAGTAAGTCAATATCTGGCTGAAGAGAACAAGCATCTGTGACAGCTTTGTACCTTTCGGAGAAATCATTTTTGATTTTTCAATCACTATTAATATTCTCATATAATTTGCCTACAAATGAAGTCCCAAGTTCATTAGGTTGCAAACAAATACATTGTTTTGGACACCTTCATATACATAAGCCTTTACACTCGTCTGTGGATACAGATACATAGGTAATGGATCCCACTCTTAATCAAGCCAGTAAGTGAAGCTGATAGAGCTGGGAAGGCATGATAAAATGTACTGTTAGAAGCTATAGCACAAAGGATTCAAGGCACAAAGTGTTCCTTGAAACCACATGAGGAAATGACAAATCCTCTACCTCCAAATGCAGGTGGTGACACCTTTACAGTGGAGGCAATGGGTTGTTTGTCACCAGGAAGATGACTTGTAATTTGCCAAAAAGAGAATGAGGATCAGGAAGCTTAAGAAATGGCTTGAGGGCCCTCCCTGGTGGCACAGTGGGTTAAAGCACAACACTAAGAAGCTTAAGCCACCTCTGCATGAGTTCAATCCCCGCCTGCCCCAGAGGTGACCACATGCCAGGCAGACCTCTCCTGACCCATCTGCTGCTCCCCTCAGCAGTGTACTTCATTGATCTGCCTGTTCTGCTCCCCACTCTGTGTCTGGTGAATCCTCTCACCCTCCGCATCTCTGGCCTGTACCCCAGTTCTGTATGAATAAATAAATAAATCTAAAAAAAGAAAAAAAGAAAAAAAAAAAGCAATGGCTTGAAGGTGAAGACAGTCTTGGTGCATATGGACAACAGGAGGCCCCTGGAGCTCAAGCTTAGGCTTGTCAAGCTTAAGCTTGTGCGTGCGTGTGTGAGTGCATGCACCCACGTGCCTCCTGCCTGCTAAAGGAGGCCTGTGAGGAGTGACCTATACACGCTAACCTAGGGCTAGGGCTGTAACGGATGGACTCTAGTCCAGGAAAGCAAGGAGACCGGGAGCCAGAAACCATCATTGGTTTCATTTTCTCAGTTGCTTAGTCCTAAAATATCCAAACCATCCTTGATTCTTTCCTCTTTTTCTCCCTGTCCATTCTTATTTTAGAAGGGTTTCTGTCAATCCTCACTTCTTTTCCATTTCTCATGTTTTCTCTAAGTGCAAATGAGATAATTGTACCAACACATTTCCAACTTCTAAATGTCTCCTTGCTCTTAATTGAGATTCATCATTCATGGGTTTGTGTATGTATGCAAATACATATACATGTATATATCTCATTCACCGTTACATTTACCTTGCCCCCTCTTTAAAACTTTCTGTGTCCCCTAAAGTGCACCAACTCACTTCTACTCAGCTCTCCACCACCTCACCTCACCTTTCATTATCCTCTAGTTTCCACTTAGTACACTCAAGTCCCTTTCTGCCTGGTGTGTCCCAGGCCCCAGATGATCCCATTTCTGCAGTGTCTTCCTCCCATACACCTGCTTTCCTCCCCACTCCTCTCCCCTTCTTCCTCATGCTTCCCTCCTTACCTCATTTAATATTCAAGACACCTCATTTAATATTCAAGGCGAGGGTCATAAGAACTACCCTCTCAGGGTGGCTTAAGGAAAGGATCAAACTTTCACACACTCACTGATCCCCACATGCTGGCCCCCCTCTCCGCAATTAATTCTCTTCTGCTCTTGGGATGTTTTCCCCACGCTCCAGCATGCATCTGTGCACATGCGTGCACACACGTTTGGTGCTCAGGTTCAGCGTACAAATTGTTCTTAGTATTCAGGATGGGCAGAAACGTCCAATGACCCTTCTTTTTAAAAAGTTCACTAAAAAGACTTGGCAATGATGGAGAAGCAGTGCAGGTGGGGAGGAACGAAGGACTCAATATTGAGTCCAGAAACTTGACCCAAACATAAGGGGTGGGATAGTTGATCTTTTTGGTTCACAGTTACCTCTGTTTGTTGAAAGGACTTCCAAAAGTAATATTTTCTTCTACTGTAGCATTGAGGAGCCAAGGCTTTTGAGCTGCATAAGCCACAGAATACCTGTTTCTGTTGGAAAATGGGACAACTCAAAATTATGCAGAGGCATGGCACCGTGCACATTGCTTAGTCTTACTAAGGAAAATAAAAGGCGATGCACTACCTGAAATACTGACATGGAAATTCTGAGATCATGCCTACAAACACCCACTTAGTCAAGATTAAAGACCTACCTCAGTGAAAGGGATTAGAATTAAAACACCACACAATGTGCGTTTTTGTAAGAGAAAGGTTTTAAGATAGAAACTTTTAATCAAAGTTTTCATTTCTATGAGTGTAATTTTTTTTATTTTTTTATTTTTTTATTACAAAGTTTATTTTTACATCATTTTGCTCTATGAGTGTAATTTTAAAACTAAATCATTGATTGCAATTCATTCTCTCCTGTAGCCACAGACATTTTACTTTAAAAAAAGGATTCAGACTGGCTTAATCACACTATCACATGTCAAGATAATAGGTGCTATGTAAATACTTCAAAACAAATGGTATCTTGAAGTCCATTTCAGTACTGAAATAACTACACATTTAAAAAGTACATTATTTCAATATATATTGAAATAGTAAATGATCACCTCCCCCCTTTCTCCCATTTTTTTTGGCTTGCAAATTTTACCAGATGTCTATACATCAGATTTTAATTTGGAATAATTAGGAAAATACATGTAAGCTAATGCTAAATGGATTGGGGTGGGAAGGGAATCAGCTTAAAAGTCGCACTTCCGGTTAGTTCATGGTCTGTAAGTATAACTGAGGAGTGAAGGTTAGAGAGAGGAAGGTTAAGGAAGAGTAGTTAGAAATGCTTGGTAGTTTCCCTGACACACGCCTTAGGCACTGAGCTGGCGTGATCGCAGAGTGTGGCCATCCCTGGGGGCCCAGCCATGGGCAAAACAGTGGCTCCCAACCTCTCACAGGCCTGACTTCCCTTGGTCCCTTCAGTGGGTTTGAGTTTTGTTTCTTTTAATAGATTAAATACTTGCTTTTCCAGGTCTCTCTTAGCTAGATCCCATCACTACTTAACTCATCAACAAGGTACACATTCTTGCATTTTGCTTTATGAAATTGCAGATTGAATTGGCTGAGGGCAGTTTGAGTTTCAACCAGATTTGTGATATGACAGGAGAGAAAGGCAGTTGACAAGATGGGCCACTTTTTTTTTTTTTTTTAAATCAGCAAATTCAGCCTTTTAGCGCTAAATGTGGTTGGGAGCCACTGCAACTGGAATATGCTAGTAGCTAACTTTGGACACGATCAGAGTGAACACCATGACTAGGGAAAAGAGACTCAGTATGAAGGAAAGTCTAAGGAAGGAAGTTATTCTTATTAAATGCAGATTAGAACAGAAATAATACCTTCTGGTTGCTTCGAAAGAAGGGTCAGATTCATTTACACTGCAAGTATGGCAAACAATGTTCATTAATGAAATACAAATAGCGAATGAATATGTACACGTATCAGGTAAGACAGAAACATATGCAGTCACTACATTTTCCAGTTGGTTTTGATACTGATTACAAACAGAAACCAGATAAATGATAGCTTTATCAGCTGAGATATAATCACTTTGTAAGCTTCCAAAAGACAGTGCTTCTCTTTCTACAGAACTCAAGTTCACACAAATACCTTGGTTTTCACCCAACTCTGCTTAGACAAATTGTATAATTTCACACAATCTCTCCAGGTAGTTTCTGCTCTACTTTTAAAATTCAAGTTGAACCCATGCAAAGTCCTAATTAGCTCCTATAAGGTATGAGAAGAAGAAAAACTTTTGGGTTCTAAACTTGTAAGTTTTGAATAACGCCTGTGTCTTAAGTAACTAAGAAAGAAAACTGACATTCTCTGTAGATTAAGCTGTATCACTTGGGTATAACTGACAGTTGAATAATGTGATTTATGTCGAGAGGTGTTTGACATTAGATTTGGTTGTATTTAATTAGGAGGAGGCAAAACTGAAACCTTATACATTTCATTCTTTTTTAATATTTCAGAGGAATTCCATTATTCTGAAAGATGTAAATTAAAAAGCCACACATACAATTGAAGATTCATTATGTTACCTACTTGTATTTGGCTTAGAATTGCTTTGGTAATATTTTCATGCCTGCAAATTGCTAATCAACTTGGGCTGGTTGAGTCAGGAGAAAGTCACCTCAACCTAAGAAGAACCTTTCAATTATGGTAACTCCTAGATTTAAGTTCCTCAGCAAAAATACAGTCATGAAATGCACCATTCCCTGAGTGATATTTTCAGCATGATATTCTTTAAATGCCAAGAAATTGGAGCTTTATTTTATGGTGGTAAAAAGCCAATAAGAGACCTCATTGGCTTTCGTTCTCTTGGGGAAGAGAGAGAATAAAAAGGAGGAAGAGCAGGCATGTGGCTTCATCTGCCTCCTTTTGTCAGCTGGAAATGCACCTCAGATGTGTGCAGATATCCATGAGACACTTGAATATGTCAGTCAAAACTGGAAATATAAATTGGTCATCACTTTTTTTTTTTACTGCTACTGATTCACTTCTAACTAGATTCAAAAGATCTGTTCAAAAATACTTCTTTGATCATTTCTTAGTGCCAAAATACTACTGATAGAACAAGCAAGGAAAACTCATATCTTTTCTCATGTTGATTTTTGTTTTATGAGCATGTGACAGGGAATGCCCAGAGGCCAGGTTAAGGCCAAAGGAGGAAGAACACTTGGACAAGTCAGAGTGAACCAAGGAGTTGATACCAAGGCAACAGACAGAACAGCTGGCTGCAGAAAGTGAAGAGGATTTCTGAGCAGAGAACATACACACTGGATAGCTGTCAGGTGTCCAGGTCCTATGAAGAACTGATGGAAATTCAGTGTGGCTGGAAAATGTGAAACATGTGGTGACTTAAAAAGTGTGCACAGCCGGAGAGCTGAGGGGTTCACAGAACACCTCACAGAGCTTGAACTTCTCAGAGCAGTAAAAAAAAAAAAAACAACAAAAAACAAAAAACAAAACCACCGAAGAGTTCAAACAAGAGTGAGGTTAAGTTTAAGTTTAGAAATACCACTCATGCTACAGAATGTGACAAAGGAATTGGAGAGAGCTAGACTAGAGGTAATGCAGACACTTTGGGAGGTAACAGAGACCATTGGAGGCTGCCAACGAGACAGGAAGCCAGTGCCCTTTCCATAATGCTGTATCCCAGACATGGAAGAGATGAAGAGCTGCAAGAAGACACTTACGCTCTCCTCAGCTGGGGAATAATCAAACCTCCACACCTTTTGGGATGTAAAGCACCATTATGAATGCAACAGAAAATTGAGGTGTGGATTAGTTTAAAGGGATGTTACTGAATTTCCTGCAGACTGATTAACATCTATCATTATAAAACTGACATGTTTCTGAGAATTTTAACTGATTTCCTGTTTTTAAGCAATCATTTTAGAGATTATGGCTACATTTAACTCAGGCTGGTAGATTACTGCATTTAAATACTGGAGAATTTAAAAGCAGAGTGAGAAGGAAGCTTGCAGTGGACAATGGGAAAGAGAAGAGGAAAGATTAAGATTATAGATTTTTACTTTTTCTTTTTTTAAAGATGTATTTATTTATGCATACAGAACTGGGGTACAGGCTAGAGGTGCTGAGGCAGGGAGAGGATGCATCAGAGAATGGGGAGCAGAACAGGCCGACTGATGAAGTACACGGTTGAGGGGAGCAGCGGGCGGGTCAGAAGTCTGCCACAACATATGGATCACCTCCGGGGTGGGGATCAAACTCATGCTGAAGTGGCTTTAGCTTCTTAGTGTTGTGCTTTAACCCGGTGTGTACCACCAGGGAGGGCCAGGATTTTTTTCCTTTTTAATTCTACAAAAATAAGGTAAAAGGTAGGAACTAGAAGGCATAAGGATTGATTAGAGAAAAAGACTGAGACAGGTGGGTGAGTCCCACTAATAGGAATGGGTAAAAGCAGGGGCTGGGTTAGAAATGAAGTGAATAAAGAGAGGGGACAAGTTGCTCTGGCTTGAAGGTGTTTCATTCTACACAAGCCTCATCCAGGCTAGTTGTGTGAAGATGGTATAGAGGAATGTACCAGTCAGTCACTTAGGAGAGTAAGAGAAGGTTTTTGTCAAAGAGAGAGCATCTGAGTTATCACTCTGGAAAAAGAGTGTGGCCATTCTTCCAGGAAACTCAGGGAGAATGTGCATCCCAGAGCTGCCTGCACCTGTCTGTCACCAGGGCGCAGGGGCAAGAGTGGCTGGAGGGGCAGCAAAGGAGTTTCAAAAGTTAGAATGAGATTATGAAACACCCTGAGGCAGTGTGCAAAGGTCACTGGGTATTTCTTGTACACTTTGACCAGTTACTAAAACAACTGGATGCAAGAAGAAAATGATTCAATTTCCATGCTAACGAGGGAAGCCTCGAAAAGATGTAAGGTAGGGGAGGGAGTTGGTAGAGAAAGTTGTTCAGTAAGTGAGGAGTCTGGAACTGGAGAGACTGAAACAAAGAAATCTAAGGACAGTTGTGGGAAAAGTAATTGGTTGGATTTGTGGGCAACAGAGAACAACGTAGGTTCTGACTTGAGACACCAACCAGCTGATTTCACTGGCGAGGGACAAACAGGTTGGGGACAGTTGAGGGACTTGAGTTCAGTTTGGATGTGATGAGTTTGCAGCCTGCTTAACAGTTTTTGGAGGAACTGTAGGTCTTCAGAATAAAGATCTGGGAAGAATAAAGAAATGTGCATTGGGTTGTCCTTTACACTTAGCAGCTGACATCAAGAACACTCAAACAAGGAAGTCTAAGGACAACTGTTCGATTCATCATTTATTGAACAGCTTTCTCTACCAACTCCCTCCCCTACCTCACACTGTTGAGAGGTTCCCTCTTTAACATGAAAATTGAATCACTTTCTTCTTGCTTCTAAAGATAAGTAAAAAGAGGTGATCCTATGACAGAGGAAAAATTACAGGAGAATAAGAATAGTTGTCCCCACCCTCCATCACCACTTCTATTCTAGTACCCGACTTTTGGACCCATAAATTTTGACTTTTCTTATAATTTATTCATTTACTCATCACCCTAAAAAAACCTTTCGTGACCCTACTAACAACTCAAGTCAACCATTATTTGTCCTTACAAAACTCTATGTTCTCCTGGCATTTATAAAAATTTAATCAAATAATTCCCTGATAAGCAATGAAATTCATGAAAATACTGGCTTCCCCAGTCAGCTTCTTACCCACAAGAGTGAAGAAAGTGATTTGCATTTTATAAATATTATTAACAAGGGAAAATATCATGGAAACCAAGAAATGAATTGGTTTCAGAGTTATCCATGGTGAACAACTGCAAAAACTATAGGAAAATTAAGTAGAATTGACAGGAAATCAAGATGATTCAGGATTAGACTGTCAGAACAAGATGCCCCATGTGGAAAGCAAGTGAGATAGACATGTGGGTAGACCACTCAAAAAAAAAAAAAGTTCCAATTGGTTGAGAGACCAATAAGTTTTTTTTTTTAAACTGGAGGATAAAAAATGGAATGTGGGGAGCAAGAAATTAAAGACTCCTCTAAGAGAGGATTAATGAATTTAGGAATGTCCTGAAGTAAAGCAAGATACAGGTATGTCTTCACTTCTGAAGACTTCTTAAAGCAAGATCTGTTTTTTCAGAACAAAGGCTAAACATCATATACTAGTTTCAGAAAACAAAAAGTAGATGTAGACTCATTTGTAGGTCATCATTCTCAATGAACAAATTAGAAAAGCTATCCTCTTTCATTTTCCATGAGTAATGCGATGATCCTTAACTTCTGGAGGCTCTCCAACCCTCTCACATAACAATATTCTCAGCAGATTCAACTGCAGAAGATTGTTTTTTCTCTCCCAAAATAAACAGAATTAGCTCTGCATTCCAACATCAGATATGATTTACTTACATGAAAGTCACTGGGTCAATATATAGACTGACCCTCAACCATCTCATGTGGTCATGAAGAGATTTGAAGACAACCGAGAAAGCCAAGATGGAAAATCCCCTTCTGGAAAGATTTTCCTTTAGTGTACAAGATTTGTGTGTGTTTTCTTTCGAAACTAAAAATTAAACTTGGTATTATAGCAACTTTCAAGTGTCATACCTTTCAGTATGGGGGAAAAGAAGCTTCTGTAAGATCAAATCAAGAACAAAGATTCAGAGAAGGGTAGTTTGAGGTGGGTACAAATATGTTACATTATATCTGACCCAGAAAGCTGACTCAGTGTGCTATTATTTCTCCTTGCCAGGCAAAGCCACATGAAGAGAATTAACTCTTCCATTCACTAGGCTTAGAATGAGCTACTGTTGTTAAGCTTTTACACCCAGAGCGGTTCAAGGACAGATGGAGCCTGAGAGTAGGTGGTTGACAGCATAGTCGCAGGAGAAAGGAAAAGAAAGGTGACCCAGCCATCAGTGGTGACTGTCTCATGATCATAGCCATCACCTCACACTGTGGATTCTCTCACTGCAATCGTCGATCATAAAACAGCAATTTAGTTCTAGCTCTTAGAAGTCAGTAGGGATTTCCTTTCCCATATGGCAGCTAAGAAAAGGCAATGTCAGGTAGGCAGAACATTTGCTTTTCCACAGGCTAAAACCCATTCAGAGGCAAAGAGCAAGTACTCTGGCATCCTCTCAGTTTTTGAGAACCTTTCAGTCCCTTCCCAATCTGGTTTAACTTTCTTTTCATGGGTGACATGTCAGGGTAGCTCAAAGGAAGCAACTTTCAAGAAAACATCTACAGGCATCTCTGTGTACCGAATTTTATACATGTAGGAGTACTCTGTAGGGGAGTTCTTCTTTTCCGTCCAAAGTAATATTTCTGGCTGTAATAGGGCAAAGAACGTTACTGGATGTTGCTCATACCTGCCTATGAGGGCACATTTAAAAATAAAATTAGTGCTTTATTATAACATTTATGCCACTGTCTTATTTTGTTTTGAACTAAAATAAATAAATCCAGTCTGATGAAGAAAAGTACTCAGCACTTGTGTATCCTGCTATGGATATCACTAATTTCTTTTTTCAATGGTATTTTTTTTCTTTTAAGGTAACATCAGTGTAGAACACCGTATATGATTACGAGGTACAGGCTGATCCTTCTGCAGATGTCTGTGATCTCACTATACTCGTCCCTAGAGCACCAATGCCTGCTACTCATATAGTCATTCCTCACTTAGCTTGGCTATACTGACATTTACCAGTATGATAATATTTATGTGCCTTTCCTTGTTGGACTAGGATCTTTTCTGGAATGAAAGAGCAATTACAAATAACTATTGAAGAGGAGGTCAGTCACTTCTGAACATTCCTGATCTGAAAATGGTTTATTAAGTTATTAAGGATACCATGAGAGAAAATTATGTCACTATTGCGATTAAAGATAAACAGAATTCATGTTTGCTTATCCAGTCTCATAGAGACCAAGTTTTTAAATTGTGTGTGTGACCCAACATTTTTTGAAGAAAATCTCAGCCTTTTCTGGTGAGCTGAGACTTCTTAAGTCAAGTGTTTACAAAGATGAATTTTAAATTATGAGGATTTTCTAAATAGTTATAATCTTATTTAAACCTTATATTCCTTCTTTTATTTCTCAAGTTTTATTATATTGTTATTTTAAATAATTCATTCTTCATGAAGTGATATGAATGCTATACATTTTTAGGAGATATTTACATATTTAATTTATACATAAATATTTTATTTAAAATAACACAGTATGATGAAAATGGAAAGCATATCTATCTCTTTATATCTTAGGGACACAAGAAAATCTATGAATAGATTATATGGGCTATTTTCCTAACTCCTATCAATTGTATTTATTCCTGAACAAAATGATAATGCCTATTAATCATAACACTGGGAGTCCATCTGACCCAAAGCCCCTCTGACTAACCATCTTAAGTAACACCAGAGAAGACCAGATCAGGAGAATGGTATTTGTACGAAAATTAAGTCTCAAGCTGTTTCAGTGTCTCTCATCCTTTATTTGCTTTAGTGATAGTGAAAGAGTGGAAGATGAAACCCAATAATGTGATGATTGATGGACGTAGAGATCACACAATATCATTTAGTTCAGAAAACATGCTTCTCCAAGCCCACATCCATCCAAAAGGATAGGCAGCCAGCAGCCCAGCCCGCCCAGTGCCTGAGCTTCCCCAGTGACAGCAGCCTGCAGGCAGCAGCCATCACCACGCTCCCTGCTGAACAGTCCTGAAGGAGTCTGCCATCCCATAATGTGCCAGCAGCTTACTATGCTTATTCAACTCCACTCAGCCTCTTCCTTTCTTTTGTCAATAGCAACATAGCACACCAAAAATCTGTTTTGAGTTCACATACTGCACCCTAGCATTGTCTTCCCAGAACTGGAATTTAAAATGAACAGAGAAACAGCAGAATTCACGGCAGCAGGTCCACAGGGACACGAAAGCACATCCGAGTTCTGGCGCGAGTTTCCCAACCCTGGCACAACTGATATGAGTGACTCCTTGCTGTGGGCACCTTGTAGGACGCTTGGCGGCATCCCTGACTCAACAATGGAAATCAAAACTTTCTCCTGACACTGGCTAATGTCCCCAGGGGGTGAAAGCACCCCTGAAAATCACAGGTCTATCACCTCAGTTCTAGAGTAGCTGAGCTCACCACTTTCATAACCTGCTTAAGGGATGTCCACTAAGTCTATCCCCACGTGACTTGCTCTTTACTACACGATCAGGTATCAGTCAAGTTCCAAGTCACTATCTCCAGTGTGCTTCAAAGACCCCTAGGGGAGCCCAGCTGGCTCAGTCAGCAGTGTGCTAGACTCTTCAAGACTCCAAGCCAGCCATTCAAATCTCCAGAACAAACTCCTAGACACCTTTCTCAAATCTTCAGGGTTGCTGAACATACCAGTCTGAGAAACAAATCTCTAGCTACAAGGTCTGCTGTCTGTTTAAATTCAGTGTGAAGAGGAAGTGCCGGTTTCTCTGCCCCTCAGGAAGATTTTGCAGCTGATTATTTGATACTTCTTTTCTAAACATGGGAACATTAAGGATTTTTGCTTTTAAGCTGTATAAATAATGCAAAGTTTGCATAATTCCATGTATTAGAGGATCAATGTTTAAATGATGTTTTTGATGTTACCCATTTAACCTTAATTAAAAATCTACCTGTCATCCCATTCTGACTTGTAGCTCAGCGGCACACCGTTTATACCATGACAAATCTCCATGATAAATTGTTTTATAATCCTTAACTGAGAACATGGAAGTTTCCACTTTTTTTTTTTTTTAAAGCTGTGCTTATTTGTGAGGCATCCTCAGACATCTCACATGAGAATGAGCTGCTACAATTTCCTCCCCTCGAAGACCAACACCCAGTGACAGAACAATGGAAGCCAACCTCCGAGTCACACACCTGGTCCAGTGCACTTTTCCTCCCAGCGTCTGCATCTCTCCAAGGATGGCAAGGAGAAGAGAGGACTTCCCGCAGCCCACCTGGCCAACAATCATGGTTAGCTGACCTGGAGAGACGAGACAAAGGATGGCAACGGAAGAATGGAAGTGCTTAGTGACACAGAATGAAAATACCCTGAGTAAAGGCAGCCGTCTTACAATCTCTGCTCCAGTCTGGGCCTCAGGCATTAGGTGTACTCAGCAATGCCTTTCCCTGATATACAGGTATTTTTGAAAAAAGGAAATGAAAATGTATTATTTATGAATCATTATTATGTCTGAATAATTTCTTATTCATCATTCTGTCATTTTTATCAAACTCTGAGAATAGCTCCTATTAGTGAAGTGAGCAATGAAATCACCACATAAATCCTCTGATTTAGTTTTTGAACTTTATTATTCAATTCTTGCAGGAGGAAAAGGCAGGTCTGACAAAAATAGACCACTGTTCCTAGGATGACTTCTCTAAGGCCTCACTGTGATCACCGACCATCAGGCCCGGTCAAAAATGTTTCTACTATCTAGTCATTTTAAAACATGACTAAAAATAAAGATTACTTTTATTATAAATGAGATATATAAAGATTTATTATAAGAAGGCATACATTTACATTATATTATTTGCCTTAAATATCTTGAAAATTTCTTCAGTCTTCTTCCTCAGGGATAGAAAAATCATTTCTCCATTTATTTTTTAAGCCCTTTCTCAAAAAAAATTAGAAATCAACTACCCCCATTATTTAAATGGGACAAATCAACAAATAAAGTGGTACAGTCACTTGGCCATTAAGTAACCTGCCGAAAGGTCTGCACTGAATAGTCAAAGGCGAGCCTGTCCATCTGCCGTCATTTCCACAAGATCTCCATAGTGCAAACTAATATATGACACACCTTTAAGAAGCTTTTCTTGTTAGGCTCAATTATCTCGGAAATTTACAGATGTGACAATGAACAACTATGCCAATAAGTAATAAATGACTTACCAGTGGGAATTCGAATATCTATATTGGATAAGGTCGCTATCCCACTGCCCCATGAGAAGTACCCATTTGTGACCTGGAAAATAGGAACACAAGATGTTAAATTAGAAAGATATGTACGTAAGTGGTGTCAAGCTGCACTTCTAACTTAAAAGATTTCTTTTAAAGCACTGAAAGACAGACTGCAAGGTGGCACACACAGTGGTAAAAATTTCTAGTTTTGAGGACAGATGAAAAAGGAGTGGAATCTGAGTGAGTGGTATTGTGGGGAATGCTAACAATTACAATTTTCTCTGAAAATTTAGGATTATTGGGTCAATTATATGTGCACATTCTTGAAAAAGCACTATGTAAAATAGCTTCTAATATATTCCCTGCAATGATTATTTCATCACAGTTAGGCAGTTTCCAGAATCCTGGTGATGCAAAGTAAAGGAAATACCTACAAATCATTATAACAAAAATGATTCTATTCGTTGAGTAGGAAGATTCTGTGGTGGGTTTCTAAACTATGTGGATTTGTTGCTAATCACTGACCCTTAAAGAAATAGTGAAGAGAACAGAGAAAGGAAACAAAGAAATGAGGGAACACTGGTTAGTGGAACAAAGAGCAACCAGCCAAGACCACAAGACCAAGGGTCACTTCAAACATCTATTTGTGGTAACTGACTCTCAGTGGACAGTTCACTTACTAGTTACAAAAATGGAAAACAAAGAAGTAGAGCAAGTCCCAAGTATATGGAATGAAAAGACAGATGAGGAGGGGTGGGGTGCCTGAAGAATTAGAGGAACACAAAGAGAAAAACACTTTACCAATATTTTGTCTCAAAGGCACACATAATGGCACTGCTAAACATGTTACTGTTTTTAGGAATCTGATGACACAGATCGGTGGTATGTGAAATGTTGCTAATTCTATTGTTCTTAAAAACGAACAAATTAGGGCCCTTCCTGTGGGCACAGCATGTTAGGATGCACCACTGCAAGCCAGCCTCAGCATGAGTTCGATTCCCCAGCCCTGGAGGTGACCTGTGTGGCGCAGCAGACCTCTCCTGTCTCGCCTGCTGCTCCCCTCAGCAGTGTACTTCATCGATCTGCCTGTTCTACTCCCCACTCTGTCTTTGGTGAATCCTCTCACTGCCCCTGCACCTCTGGCTGTACCCCAGTTCTGTATGCATAAATAAAATAAATCTTTTAAAAAAATGAACAACTTAGTGAGGAAGTTGCTTGAAAGGATTAGATTTTCTTTTTCCATACAGGTTTCCTCTAGCTTGTAAAAGCCCTGGCATTTCGGTCACATCCAGCATGTAGAGGCATGTACAATTAGTCCCGGAAGGAGGGCAGTGCGGAAGGGTGAATTACTGATCACCTTACAAACACTGGCTGTGGGCGGGCTGTCAGGGTTGATGAAAACCACACACAGGTGTGACACATCCTCTCTGTTTCCCTGGAGCCTGCAGCCAGGGGAGTAAGTAAACCGTGGACAGCAGTAAGTAGAATACAAGACAGTCAGGGCCAACTAACCAACAGAGGGGAGACCCAGCCAGTGCAGTCAAAAATCAGAAAGAAAATTATTTACATCAGAGGCGAGTTTAAAGAAAAACAAACAACTTTTCAGAAGACAGAAGAGGTTTGTAGCTAGTGTTGGAAAACACAGTGCATTTCAATGAGGGCATTTTTAGGTAGAGTACTACAGAACAGGCCCAGGATCAGATTGTGGGGAACAATGAGTGGAGTTGGCTGGAGCTGAAGCATAGTGTAGGGCCCTGTGGCTAGTGACAAGCAGTGCTTGTGAGGCCGAGGAACCCCCTCCTCAGAGAGCCGATGAGGAGGCCATGGAGGCACAAACATAGTTTGGGATGCAGGCCACTATGGAACCGAGAGGTCCCAGGTGACCCTGCAGGGAACCGGGAGAGAAGAAAGAAGCTGCAGTTAAGAGGCTGAAGGAGAGAGGAGGTTGGGGGGGGGGTAGAGGAGAGGCAGGGCCCTGCAAGCTGTGGGTGGGGTGCTGAGGCAGTGAGGTTGGAGAGAGCACATCTGCTGTTAAGCCAGCTGGTGGGTGTGTCATTTTCTCCACAGTTCTCAGCTTCTGCTACAGGAGGCAAGAAGGTATGAGGGTGAACACTACTGGGGCAACAGGAAGGTTCTGAAGGAAGAAGCTCACAGTACTGGGGTTACACTGAGGCTCACAATGACAGGAGCCCAAGGGAGCTGCAGGGTCCCAGGAGAGCTGGTTTTAGAGGTGCAGCTTTTTCAGGGGTAGCCAGTTGTAGAAATACAGATTCAGGAATTCCTGGGTTTGGAAATCAGACAGTCTGTGCACTTCGAAGTTGCCAGCTCATCCATCTACTGAGGGAGAAAGATGGATCAGGAGACCAGCACCCACACCCTCAGTGGAGGCGGGGAGTGGTTGGGGTCCTCTGATAACAGGGAGCTGGGTGGGCAAAGCCAGAGCTGCCCAGGGAGACAGGTGTGAACACCACAGGGAAGAACCAGAAGGCGGCGCCACCTCCTAATCTGGGGCCACACAGAGTCAACAAGGGAACCACCTTCACAAGGGGCAGAAGGGGAGACTGCACTTGACTCATGGCTGCCCTTGTGCCTCCACCTCCAGGGCCCCCCCCCCCCACTTTAACAGAACAGTCTCACTTCTTCACTCTGAGGATTAAAATACTGGCTTCCCTCAGCCCAAATGCCCAAAAGTGGATGACTGGATTAAAAAGATGTGGTACATATATACAATGGAATATTACTCAGCAACCAAAGAAAAAGAAACACATGTCTTTTGCAGCATCTTGGATGGAGCTGGAAAAGATCATGCTTAGTGAGATAAGCCAGAAAGAGAAAGAAAAATACCGGATGGTTTCACTCTTAGCAGGAGTATAATGGACCAGGCGAGAAAATAATAAGAATAATGAACTGTCATACACCAGAGACATTTTGTGGGGGTGGAGTGAGGAATGGGATCAAAAATGGGGCAGGGGGGAGGGAAGTGCATGGGACTATGGTGATGGCACACGGGTGACTCTGTGATGGGAAACCCACGGGGACTACAATTGAGATAGAAAAAAAAAGTACAAAATGATGTAAAAATAAACTGTTATAAAAAAAAATACTGCCTTCCCTGACTGGCTGTTTGATCATGGTCTATCAGCTAACATGGAAATCTTTGCAAAGGCTCATCAACAGGTTGCTACAAAGATGTTACCATGAATGGGCTGTGACAGAGGGAAGAGAGTGGTGAACACCCATCACCAGGGCCAAGTCTAAAGCAGCATGGACTGCAGCTCAGCACTGAGGCAGGAGGAGCAAGTGAGCATGAAGCTCCAGCCCAGTGAGAACCCACAGGTGCTCAGGGTAATGGGGCATGTTTCATTCATGTAAGGAATGGAGGATGCACAGGCACAGTAGAGTGGGTTCCATCATGATGAGGCATCAGGGGCCAGGTAGAGCCGGGATAAGGGGAAGCACTGAATGAAAACAAACGAGCCAGACACACACACAAAGCCGTGTACTGCTTCATTCTATTCACACGAAATATCTAGACTAGGTTCTTTGTAGACAGAACGAAGTTTGGTGTGACCAGAGGGAAGAGGCCAGTGACTGCTTAGTGGGTAGGAGCCATCTTTTGGGGTTATGGGAAGGATTTGCAAGTAGATGTGGATGTTGAACAGTTTTGTGGATAGGCTAAACACCAGTGTCATGTGACTAGTTTTATATTGTGTGAACGCCCCTCAAAATGGAAAGGCAGAGCCTTCCACCCACCACCCTGTTTCTTTCTGGTGAAAATAAGTACAAATGCTGAATAAAATAGAATTTGTAAAAAGCTATAGAAGATAGAAGGAAATACCAAGTGAAATGTGAGGAGAACTACAAATTCACAGATGGAAATCCAGACCAGGGCCAAGATATTTTGCAAGAAGCACAACAGGGTGTAACTTAAGGACTTGTTCTAAGAGATGTCAGTGTTTATTAGAAAGTCATGATAATCAGAAAAGTGGAATATTCAACAAATATACCAGAGAACAAGCGAAGGCCAGCCCTCAGCCCAGGCTGATCCCTGATACAAATCCAGGACTTCACAGCAGAGCAGTGGTGACACTAACCAAGAACTGGGGCTGGGTGACCTGGTATCAATCATGTAACAATCACAAGCAGACCACAAGGCCTTAAAACCAATGTAGCACAGCAACTACCATTCCATTTTTGACCACACATTTTGCCACCAGAATTATTCAACACTGCTTTCCCAACTAAGTCACATCAATACTTCAACACAAGAATCAATTCTAAGTGGGAAAAATGAAAAGATGAGAGGTATAGCCTAAAAGGTTTAATAGCCATTACCTTTATGACTTCTGGCATGAAGAGTTTTCTTAAAGTAGATAAAAATTAAAGCATGAACTAGAAAGGAAAAGTCTAGTAGACAAGTCTATTAAGTAAGACGATACTGAAATTAAAAACTCCACAAAGGGAGTGAAAGTTAAACTATTGAGCAGGAGAAAAATTTTCTAACATATAGAACTGCCAAAGAACCAGTGTCCAGACTTTTTTTTAAAGGGAGAGTCAAAGAACGAGATGAGTCACAAAGAGGGACCCCAACATAAACAGTCAGACACATACACACACAGAGATGTTTCATCTCAGCAGAAACCACTGTCAATAGAAGACACACTGTACCTCCCCAGCAGAAACCACTGTCAATAGAAGACACACTGTACCTCCCCAGCAGAAACCACTGTCAATAGAAGACACACTGTACCTCCCAGCATGCCATATACATTTTGGCAAAATGTTGGAAGCACTGGGGAGAAGGTGGATCAAATAAACACCTGTCACTACTGGCACAGCCACTTGAGAAAGGCCTGCCCTTATCTGGGTCAGTGAAGGAAGCAACGACTCTGACTCTGAGGTTGCTTACAATAGCCCCAAGCTGGTAACAACCCAACCCAAAGTAGAACACATGTGCTTTTGCACCATGGAACGCCACATCACAGGGCGTGTGGGTGAGCAACATGGATGAATTCAACAGACAATGTTGAACTAAAGAGAAAAAACACATACTCATGCTTAAAGCTAAAGTAATTTTTGGGGGGGCCCTATATAGCCATGTATTATCAAGGAAATGGTGACTATAAAAATGATGACTGTGGCCCTCCCTGGTGGCGCAGCGGGTTAAGGCACAGCACTGAGAATCTAAAGCCGCTTCTGCATGAGTTCGATTCCCGCCTGCCCCGGGGGTGACCACATGGCGCGGCAGACCTCTCCTGGCCCGCCCGCTGCTCCCCTCAGCGGTGTGCTTCGTCGGTCTGCCTGTTCTGCTCCCCGCTCTGTCTCTGGTGAGGCCTCTCGCTGCCCCTGAGCCTCTGGCCTGTACCCCAGTTCTGTATGCACAAATAAATAAATCTTTAAAAAAAAAAAAATGATGACTGAGACTGTATCTCAGGGGAGGTATAAGGAAGAGCAGCAAATGTGTGCTTTGGGGGGCTTTTATTGGGGATGCAGGCTGTGCTCTTTACTTGGTGGTTGAGTAGGGGTTCATGTTTACATTCAATGGAATTCATACGGTTTATGTAGCACTCTGTCAGTATATTGTATTTCACACACACACACATACACACACAAGACTTCAAAAGGCAAGTGAGTTATTAATGATTAGGAAGTTCCCATTATGAAAAAAACATTAATTTGAACTTGAAGGTGAGTCTGAAATTGTAGCAGCCTCTCAGAAGGATAGCAGACTCTAGGCCATACTGATTTGGATGTTTTTCTGTTTTTTTTTTTTTTTTTTTTGATCAATTCTGGGAGAAAAATGATGATGATGACCTTTAAAAATTAAAATGGAAACAAATGAAGCACATAGATACGACAATTTTAGATTGTCAGTATACCAAACAGAATGTCATTTTAAATTTTGATCACTTTTTTTAAGTCACTGGTACTATAGTGTGGTTATCCAGGTTTATTTGAGAAATAAGAGTAAACACCCTTTCTAGTCCCTTATTCCTTACTTTTTCATAGCCAACCTGCACACTAACATTGCCTAGGGTACTAATAGTATTTGAAAAGGTGAGCCCAAGGTCATAGACATACAGGCAGGAAGGGGATAGGTCTATCTCTATCTACCCATCCACCCACCCATCCATCCATCTGCCTATCTATTTATCTATCTTGAAAGCTTTCTAGATGATTCTAATGCACAACTTAAGAATCACTAATCTCTTTAAAATTCACAGCTGACATAATCCTCAAAACAACCATCCCAAAATAGTATCCCTACTTCCAAATGGGCAAATTATGGCGCAGAGAGGAAATGATCTTTCTAGAAGTCACACAGCAGATGAATGGCAGTGGTGAGACAAGCACTCCCCTATCACATACACCATTGCCCCAATTTCTAAGCAGACTGAGGGACAGGTATTACATCAAGAAATATGAGGAAAGGGAAGAATTCCATGTAGCCCGTGGCTCTGCTCTCCATCCCACTGAGACTCCTCCCACTGGCCAGGCTGGAAGTGCAGGGAGCTGGGCGGTCCAGAGCAGCAGCTGCAGCTACCTTCTTAAAAAGCTAGTTTCCAGGGCTCTTGGAGCACTGAGCCTTGAAGCCCACTGCTCCATGTCTGTTCCAGTCGGTGCATGGCACAGACCCCTCCCTGGATTTATGCCAATGGTCAGTCACACCCTGGTGTCCCCTGGTAGTCCTCTCCCCTTCAGCACCCAGGACTGGAAGAATAAACAGCAATGCAGACAAGATGGGTGAATGCAAGGAACCAGGTTGAAGACACGACTCTAATTTGTTTCCTTACAAATTGATTTATAACATTGGTGTTCTCCATAAATCTATTTGCTTGGTAGATGGATGTAAGAGAACAGAAGAAATATGTTCAATGTTAGCTTCTAATGATGATTCCCAAGAAGGCTCCTCTTCCTGCTAGGAAGAGAAGAAGCTGTTGCAGTGAAACTGGCTTGGAGGTGAGAATAACCTCACCCGAATATGTATTTCTAATGTGAGGATTAGTAATCACTGTCAAGAGATTTTAAAGAATCAATCATGGACATTTCTGCAGAAATTCACTATAAATAGTAACAAGTATTTTAACTCGTGTGAGAACACAGGAAGTGAGATAACCTTTATTGCAATGTCCTCTGTCTCCACAGGACGCAGGCGCCGTGTGGATTGCTCGTAGCTGTCCAGGTGATATCGCCCAGGCTGTTTCCTGTTTATAGTTTTCGGCTGCTGCACCCCAAACAGAAAAGAACACAAGTTGAAGTTTTACAGACTTCTCATTTCTACTTCTCACTTAAATACCCAAAAAATAAACCAGTGAAGTGAAAGGCCTATTTTCATTATTTCAATGTCTTCTGAAAAGCTAGCAAATGGTAATCAAATGTACTAAGCTAATCTTTTTCGCAAGCTGAAGATGTAATACTTGCAAATGATGGACACTAATGGATCGAGTCCAAAAGTAGGTTTTGGATATTCTTTCTCCATTTGTATAGATGAATATTCTTAGGCAATAAAAAAATGGGTCATGTTGAAAATCAAGCAGCCTAACTCAGGTTAAAGTAGAGTCTACTTTTTAAGTCACTGAGCTTTGTGAGTATCTCCACATATTTTGATCCCTTTAGAAGCATGCTACCCTCTTATCACTTGGGGATCCATTTGGGAGTGAGAAAAATATGGAGACCTACAGTTTTTTCTGCACAGCTTTTCATAAGGAGATCCATAAGCAATGTAGAATGATACAGTCTCCCCTAAATGGCAAGGGCTGTTTCTAGTCAGTCCTAAGGCTTCCATTACAAAGACAATGTAGGCTGGGGTTTGCTAATCTTCGAGACATAAAGTCAACTAAGATTAAGTCATAACTAGAAATTTGTTATTCTCTAATTCTGACTGTAATTTCGCATAGACACAAAGGACTAAAGAGAAAGTAAAAAAATTCAGCTTTGTGAACCTCTGTTTAGTAAAATTTATAAGCTCAAAATGTGCCTCAGGGGTCAAATGAGCAAGTATTTCGACATAAACATCTGTCTTATTTAAATGTATTATACATCCTATGAAGCCAAAATATTAATACACTTCAAAACTTAAATTTATTGGCATCATACAACTTTGTTTGGTCTAGAATTGCAGGTTTAGCTTTTTTAAAAAATTCATGGACTTCCACTATGGGAATGAAGAATATTCTGGAACAATCAGTAATTTAATCCAAATGAGATATGGCTCTTCCAATATCCATCAATAGTGTATCACCAGAACATCAAGCTGCCAAATAGCAATTGCCGCGCAAGTCAATACACAGACTAAAAAGTCACTGAGCAGAACTAGTTCTAGCACATAGAAAATACCTAATGCGTTTTTAAATTAAGAAGGAAACAGAAGGCTCATGAAATTTTGTGTTTTGACTTTCTCTGCAGAGTCCTCCCAAATGACCCCTGGCAGTCATGAGATGTGGTAGAAAATAGCTACCCTTTTAGCTAAGCATAGTTTCTGCTCAGGGCAGGTGTACACCTACACAGAAACGCTCCATCTTCTAGAGTCTTCAATGCTGCACTAGTATTGCCCCCAGAGATCCAAAAGGAATGACTTCATATTCTTCACAAAACTAAGGAGAGGGTGGGAGGAGGACATGTGTTGACAGACATTTGAATTGGAGTTTCCCAGATGTAATTTGAAGAGACTTTGGCTCTAGAATGTCACTAATTCTCCCTGGAAAAGCTGCAGCCAAAACCACTTAGCTCTCAGTTTGTACAGAATACATAGCATCTGAAGTGCTTGCAAGAAGGAGTTTACATTTCCATTTCAAATACAGCTTTATTTTTTTTAAACTCCCATTTTTAAAAGGTTGTCATTTGTGGTTCAGACCCTCAGCAGTGATGAATGACCCTGGAGGACATCAGAAGTCCAGTCTGGTTCCAATAACCCTCAAGATATTGGATGCATTTGAGGGGCATTCTTTTTCCTTTCAAAAACCTTTCTTTGGTTCAATTTTTCTTCTATCCCTCCTCTCATACCAAAGATTTTTCTGATTTCCCTCACTCCACAGACTGGTCCTGCTCCATCCCTTTTCCTGAGGTCATCTCTCTCCGCTCATCCCCACATCTCTCAGAGATGATCTACTGAGTTCTTTGGAGTGTCTGATGGTCCAAGGCTGGTTCTAATTAAATGCCTGACTTTCCTGCTGCCTCACAGGGCAGACACTCTTTCATTTGTCCTTGTCTGGGGGGGGGGGTCCCCTGTCACACACTAGCAGACAAGCATTTGGAGACATCTTTACTCAGTATCTGCATATGCCTGCATGTAGCTCCTCCTCAAACAAAAGTGCTCATCTTAACTATTTTTAGTTTTAAACATGATCTATTGAAAACTTAATAGGAATTGACTTTCTGGGAAAGGCTTTCCCAGCCTCAATCACCTCCATTTAGGGCAATCTTATTTGGTTACATGGATGGTAAATATATATATATATAATTGTAATATGGATAACTAATGATTTGATATGGCTCATTTCAGAAAAACTTCTTTCATCTTTACTGTTATAGAATAAACATATTCAATTGAGAGACTTTCTTCAGAGTTTTTTAGATACACCTTTCAAGAAAGTGGTATAATCCTGTACCACTGATTTAAATATTATCTAATCACTAATGGCTCAAGTTTGCATCTTCAGTGCTGACTGGACTTCTGAAAATTAGCAGGTATAATAACACACCTTGACTCCACCTTAATACCAGCCTTATTTCAGTTCATGCCTTCACCACTAACTATCCAGCAGTTAGGCCAATTACCTAGGATTCATCTTGGAGTCCTCTCTAAGTCACCCTCTCCAATCAACTACTAACTAGCAGGTCTTTCTGAACTAGAGCATGTTCACCAAGTTTGCTGACTTTAAATAAAGTTTTATTTAACCCACATTTTAAAACCCTCCAGATGTCTTCTATTGCAGGTCAGCAAAATCCATTATCTTTCCCTGGTCTACAACACACTTGTCTTGTCTTGCTTTAGCTTCCTTCTTTACTCCATTTCAACCATCATACATCTGGCTCCTCAAATACACCAAAGTGATCCCCACCTCGGAGTCTTTGCACCTGTTAATTCTCTGCCTCTACTCAGAGCAGGTGTCTACATGTCATTCAGGTCTCAGCTCAAATGCTGGCATTTCCAAGAGGACTTTCTGGGGAACAGACACACTGCTTCCAGATAACTGTTTAATGCTATTTTTTGTTTTATTCCCATGGCAATTTTCTATCATGTAACTCTTGCATCACGAAAGCAAACTCCATGACAAGAGATCTTGCCTCCTTTGTTTGCAGCCATATTGCTGGCTTGTCACAAAGAGCAGGCAATACATATGACAACAAGGCAAAATCAGAAATACATGTTACATGACATGTGACACAGCACAAGCTAATGCTGACTGTGTTTCTGGGCTTGATGTAAATACTGAGTAGTAATATTTGTTAATGAATGAATAAATTGGGTTATGGGTGATGAGTCGGGTTTTAATTCTGGCTCTGCCACTTTCTACTAATCTGTTGACTTTATTCAAGTCATAGAGCATCCTATTCATCTGGAAAATATAGGTGATGTAATGTATTAACTGAGTCAAAAACACAATGCATCAACAAGCACTTGTAAGACTAAAGTGCAGTATAGCTAAAAGGTATTAGAAGACTAGGATACAGGATTTGTTAGCTTATTTTATACTTTTACAAAAAGCCTGGGGGGAGGCCCCCTTAATCTTCCTCAGAATTAAACATGTTTTTCCCTTTGGGGTAACTTACTGATGTAAAGACAAGCTTAGCCTTTGTTTATTGATTTGAGACTTGAGAGGTTTGTCATAGGAACAGGTGGGAGTTTTTCTTCATATATGTTGTAAGTACAACTTAGAATTGTTTAAATTGCATCATTTCACTTTGTTATTAGAAAACAGTATGATCAGACCCAGATCCTACCTTTAGAGATTCCTCAGAGGTACTTGGGTATCTATTATTTTAATTTTTATTTTATGGCTGTAACAATGCTTCTGTTGGCTTGCCATGCTGTTCCTGATTTAGAGGACAGGACCTCCCCCTTCAGCTGCCACCCCACCAGAACCACCCAGTTACCGCTTCCAGAAGGAGGAAAAGCACTCACCAGGCCTGTGTGCTTCTTGCACGACTCAAAAGGGAGAGCTGAGCCTTCGGCAGCACGCCAGCTGTCGTCACCAATCTCATCACTCAGGAGAAACTCATTTAGTTTTTGAACACTGCAAAAAGTCAAGCAACAGCAGAAGGGTTAAAACAAACAAAAACTATGGCTGGTGAATATCTACCCAAAGAAACAAACCTTTCCTCTCTCAATTCAGGTTGAACAAGACTCCCTGAGGGTCCCTTGTTGAGATCAATGGCAACCTCAGCTAAGGTAGACAAGCATCCTAAACAGACTGATGGCTTCCCGGGACGTGGGACTTCCTAGAGCTAGAGCTAGAAAAACTTTAGGGAAGCCAGAATAAAAAGGTTGAAACTAACTTTTTCCCACCACCCCTACCCCCCTGTTTTATGTCCCTGCAAGGATATTTCCATTCCACAGCACTGAGGGAAGGAATTCACAAAGGGGATGGTCTCCAATAGTGATACTAAAGAGGGCAACCCTTTTGTTATTCTAATGTCACAGATGAGGGTGGCCAGCACAGACATGCTCAGTGGCCTGCCTGAAAGCCTTCAGAGAAGACCCTTGAGTTCCTTACTACTAAATGTGCTGGCTAAAGATCAGCAGCATCAGCACCTCTTGGGAGCTTATTGGCATCAGAAAAGCCTCACGTGCTACCCAAGACCTTCTGGGATGAAATATGCACTTGATGAGAGGCCAGGATGTGTGAGAAGCACATCAACGGCGTCTGCACACGCCCTCCCCACAGGCTCCCCAGCTGGGAGCAGGCTCTCCGGCCTCCTGCTTCTATTCCAGGTCCTTCACAGCTGTGTCTTGGGATCAGGAGCAAAGGGAAAGCGGCCAAGAAACAGCAACATGACTGAGAACATTCCCCTATAAATAAAAGAACATACTGGAGAAAGTGCTGTGTGGTCATGAAGGGACAAAGAGCTCCTTTTCGCTTGCTAGTGTGCCCAAGTGGACAAACAGCTCAGTCTGCACAGCATCAACCACCGAGCAGATACAGATGTTGGTAGGACACCAGAAAATAAGGTAGGTGAAGCAAAAGCTTTCTTTTTCCCTATCTGAACTGGTAGTCAAGTTAAATGTGCCCCAATAGGTTTGCCTGTTTTAGTTCTGTGACAGAACTAAAACGAAGAGAAGTACATTGAAGTCAGTCTGTTGTCCATGACCTTCAAGCCCATAGCCTTGTCTGCCATAGAAAATGCCCTTTTCCCATGGTAAACATAAGGGAAGCTAAACCTTCAGGGTGGTCTATTAACGTCCAAGCACATTTAGAGGAAAATAGAGGAAACATTTATGAAAGAAAAACTTTGACTGAATTATATTCCATTGTTTGTTTAGGCCATGTCCCTCACTTCGGGTCTTTAGGATAATATACAGAATTTGTGCTGCTTATTCTATGTTTAATTTTTTATGTTTTCTAGAAAGGTTACCTCAGGATTCTGGATTCTTAACTCACAAATATATAAACATTGGGACAGGATGGATGAAACTGAAAGACACACTTACAAGCCCACAAATGCATATATAACTGGATCATGCCATTTACCTGAGGCACCCAGAATAGTCAAGTTCATAGAGGCAGAAAGTAGTGGTAGCCGGGAGGTGAGTATTTGGGGGAGCACTGTTTAGCTTATAGTTTCAACTAGGGATGATGAGAAAGTTTGGGAGATGAAAAGAGGCCACAGTTGCCCAATGAGTTGAATGAACTTGATGCCACTGACCTGTACACTTAAAATGGCTTACACAAGTACATTTTATGGTATGTATATCTTACTCAGTTAAAAAAATTTCAGAACCAAAAGAAAAAAGGAGGGAGGGCTATGGCTTGTGTCTTTGTCAGCAAAGCCTGACCCCATAGGCTTGAGTGACAGGCATGGAAGTGCCAAGACCTGAAACTATGAAATATAGGCAAAAACTCCATGAAATTCAGAAACATCTTTAAAGACTCACTCCTCCTCTCCCCAAAGCAAAGAAAGTTAAGGAAAATATAAACAGTTGGGGCTACATCAAACCAAAAAGCTTCTGCATAGCAAAAGAAAATAACCAATAACACCCAACTGATTGGGAGAAATTATTTTTACTCCATAAAACTGATAATGGACTGATCACCAAGATCTGCAAAGAACTTATATAACTCAACAAAAACAAGCAACCCTGTCAAACAGTGTGCAGAAGAGCTAAAGACCTTTCTCCAAAGAGGAAATGCAAATAGTCATCAGCCATATGAAAAAATGTTTAATATCACTTCTGAGTAAATGTAAATTAAAACCAGAATGAGATACCACCTCACACCTGTAAGAATGGCCCATATCAAGATGACTGGCAACAGCAAATGATGGTGGGGATGGAAAGAAAAAGGAACTCTCCTACACTGCTGGTGGGAGTGCAAACTGGTCTAATCACTATGGAAAGCTGTGTGGACTTTCCTCAGACTACTAAACATGGAGCTACCATATGACCCAGAAATTCCACTCCTAGAAATCTACCCTGAGGACACAAAATATTAACTTGAAAGGAAACCTACACTCCGATGTGTACTACAGCACAATTTGCAATAGCTAAGAAGCTAAGATGTGGAAACAACCTGAATGGCCCAGACAGATGACTGGAAGATTTTGTCTATACACACACTGGAATACCATTCAGCAATCAAAAAAGGTAAACTAATGTCATTGGCAGCAATGTGGATGGAGCTGGACGGGATTATGCTCAGGGAAATGGCTAAAAGGAAAAAGAAAAATATTGAGTGGTTTCACTTATAGGAGGACCAAATAAGGAATGGGGGGGGGGGAGGGCGAAAAGGACAGAACTAGTAGGTTAACTATAAACTGGAGACATTCAGCATTGGATAGGGGTGAGTAAAACAGGAAGGGCACAGGAGATTATGGTAATTGTTCGCTGGTGACTTGGTGATGGAAATTTTAAGGGAACTACACCTGAGAAGTCAAACGTTGTATAAAAAAGAACAATAATTTAAATATGTGTATAATAAATATTTAATAAATAAATAAAATGGCGTCTCATTCCTTGTAAGCAGCAATAACTCCTCTTTCCCTATCTTAGCTCTCAATGGTCATTCTGCTCCTGATTTGAAGAGTAGACTCGAAGGAGCACAGCTTTCCCTAAGGAACACCTCTGAAACCACCTCCCTGGCCTCTGTGCACAAGGGAATAAGGGGCAGGTCATTTTGTAAAGCTCTCTCCAGCTCCCAGCACATTATAAATGTTTTCTGAATAAATCCAAGAACCTGTGATTCAGACGCCAAAGTAAATTCTCCATGTCACTTTGTAGTACATGCAAAAAAAAATTCTTATTCTCTTGTGGAATTAATGTATCCTGTTCTTGCTGAACCACAAGAAGCTGATGTCCTTGAGCATAACTGAGAACTTTCTTCCCCCTTCTAGTCTTGACAAACATTACAGGACCCCAATACTAGCCCTTCCCTCGCCCCGTCCCAATCATTCTGGGTTCTCTGGATGAAGGCCCCTTGCACTCCATTTTGTCAATTTATTTATTTTTGTCTGTCTGTCTCTTCCACAAGACTGAGAACTCTTGAAAAGCAAAGAGTCTCCTCTTCAGAATCTAGCCCAATCCCAAAAATCTAACATAGTAATTCCTCAAGGAACATCCAGTGAATGACTATATGGTTAATAGAAAAAACATTTTCTGTTCAGAAATCACATAGGCAAAAAGAACTGTGGTTTAAAATGCATGAATCCTCACCAAGGATGAGGTAATTCCCAACATGCTGACAGGGCTAGCAAGTAAGCATGCACATCTGCCATGAGACAATCTGTTCCTTAAGGTGACAAGTGGTGCCCCTTTTACTTCTGGCAGCATTGCAGCCTCCCCAAGGTGATCAGGATTTTACCCTCCACCTTCATCAGTCTTCCTCTCATGACATGCGATGATTCAGTGCCCTGAATTTATTGAGAGGTGGCTGCAGTTTACTCACCTTCCCCCTCCCCTCCATGCGCTGCCCACTCAGATACAGATCTGACTTTTTCCCCTTTCCTTCAACTGGCCAACTTCCACTTCTCCTTCAAGAGCCTTTGAAAGAGTCATCACCTCTTTCCTGCCTTCACTGGCCAGAATGCCTTTTCTCCTGACAAGCAATCATTATCTCTAGCGCTGGCACTCTCTGGGATCGCTGCTGCAACACAGTTGTTTTCCCATCCTGGCCTCTGCAACTGGAGAGTGGACTCCCTGTGGCTTTCCCTCTGCCCTTCATCTTTACACTTGTAACACCCAGTCATGCACCTTGGGTGTCAGTAGACCTATGTCCACCCCAGGAAGAGATCTCTCTGGAGCTGGAGTGGAGATTAGTAAAACAGTGGTCAGGGAACGAAATGGAAGTTTGTGAAAAGACCTAAAATATTTAGCTGTGTGCTGGACACTTCACACATTTATCTCGCCAAATTCCTTCCATCACCATAAAGAGGAGCTATGGACTGTGCCCCTCAACATTACAAGTGGGGCAGCCAAGTTGCAGAGGCATAAACTGAGGTTGAGGTGAACAATGAGAAATCCAGGGCCAGATCTGAACATGAGACAGTCTCACAGCAACAATTCTGCACTGCCGCCCCTCAAGGACAGAGTTCCCCGTCTTATTAGTTCCCTGTTTATGTGACTGAAAAAGTATCAGTGATTTTAGTTACACATTTTTACTGCTCAAGTTCACACGCTTGAGTAGCTGGGACTGGTGCTATGACCACCAGGATAATAACTGATGGAGCAGTTGGCCTGCTGGTCTCAGAAGAACTAGAAGTTTCATACACAACCCCAATGCAAGCCTGCTCGTGACAAACAGCAGTCACAATTTATTTGACTGAAGGGAACTGTAGCAGACCAGCCAAGCCTACATTCCTTGGGGAGCAACAGGAGAGAGAAGAGCTCTTTTCCAACAAGTAAAGGGATTCGATTTACACATTTTTCTCTTGGCAAATAACATCTTTGGACATAGATACTGCATTAGACATCAAATACCAGAAACCTACACTCAAATTCTTTATAAAGGATAGAACATTATCAACTTATACTTTCCTCCAGAAAAGCAAAACACATAACTGATTTTCTTACAAATAAAGCAAAATGGAGAAGGCATCATCTGAAAAATATCTATTATTCTAGTGTTTTAACATGATAGATGGTTGTGGTTTTCCACACAGACTGGAGCACGTCATCGTAAAATGCCAAGAAAACTCGAGTGGTGTGCAAAGATAACCTGAACAGTAACATCCTCTTTCCTTCACCTGTGCGCCTACGTGTTCTCCCACTAACTACCACGTGAGACAATCTGGGCTAAAATAAGCACTTTTTTTTCAGGTTGTGTTATTGCTTTTCTTTTTTGAACGTCATTGTTCAATGTCTGATTTCTCTGCTCAGGTATAGTCTCCCACCACCACATCGCCCATGCACCCCCTTGCACCCACTCCACCCCCCGCTGTAACTCCCGGGTCACAATTTGCCTACAAGGTTTTTTTTTTCCCCTGACCCTTTTTCTAGTTTCCCCATATTCCTCCTATAAAATGAAACCACTGATATTTTTCTTTTTCCTTCTGACATTTCACCAAGCATCATCCCTTCCAGTTCCATCTATGCTATTGCAAATGGCATGTGCTTATCTTTTTTGATCACTGAGGAGTATTCCACTGTGTGTATCACATTTTTTTGATTCATTCATGGGCAGTTAGGCTGTCTCCATATCTTAGCTGTTATAGTGCTGCAGTAAACATAGGGGTGCAGGTATCTTTTGCATTAATGTTTTTGTATCCCTTGGGTAGATTCCTAGAAGTGGAATTACTGGGTCATATGGAAACTCCATTTTTAGTAATTTGAGAAACCTCCACACAGCTTTCCATGTATGGACCAATCTCCACTCCTACCAGCAGTGGGAGTGGTCTCCTTTTTCTCTGTTTTATCTATGCCAACATGTGTTGTTGACAGACTTCTTGCTATGTGCCAATCTAGCTTGTGTGAGATGGTATCTCATTCTGGTCTTGATTTGAATTTTCCTGATAAGTGATATTGAACATTTTTTCATATACCTATTGGCCATTTGCATTTCTTCTTTGCAGAAGTGTCTTTTTAGCTTTTCTGCTCATTTTTTTTTCAAAGATACATTTATTTGTGCATACAGAACTGGGGTACAAGCCAGAGGTGCAGGGGTGGTGAGAGGCTTCACCAGAGACAGAGTGGGGTGCAGAACAGGCAGATCGATGAAGTACACTGCTGAGGGGAGCAGCGGGCGGGTCAGGAGAGGTCTGCCACGCCATGTGGATCTCCTCCAGGGAAGGCGGGAATCGAACTCATGCGGAAGTGGCTTTAGCTTGTGCAGTGCTTTAACCCGCTGCGCCACCAGGGAGGGCCCTCTGCTCATTTTTAACTGGGTTATTTGCCTTGTTTTTGTTGAGTCTTGTGAGTTCTTTGTAGATATTGGTGATCAGTTCCTTATCATTTGTATAGAGTGCAAATAATTTCTCACAATCAGTAGTGCCTTCTCATTTTGGTTATTGTCTCTTTTGCTGTACAGAGCTTTTTAGTTTGATGTAGTCCCAGATGTTTATCTTTTCCTTTATTTTCTTTGCTTCTTATAGAAGCAAAGAAGCAAAGTTGTCAATAAAGATGTGTCTGAGGTGTATGTTATAGGGTGTTTTGCCTGTTTTCATCTATGCATTTTAAGGTGTCAGGTCCTACATTCAAGTCTTTTATCCATTTTCAGCTGGTTTTTATGTATGATGTGAGATAGTAGTCTGGTTTCATTATTTTGCATGTAGCAGTCCAGTTTTCCCAGTGCGATTTATTGAAGAGACTATCCTTGTTCCATTGCATCAAAATAAGCATTTTTAAAAGAAAGCCTAGAACGTTCCTCTAGCAGAAAATTTTATATGGCATGGAATTTTCCTACAGTAGAGAAGGTTATGAATACCTTCCAAGCCCAGGCAGCACAAGTTTGGAAATAGCCTAATCCTCCAAACTTCCGAATGCATTTAAGAGTGCAGTGAAGAGCCCGTGAAGACCAGAGTCAAGAGGAGGCTACAAAAGCAGCTGAACCATCTCCAATTATAAACAGGCCACTCAACCCTCTGTGGGCCAGCTGGCAAAAGAGACTAGTCACAGGTTCCCAGACACAGAAGAAAATGCCAAACCTAGTTGTCCTGGGAAACACTCACACAGAGTTTACAGAACCAGCCTGTGGTGGGAAAAAGGTCTGGCCTTCTTGGTTGACCAGTCATCTATGAATTTCATCCACTGAAATTCACATTCTAGAAGTGTGTTTTCATAAGCTGATTCTAGCTGACCAATGGCTAGGGAAATCTGGAGCTCAGCCCTGCCAAGAGGCTGGTCTTTATCAAAATGGCAAACGCCTGCTTCCTGGGATGCCAGGAAAAGAGTACTATGCAGAAATATATGGGCAAAGTGACCCATCCTCAACTTTACTTGGAATTACTATAGCAGCACAGCTATAGTGTGGACTTGGGGAACTCCCCTATGCTTTCAACACTTTTTCATTTTTCAACTGAGGTCTTTTTGATGCTTGGTGATCTGAGTTCCTTCAGCATTATCTTTCACAAGTGATTCTACTTCTTTCTATCTCTACTTGTGGCACAGAGTCGAAGTCCAATTAAAAGTATAACAAGCAGAGGGACAGCTACTAAATGGAGTCAATGAAAATAAGGACCAAAATAGCAGAGTTTGGCCATTTCTCAATTTTATTGTTTGCAGGAGCGTCTCTTCCCAGTGCACTGCCTAATTTGGAAGTGGCGCTACAAAAATCAGGCAGTGATCTGCACAAGTGTTTCAGGAGCAGAATAACAAGAAAAGAAATGAAGGCAATGAGGTCAGAGGGCTCAAGCTTTTAATGCCAACAGCTCCAGAACCAGTTGCTGACAAAGCAGCTTATTGGACAGGATGGTATTGCTGTCACTGACCTGAACCCAGTTAATAATAAGACCGTGTCTACGAACGATAATGTTACGTGGTATTAAGCCTGAGTTATGCCAATATAAACCACTGCTGCAAGCTGGAGAGAGCACTGTGAATATTAAAAGCTAGTTTTCTTAGCCACACATGGACATGGGGGAAATGATCTCATTTTGAAAGACCTTCCAAGGCTTGGTCCATGTCGCTGTCTGTGGGGACACCAGGCAGGCTTTGGGCATTTAAGGTCTGAATTTTCCAATGTCCCTTCAGTGCTGCAATATTTTGGCATTTCTTTCAAAGGCCAGATATAAGTATGATTGTGACTGTATCAGACATGTTGGGGTTTGATAAGGTTGCTAAGAGAGCAAAATTAAGCCACAGGCTACTTGAAGATGCCATGTTTGTCAGGAGACAACAGCACACAGAGAGAGGTGTGTGTCATATAGCTTGGTGACCTTGGTGTCACACACGGGAATGTGGTCACTCTCATATCATGTCTATTTTTGTAGCTGCACAGTGTGGGTCTGAGATAATGTCCACACTGGGGAGAAACATTACAGCGGCGTATTTAAAGCAAGCTGAGTACTAAGTGGTTCAGCAAAATCTTTCCATTCACAGAGAAAATAAGCCTGAAACTTCTTTTCGTGGTAGATATATAGGTATGTGGTAGATATGTAGATAAATGGTAGATATGTGTTTATGTTGCCATTCTCTGTCACTGTTGGCACAAATGTAAATTAGCACAGCCTCGTTGGAAAACATGATGGCCATACTCAAAAAAATACTAAAAGTGGCTATAGCTGACCTCTAACACTGTCAATGATAAACAAATGTCACATTTATCAAGGAACTCAGAAATGTGCCTATGATTACAGATAGTATCCCTATGTCTAGAACTCTGACTTAAAAAAAAAAAAAACAGCCAAAGAAAAGCTTAAACAAATATGTTGATATGACTATTATAGGTATTTATGGGAGAGGGGGAACAAACATTCTAAATGCACAATAAAGATGTCATCATTAAATAAATTAGACTTCTTCCAAGCAATGAGCTATCCCATAGTAAGTGGGCATGGTGAAAGGAAGATAGTAAAAACAGTAAGTCAAATAAGGGGCTAAAAGAAGAATTCAAAATTTTTATTTTGAGAGAAATTATTTCTATATGAAATAACATTCTGAATGTTAGCATATCAAGATTTTCATAATAGCTATTCCTGAAAAACTTTGAAGAACCTTTTCAAATGTGCTACTGGGAGCAGATAACATTTCTCAAATGGAGCAGAGAATTGTAGGATCCCCTCACCTACCTGACGATAGCTTTGACTGCAAACCTGACCACTGTGGAGAGCAGGAAGAGTGGCGTGACCAGGATGTGGAAGAGGGACAGTGAAGCGAAGGCCTCCGCAGGCTTTAGGTGGTTCCCACTGGCATACGCATGGGTCACAAATGTCTGTGCAAAGAGGAGACTGCTTTAGACAGAGCTGGGGAAAGTGTCACAAATGCTCACCCTCAACCTTCCAGACCTAACACAATGTGGGGCCAGCTGTTCATTGCAACTATGAAAACAACAACTTCATCCAAAATCCTCCCCAAGAAAAACACTTCTCGCTCTTGGCATGTCAGAGCCTACATGCCATCCTACCAGGAAACTGGTGGGACAGACTATATCAACAGATTAGGAAGCCAATCTGTCAGATGATGGCATAGGAGGTATAACTGTGAGGGTAACTCAGAGTTCGTAACCACCAGATGGGCTCTGTCCAACTGATACTATATGTTGGAAGGGAAAAACATTGTTTCTGGGTTCCTATTGCGAGCCTTTACCCAAATGGCTAGTACTGGTGGCCAATGGAGACAACTGTACATTTCTAAACACAGTACTGGTTCTGGGCTTTGAACTATTTCTAGGAGGTGGTGGATGGGTTTTAAATCTGCTTTTATATACCACAGAAGTTTCAAATTGCTACATGATTTGCCTGCTAGACAACTCCCTCTGCTTGTGGTCAGATGCCCTTACAGTCCACAAAGTCAGCTGAAACACAGATTCTGCTCTCCAACCTGCTCATCCTTATAAAAGTCTTTTGCTTTTCAGTCTATTGATATGTATTTTCAGCTTCAGCTGTGCCTGACATTACACATAATATCCACTTTGTTGGTGATTTTCTTGAATAGAGAAGAATGTTAGTGTATATCTGTAACTTCTTTCTCTTTCTCACATTTTCAACATAATTTTTTTTTCTTTCTGAAAGTTGTGGATTACTATGTGAAACTATATATGTGTGTGTGTAACTATATTTAAAATTTTTATATAAATACATATATAGTCTTTCTTAAGCATACACTTCATTATATGGGATTTAAAAGAAAAAAACTTACTGATGGTTAACATTGGCTTACCACTATATATGATTTGGAGGTGTATATTCACACCTCTTTAGCTATGTATCCCAACATCACACCCAGAAAAGCCCATTGTCTTGCCATCTTAGCCCTGCCCCACTCTGCTGTAAGTATGGATGGGGATCAGTTTATGGAGACTAGATTCAGTCAATTCTCAACTGTTGGTATTAATTTGCATGGAGGAGTGCTGCTGTAGGATGCCAAAGTCAGGAAGGCAGCTGGACAACCTAAGGCAAACAAGTCCTTACAACAAAGAATTATCTGGGGCACAGTTTCCACATGCCACATCTGAAAACCTCATGAGAGTTTGAACCGCACTGCAGTGGAGAACACAGAGAAAACGCAGAAGAGAGGACCTATAAATTACCACCCACACATTCTTCTTCATAAATCACTTCTATACACTGACTTAGTTCCATTTCTAAAAGTAAGAAAAAGTGTCTTACAGCAAGAACAGCTGCTATGGGAATTGCTGCATTCATGAAAACTGTGGAGAGAAAGTAAATATATTAGTTTCATAGAACTATGAGACATTTTCAGCTGCTTTAATTAATCATCTATTATTACTTTAGCTTTCCTTGTAGACAGGAAGGGACTAATACATTTAAGTAACACGCTGTTGGAAGGCCACAAACAGTTCCCCAGTGGGCATTTACTCGTTCACAGTAGTATGAACTCTCGCATATTAGTCTTAACCAGAAAATATTTTCCTTTTTAACTTAATTGTTACAGACAAAATTCAGAAAGAACAATTCTTCAGTGATGCACAATATTAGAATTTAACAAGCCCACACTTGGTAGTATTAACTATCTACGTTTTGTTTGGTTCACTCAACAAACTCAAATACATGAAAATTATGCTATTACTGTTTTATTACCAGATTCAAAACAAGCATTGACATCACTCATTTTCAGTTTGCAGGGGTGATACTAATTTCACCTCTGGACCACCTTTCACTCCCTAAAATAACTTTAAAACCAGAACCTTCTGTTTCTTTAACTACCTCTCCAGGAATTTATTATCATTTGGTGGCAGGGGAATGTGTGATTGAAACAAGGAAAACTGCTGCGTTAGGCCAAGATCCTAGTATTTGCAAGTCGTAGAAGAATAAAAAAACCAGGTTGATGAAATGTAAATTTTTCATAAGCCATAGAATTTTAGGGTCTGAGTACAAAAAGTTAACAATATTAACACAGTAAATATCTGGTAACAGATCCAGGCAATGGTAAAACAAGAGTTGAAATCGAGTTCTCAGCAATCAGGAGTGAGTCCACACAAAAATGCCATCTTTGCTCACAGTTCATGATTCCCCTGCTATAGCCATTGTCTACAGAATAGCTTGTGTTTTTGTAGGCTTGGGTGCAGCTTAGTTATCAAACCTGGATTTCTGTGAAGTAAGTACTGGGAACCCCAACACTGATCTGAGCTTCTTAATAGTAGGGGATAAGCCTTGCTACTTTGCATCCTTTCTTTGGCTCTTGCCACCCTATTTTCTAAGTAGATTTTTAAAATTAACCCTTGTCATTAAGTAGAACTTATATTCTTCATCTTTAAATAAACAATCACCTCATGATAAGAGAATTATTTTAATGAAAAATAAAAGTTGGCCCTTGCACACTGTGGAGGCTGGGGTGTGACCCCCCACATAATTAAAAAAAAGGTACAGGGCCCTCCCTGGTGGCACAATGGGTTAGGATGCAGCACTGCAAGCTAGCACAGTCACTTCAGTGCAAGTTCGATCCATGGCCCCACAGGTGATCTACATGGCGTGGCAGACCTCTCCTGACCTGCCCACTGCTCCCCTCAGCAGCATATTTTGTCCATCTGCCTGTTCTGCTCCCCACTCTGTCTCTGGTGAACAGAGTGCACCTCTGGCTTGCACCCCAGTTCTGTGAGCATAAATAAATAAGTCTTAACAAGTACAACATTTGACCCTCTAAAAATGTAACTGCAATTTTCCCTTGGTAATTGGGGAATGGGTGTGTGTGTGTGGATTATTGGTTTTAGAACCTTCCAGATGCCAAAATCCAAGAAACTATAAGTTTCTTATAGTCCATTCTCCACAACATGGGTTCCATGGATTCAACAAATAGACATCTTATGCAGAACATGCTGATAGGAGGAGCTAACTGTGTTCACTGGGATAGCTCTCCACCCTGCTAATGCAGCTAAAGATACTATTGACTAAGCACTTTTATGTTTCAAGTACTTCTCAAACACAAAACAGGCATTATCTTATTTAATCCCCCCAAGATGCTATTAATACCTCCTGTTCATAACTTATGAGGATGCTGAGACTGCCAAACACTGACCCAGGCTGAATAGCTAACAAGTAGCTGAGGATTTCATTTCAGGTCAGCTTGCCCTCCCAGATCTTGTACGACCACTATGTTGCAGTAGAATTTGTTCTTTTCCGTCTTCTCACGGAGCCCTACAAATACTACTCATAAAACACTGGTCCCAGTTACTAAGTAGTGTTATATTCACTACCTCATTTGACTCTAATAGTCTATCTGTGAAATACATGATCTTTATTACAGCAATTTTTTGATGAAGAACCAAGCAAGAGAAGCCATTGTGTCACTGGCTTTTTACATGACAACTGGCATGAAGCATTTGATAGAATACCTGGAGTCCATCAGCATTTGTATTATCTATTTCAGCCTTTTCTGCAACCCAACACAATTGATATTATTATGAGCTCATGTTACAGATGAAGAAACAGGAGTCTTGGAGAATAGAAGCAACTTGACCTAAGCTATCCTGCTATGAAGTGACAGAGTTAGGTGTTAGAGCCAGTTCTATTCTCCTCGAATTTCAAACTCTTAAGCACCAAGAACATTACTGAATTAAATCCTATGCCTTGCAGCAGTGGGAGCCTAACTGGAACTTAACATCATGGAACGAGAATTCCTACTGTCTATCAGAATATGTGATTCTGCAATTTACCTTCCTGGCCTCTGGTTCTTCTCTAGTAAGGCATCCTCTGTTCTCTCTCCTTTTGCATTTACTTGCTTTCAAAATCCAACCCAAACCTCATGTCTGGAGACTAAAAAACCACCTTTGCCATTCAGTAGCTATATAACCTACTTCAAGTTACTTAAGTTTTCCACCTCAATCTTTTAATTTTGAAAATCGAATTGCTAAGGCTAAGTCATTGGGCAGAGTGAGGATTAGTTGAGATGACACATGAAAAGCCACTTCTGCTAATGACTATCTCAACTTCATCATTGTCATCATCCCCATTTCTGGCTGGGCAGTTCAGTCCACTACAGAGGGGACTGCATTGTAACGTAGCAGCTTAGGAGACTACTTCTGGGAGTCTCCTAAGGAGCAAGTGGATATCAGTTATTCCATCTCCCAGCATTTTGACATCATATTAGCAGCTGGCGGACAAATACCCTTTCCACTCACTTCTAATGCATCAGCATTAGGGGCAGAATGCACTATATAAGCCAAATATTTTTTCCACATCTATTTCATAAGATAAGTGTTTATAATCTTTAAGAACTAAAGTAGCTTAGGCTTCAAGAGGCAACAATACATAAAACTAAGTCTTAAAAGTCTTGGGAACCACAGAGATGAGCATAACTGACACACAAAGTAAATCAAATATTAGTGAGAATAGTTTGAATATGTTCATAAAAATTGTACTAACAAACTCATTATCTTTGAAAGTATTCCATCAATCACTCTGAGAAAAAATAAAAAGTTTGTAGTTTTTAAAAATTGCTTTCTACACATTACAGTTGAGGCTAACAGTGCTCAATGTTTAAAAGCTGTTGAAAATAAATTGGGATTTTTTTCTGAGTGTCATTCAGCTTCTCTCATCTGGAAATACCAACATTGTTTCTTCCACAATTAAGGAAAAAGGCATTTCGACTATATTCAAGAAAACAGAGTATCAAATATTCCAAAAAAGATAGGTAAGACAACAGGTCATTTTCCAAAGTCTTTGGAGAACAAGAGTAATGCTGTGAAGCTCATTAAAATAAGCCAAAGTTTCCTGAAAAGCAACTATTCATCCAAATACTACCTGGTAAGAGAATTTCAATGACAAACGCGATAACCATCATTGAGCCCATTTTACAGATTCAAAAAAAAGCCTCAAGCCAAGGACTTCAAATGTAAAGTGGTGTGGCAAGGACACACCACTTGTAAGGCATGAAATTCAAGTCTATTTGATGCTGTTGCGCTATCCCTGCTCACATGGCTGGCGGCTGCTGGACAGCGCTCATGTAGACTGTAAATAGTTGCCTTTGACAAAGAGAATGTTTCATGTTCAGAATCTAAACTGAAAAGACCATATGTGTTGGGGGGTCCCTGGAACCACCGGTACTTACTGGAGAGTGATGTGTAGAGAGCAAAGGTTTTGAGACTAGATAGTTCTTTCATTCTTGTTTCTTCCACACTTTTGCAGAAAATGTGCTCCCAGGCATACAACTTGAGAAGTTTGATGCCTTTCAATATTTCATTTGTCTTCTTAAGCCTCTCAGTAGAATAATCCTTAGGAAAAAAAAGTAGAGGACAGAAAAACATTCTTCATCCAAGTGACTCAGAGGGCAGGACCAGGGGCAGCACAGAGATTGAGGAGCTGCCGACTTCTGCCTGGCTCTGCCGGTAACTTTGGGTGGGAGATTTTAGGAACAAGTCATTAAACTGTCTGTGCTTCATCTCTCCCTTTAAAAAAGGAGGGTTGAGTGAGTGAGCATCAAAGTCCTATCTGTTGCTTTCATTTAAATAAAATATTCCGATAATATCCTAGAATACACACATTTGGGAAAATAAGGACATACTTCCAAGGGCTCCTTAAAATAACGACATCACTTTATTCTCTTTATTAGCATCATCACTCAGAGAATGGAAACAATGAATTTAAGAAAAGTGAGTTTGCTCATATTTGCGAATGGGAGGTGCAGGTGGTGTGTTCACAGAGCATCTTCATAATGCAGTTATTGAAACCAAGCTTACCCTCTACATACTTCTGCATAAGCTCTTTAAGGTTTAAATTAGATGCAAAGATGACTAATAAATTGGCTTGACTAGAGAGAGATCTGTATAATATGTCAATTAATCAACTGCTTCAGCTTCCTCCACCACCAAATGTTTCATCAGAATTATCAAGGTACTGCAGGACCCATGAATTAGCAAAAGGAGAGGCTGAGAGGTCAAAAGGCAGATAGAAGGAAACAAGAGTTGCCAGTGTCCTGTTTTTCATTCACATTTTTGTCTCTTCAGGGTTGTAGATGCCTATTGAATGAGTGCTAAATGGATGCATACACATGGCCTGCGCAGCTCAATGGAAGACAGATGTCTGGGGAGAGCCAGGTCTGAGTGCCTGCTTCCATACCTTTGAGTATGCGTGTCCTGGAGCAAAGGGAGGAGAGGGCTCAGACAGGAAGAATGAGTAAGCTCACCAGAAGCAGCAGGAAAACAAGTGATAAAAACCACTTGCGTGACATGCAACTTGCTTGTCATAGCAGTTACACCAGCTTGGGAAACAATTCCATCAGTGGCGAAGTCCCTGCATTTTACGCCTGATTTACAGTCTTGTTCAACTTTAATCAAACTTTATTTCTAAACATGCTGTCAACAATTGTATTATTTGCAAATATTTCTTTAAAAGCAGCCAATTTTTTGCTCAAAATGATTTCATGGTAAATTGAAGCCAGCGAGGGTCAATAATTGGGATTTTTCTGGCTTGCCAAGTTGACCATGAACATAGGCAGCCAGAGACACTATGACTGAGACATCTCAGGATATGTGGGTGGGAATGGAGGCTGGTTCAGCCACTAAGGAAAACAGCATGGAGGTTTTACAAAATACTAAATATTGACCTACTATAAAATTTAGCAATTCCCCCTCTAGGTATGAACCCAAGGAATGCAAATACACTAATTCAAAGTGATATGTGCACTCCTGTGTTCACTGTGCACTCTTTACAATGGCCAAGACATGGAAACAACCTTAGTGCCAAAGACAGAAGAATAAATTAAGATGCTGTATACATCCATGAAGCAATACTCCTCAGCTGTAAGAACAGATGAACTCTTGCCATCTGAGAAGACATGGGCGGAACTGGTGGGGATTATGTAAGTGAAATAAGTCAGAAGTAAAAAGATATCAGACAAAACCAAACTAACAACTAAGCCTAGAAATTGGACTATAAAATTAAGGCTACCATGGTGGAGGTGGGGGAGAAGAGGACCAGTGGGGAGGAAGCACAATAGACCATGGTGGAAATTATGGGTGCCCTGGTGGTGGGGGTGTATGGTCTCAGCGCCAGAAGAGAGTGAGCCATACCTCTAAGTCACATTGTTCTAGACGAATGTCGCCTAAATTAAAAAATGAAAAAAAAAATCCATTGATCCCATGTATTCTCATTCCATCCTAAGCATCTTTATTTGCAGAAATGCCAGGCCTGAACCTTCATTTCCTCCTTGCTCAGTTTCTCCCATGTCAGTGACAGCCAGTAACCTCCAACTACTCTTCAGTTTCTTGTTGAAGCAAGCACACTAGCAGATCCAAAGTCCCATCACCCCATCATCAGGAATGGAGATTCTGCTATTTTGATTCTAAGACAGAGTCTTAGCTTTCATATCCACTTTCAGAAATTGTTCTTGTAACACAGAAAGCCCCGTGCAGCCCAAGAAGCAAAGTGAAACCTAATGATGACCAAAGCCACCCTGAGTGGTTACACACAGATTTCCTATGTATTCAAAAGTAAGACAGCATCATGAGATTTTCCTAAGCCAGTTTCCAAAAGAAGCGACTTACCAGAGTGCTCTTCTGTGCCTCTGCCAGCTTCGTGGCGATGAAATACTGAATTGGCGCCAGCAGCACAATGACAGCTGCTCCAACCAGTGCGCTGGAGCCAAGTAAATTATAAAGCAGAATCACTCCCATGATGATCTAAGAAGGCGAACACAGAGGATGAGCAGATGAGTGGGGGTGCAGGGGGAAGGGGAACCCTGCGGGACAGGAGTTACTTTTAATGAAAACAGAGCAGTTCTTCGTTGGTACACTCCGTGTCTGCATGCCAACTTAACTATGATAATTGGGTTTCACTGATTTATTTGGGAAAGGCAAAGCAGTAGGAGATTATTTTCAGTATGAAGACCTGTGCAAGCGATGGCAAACCCATTTGCTGCATGAAGGTACTCAGGTCCGATGATGCCTGTGAACTTCTAGTGCAGTCTTCATGTTTTTAAAAGACATGATCCTTTTCTCTTGAAAATGTCACCCACCTGGAGTAGCACCCACCTATCCACTGTGATCTTGGACTAGCACTCACTTTCGTGACAGGGAAGACGGGAAGGTATGGACAGGGAACAATGAGAGAAGAGAATGGCTGCTGTTTTTTGGCTCCTCAGTGGCCCTACAAGTCCCCTAATGACGAAGACTGAAGCAGCTGAGGTCAGCCCCCAGCTTACTGTCCTTCTCTTTGTAAATTCATTTTCCCATAACTGAACCCTTGGAATGACCACTTGGCAGACTAGTTGTCTTGACCTAAGCAGCACAATTCCAAACTCCACCTTAGTCCAGCCACAAAGCTTCCCCCTTACTGGATAAAGTACCTGATACTCCTTACGCCTTATTGCCTCTGCATATGGGAACCTTAACATTTAGTGACCTACCTGAACCGGCATAGCCCACAGGTTAGGGCACAGGAATAAGAACCACATGAGTTGGTTGGTTTCTATGGCAACCAAGTTATTGATCTGCCCCAGGGTCATCTCACCCATGGATAAATTGGACGTTGAGAGTCTAAGGATTTTATTGTAGATCATGGCCTGCAAGCGAAGAAAAAAAAGGACATATTGGAAGCTCTAAATTTGATCATCAGCATCATGCCCATTCATTTTCATAGAAAAAAAAGTGTTTTTGAAAAAAGGAAGGAAAAACCTTTCATGCCACCTTAAGCCAACAACTATTTTCCTTTTAGCATAGGTATTTTAAGTCCTTAACTACATACAAAATTTTTATAATAAAAACATGCCTTCAGCTCTGAGCATAAGCTCTAGAATAAGTAGAAACGTGAATGTTAGATTTCAAAAAACTTTTATTAATATATTTTATATGTAGTTTTTAACACAATCAATTGAATTGATTAAAATGATTAATAATATCTTTTTTTAAGGTTTATTTATTTATTCATACAGGCCACAGATGTGGAGGGTGAGAGGATTCACCAGAGACAGACTGGGGAGAAGAACAGGCAGATCGACGAAGTACACTGCTGAGGGGAGCAGCGGGCGGGTCAGGAGAGGTCTGCCGCGCCATGTGGTCACCTCCGGGACAGGCGGGAATCGAACTCATGTGGAAGTGGCTTAAGCTTCTTAGGGCTGTGCTTTAACCCGCTGTGCCACCAGGGAGGGCCCATGATTAATAATATCTTTAAGTAGGGTCTGGAGGGACTGGTGTGTGTTCTCAAAGAGGAAATGGAAATTGAAAAACAAAATGGAGCCCAATGCCCTTCCTACTGCCATATAGTAGTTAATGTTTCAAAAAGAAAACTCATTCAATGTGTGTACATACCAGCAGGGCTCCCCGGAGGTTAATGCCAGTCTCTATGGTCACATAGTAGGATGCCTGCAAAAATGTCCTTTGCAGAATAAGGGCCAAGAAGAGAAGGACAGCTAAGACATAAGCATTTTCAAGAAATTCCTTTGAGGAAAGGGTATGTGGAATCTTGTCCTCAAAAAAGAAAAAAAAGACAAATTAAAAATTGTTCAGACATGAGGTGTGCAGCTTGTGTTGATTAAACAGTAAATGATTTTTAAATACAGCAGTGGGGTGAACCAAGACAAGGTAACTTCCTCATAATGTGTACATTGCCAATATAAATCAGTTCAGTGTATAAAATTGATCCCAACTTGACCACTAGACTAGCTGAAAGTACGTAGTTGTAAGAGAAAAAATATATATAATTTTTAAAAGTTTGACATTTTTTAAATAGCTTAGACTAATTTAGAAGTCTAAACTCAAAACTACCTGGTCAGTAAAATCAATGTGACAGAAATACAACTTCTGTATTATTATTCATTTAAAATAATTCCATACAGTTGACTTGTGGGGTTTTCATATCTCTTCATTTACATTAGTCTACTACAAGATACATAATTTGGCTTTTCACTAAAAATATCACTGACTTGATATTTTTAGGGACAAAAGATAAATTTATGAAAAACTGTTTTAGTAGGAAAATGACTTCCATCCTGAGTCTATTCACAACTGATATAGCTTTCTGTGTGTCTGGACAACATTCAGTAACTTGTGAGGGAAAGTAATGCTTGAATAGGTAGATCATGTCACATCGGGCACTCTGCCTATTCTAAAGTTTTAGTCCTTAAGATTCTACTTTTTTCCCCCCAATTTATTTTTACTTACTTATTTTTTTACATCACTCTTAAAGTTGTAATCCCCATGGACTTCCCACCACCAATTCACCTGTGTGCCATCACCATAATCCCTCTACTGCTAGCTCTCTTTTTTCATGGAGACAATACGAATGTATGCATTCTGAGCAAATAGTGGGGACAAGACAGCACAGAAGTGTACCCCATAGAGAAAATACCTAGTCCCCTTCAGTAACAACTGAGCACTGACATGGGTCTCTGGGTATAAGCAGTATAAGCAGTATGGTCTCTCTGTGCAAGAGCTTGCAAGGGGAAAGACAGGCACAGACCAGGTAAAGTGCTTCAATGTACACAGTGCATAGGCTCAGTGCCAAGGTGCAGTAAACTGTCGGGGGGGATGGTCAAGTTCCAGGAGTATACCAGAAAAGGCTTCACTGGGGAGACAGCATTAATTGTGGGCTTTGAAAGGCTGAAAATTTTAGTAGGTGAGGAACAGTCAGAAAGTCAGAGTCAAAGAACAGAAAAAGAAAACTGAGATTCAGGCTATTGTTTGCAAGCATGGGACCACAGCCAATATCTGTTGTATTAGTTGATTATCCACTGATAATCCAGTGAGGGCATATTTACTCAGGGAATGGATGAAGTTTATTTCAAATAAGCAAAAAGGCAAATTTTAAAAAGCAAAAGAAAACTGATGTGTCTGAACTAGAGTTTCTATCTGTGAAACCAGAGAAAGCAACTCATATTTGAAAGACATCAGGAATTTCATGATGCAGATTTTTTTAAGACAATGAAAGAAGATATATTTGTAACAGCAAACATATAGTAACTAAAGAGCATCTTATATATAGTAACACAGTGTCCAGGGAAAATTATATATAGTATTATAGTATGCAGTAAAAATGTGACCTTCCCCTCACTGTGAAAGTGATGGTTTTTATTAGACAAGAAAAAAGTACTTATAACAAATCCCACTGCGGCACGATTGCTCACAGACCTTTTACTTACCTCTCTGTCCCCCCCAGGTACTCATGCATGAAAATACTGAAATGACTGCAGTGAAGATCAAATAAATGATCAGAATGAACTTTCCTAGCATAGTATTTGGCACACCGGAGGTACATTTTAAATGTTTACAGGTGCTGAATCTGATAAATGCTTTTGTTGGCCAGATCTACTTAATGAATATATAAACACATGACTTCGGCATGGAAACTCTTTTAAGAAGCATTTAATCCTCTGTAAATAACCTTGTTTGAACTGCACACAAAAATGCATTAATAGAAAGTAACAATTACAATTCATAGCACCAACCATGTTTCTCCTCTAAAGTAAGGCAAACTTACTCCTGCTGAGCTATTTGTTCTGTTTTCGTTAGCACGCTGAACTATTCCAGAAATACAGAGAGGTCCAGCAAAGCCCAGTAAGTCAGCAAGATAGCGGAATGTGCTACTCAGCAAAATTGGTCGTCCAAAAGCTCTGTACATGGCTAGCCACATACATGGGGTCGGATTTGGATGATCTGCTACTTTTTTCTGAAAGAAAAAGATATCACATGAACTGAAATACCTACAGCAGCAATTAGTCTCAACAGCGATGGAAATACCTATGTTTGTAGTTCCAGAGTTGATAAATGTCAGTGAGTCCATTTCAGTCCTTGCAGCCTACGTCAACAGTGGCTACTGAATACATTTTAACAAAGTTGAGAGAATGAGCAGTAACAGGCTAATTTTCCAATGACTTTGTATTACTTTTAGTTGTCCAAGAATGATCTCAAATTCTTCTGTTATTTTATTTTTAACCTCAAATTCTTAAGGCTGGACTAATTTTTCTCTTTGATTTGGAAAATGTGTATCTGTCATAAATATTATTTAAGGACATTTTAATAGAAAAGTATTCTATTATGGATAGAAAAGAAGATCTCAAAATACAAACTTCAAGATTACAGACAGACCAAGATTTCTGGAGTTAATAGCTCACAAGAGATATAAGCCAAATGCAACAATCAAATTGTTTCTCCTTTGGCTATTTCCCATCTCTGTGAATAATAGTCAATATTTTAAAAAATTATGTTAGACTTGTGTCACCTACTTCTTCCTCAGAAAAATACAAAGCGAAGAGTGGCATATATGCATGCCCCAACTCATGACTTCACATATCCACAACTATTTGCTGAAGATGTTTAAGACCTCAACAAACATCCATAATTGAGTCTTGAGGAGGAAGTGGATTAAGCTTTTTCATTTTGGCCAAGAAACCATCTCAATGGAATAGAGTTCAATTATGTTTCATATTCAATTCCCTGTGAGCTGAATAATTTTTTTAAAGTTTATTGATAAAATATACGAACCTACCAAGTTCAAACTAATGTGTGTTATAAAAAGCACTTGCAAAACTGAAGCTATGCTATATTGTTCCTCTTTACCGTGACAGAGAAGATTCTAAAACCTGGGGCAGGGGTCCTGGCGTTAAAGTCTCAGAGCTATCATGCTATAGCCAGGCCCTGCGGCCTGAATTTGATCCCTGGCCAGGGACCTAACCCACGTGGTGCAGCAGACCTCTCATGTTTCTCTCCCCCACTCCCCTTAGCAAGATATTTCAGTAGATCCTCCTGTTCTGTTCCCTACTCTGTCTCTGCTGAATCCACTCTCACACCCCACCCTGCTGCACCTCTGTCCTACACCCTAGTTCTTGTATGCATAAAGAAAAAATTTTTTAAAAATAAAATAAAATATGGGGTAATACTTTTCCCAGAGGTGAAGCTGAAGAGATGACTCAGGTTCATTTGTAGTAACCATTTCTGGTAACATTCATTTCATAACACTTTTTGACACAAAGCAGAGGTCATTTTCATCATTTACCGTACATACTTTGCCAGTTTTGATTTGAAATGCCAAATCCCTTCAACTCTGCAGCCCCTCCCTCTGACCCTTCCAATGCAGTGGTGAATGATGTATCTTTCGTTGCAAGAGATTATAAATTGTTTCAATATAAAATACAACCATTACTGCAGATAGTATGCATGACTATTCAGAGTAATGGTATTGATAAGATTCTACAACCCATTCACTGTCTTGGGTGGGGAGAAGGGGGTCTATGGACTCTGGTGTAATTAATGGTTCTTTAATATATAGGTAGAAAACATTCAACTAAAACTCAACTCATTTCTATAAGTGCTGCTCATATTTAACAATTATTTTCATTAATGTGTGAAAAATTAGAGAACTCATTATATAAATGCCCAACTTAAAAAACAGACTAACTCGGGCACTCCCTGGTGGTGCAATGGGTTAAAGCACAGCACTATGAAACTCTCCGAAGCCACCATAGCACAAGTTTGATCCCCGGCCAAGGAGCTGACCCAAGTGGCATGGCAGACCTCTCCTGACCCGCCGCTGCTTCCCTCAGCAGTGTATTTCAGTTGATCTGCCTGTTCCGTTCCCCACTCTGGCTCTGGTGAATTCTCTCATCTTCTACACCTCTGGCCTGTACCCCAGTTCTATAAGCATCAATAAATAAATCTTTTAAAAAGCAAACAACAAAAAAAACCAGACTAATTCTTCATAGGATTCTTGGAGAAAGAAAGCTGTAATCAGTTTAATACATATGCAGGGATGAGTTTGTCAAAGAAAAAAATATTTTAATTTTTATTATTTTAATAAGGATTTTAATTTCTTAAAGGTGGTTATTAATGGGTAAGATGTTTTTCCTTTAAATAGCAACATTATTGATAAAGTACTTGAAAAATGACAACAAAAATTGTATAGATTATTAATATTTGGTAATAAAGATTAGATATACCTATTCACTAAACTTGAATACTTGAACTTCTTTACACTTGGTCCCAGAGAAAAGAAACTGCTCAAGTACGGACTGGGCAACTCACCCAGTAGCACTGTATCTTACTGGCTCTTCTGGTATACCCCTTAACAGCCCCCAAAACTTGGAAACCACTTGAAGAGGCAGATGAGAAAATATGCCTTCCTTACCCATTGACAGTATGTCGTCTTAGTGTAGACTTAATAAGCCCATTCTCTACAATTATAAAAATGAAGAAAGACATCTAAGTTACCTTCTGTTCTTCATATGCATCTTTCAAACAAACGTAGTTTGTTACCGCCCTCATTGCTATTGGTAATTTCCCAATCGCTTTCAAATCAATGGGCCTTTTATGAGCAGATATGATAAGCGTGTTCATCCACCAGTATGTTGCTTTTGACAATAAGTTCACAAATGGTTGAAGAAATCGCACGCCCAGATCCTGGAGATCTTCCGGAGGCTTCACTTTCTGAGGATTCATGAAGAATACATATCTCTGTGGCAAGACAAATCCCACAGAATAACAAGTAACTAATTCTCTCCCCACATATTACAAGTAAGATTTTAACCTATTCTACATTTGTTATTTCAAGAACTTTATTTTACCGCCTCCTTCCCTTTCTTTCTGAAATAATCTTTGTAATAGTTCCTTTTCATTGTGGCTAGATTTGCTAAGTTCCAGAATTTCACATTGATTCCACTTGGGGATATTTCTAAAAAAAAAAAAAAAAAAGTATCCATTTATCCATTTAACACATAGTTATCACTAATAATATCTCAGTCTCATAATGTCCTGGGGTTAAGTCTACCAAATGAAAACCTTTACATGATATCCATTTTAAAAAATACGTTATCAACAGCACTGTAGAGACACTCTCTTCCTCTGGGTTCTGAGGTTAACTAACTCCTGTCATCATTGCAGGCTCTCTCTTGCCCTTCAGAGCAAAGTGAAGAACTCTGGTAGAATATGAGGGTGAACAGTCACTAATCTGTCACGTAACACCACAGACAGCATGTGTGAAGCACAGCACACTGCAATCAGAGCAGGCACTCAGCCAGTATCTGTGGAAAAATAAATAAAATCTGGGGTCACACTGAGATTTCAGAACCATGAATGACCCGAAAGCTGGTGATAAATTCAATGTTGTATTTATACACATGCTACGTATGGTTTCATCCTCCTTAAATGACTCCAAGCTGACTGCCATCTTTAAGAATGAGGTCCTGAATCCCATCAAGTCTTCAGATACCTACTCTCACCCGTATGACATTGATCTCCACAGCCATCAGGAGTCCGTTCAAAATGACCATTATGCCTGTGATGCAGAATCGGAGGTCCGATACTCCCCAGCCAGACTGCCAGTACTTAACCAACTTGATGGTTTTTGTAATAAAGGCCATTACCCAATACAGGAAGAGGGCTGGGAAAATAGAAGAAAAGTCTTTTCTTGGCATTTTTAAAATTTCACATTCAAAGTAAATACAATACTTTTTAACAACCAAGACAATTTTAAATACTCTCTTCCCAGAGCTTTAAGAAAATATATATGCTTTGGTGTACTTTTTAAGTTTTGAGCTGAAGTGTGGTAAAGGTTTACAGTTCCAATTCTGACTTTATGAGAGAGAGGAGGAGACAGGTTGTTAAGGATAACCCATGCTCTTAAAAACTGATGTGTGAATGTACAGACTTTGAAATTGATTTTACCATCTGGAGCCACTGCTTGAGGGAGAAACAGAAAGTTGTATGGTGAGAACACATGCTGTTAAAACCTCTAGAGCTCTAGTAATCAAGATAGAAGGAGAAGACATACAAATATAAATAGGTCAAAGCAGAAAACAGAGTCAGGAAATAGCTGGGACTAGAATAGGTGTTTCACTTACTACTTTTACAAAGATTGCAAAGAAAAAAAAGCCTATTCTACAACTGTCGCTGGAACACACGGATATACATTTGGGGAAAACAAAGAAGCCTGGCCTCATCCTCACACCACATACAGTAAATGGCAAGTGGACTCTGGTCCTGAAAAACTAAACTGAAACTATAACATCTCCAAAAGAAAACAGTATGATTTAAACACATTTTTAAGAAACACAAAGATTTCTTAAGACACAGAAACAATAACTATACATCAAAAATGATAATTTATACTACATCAAAATTAAAATCTTCTGCTTATCAAAAGAACCTGCCAAGGGAGAGTATGCATGGCACAGACAATAAGGGAAAAAATTCTCAAAAAATATTTCTGATGACATATAGTCACTTATAAAATACCCTTACTACTCAATATTAAACATGGAACCCAATAAAAAAAATGAGCAAAAGATATCAAAAGCCAAATCACAAAGACAACAAATGGCCAATAAACTCATCAAAAACTGCTCAACATCATTAGTCATCAGGGAAATGCAAATTAAAACCACAGTGCTATCAGTACACACCCACCAGCAGGGCCAAATTAAAAAGACCAAAATCATTAAAAGCTGACCGGCATGTGTAAGAACTGAAAATCCCACACTGTGAGTGAGTAGAGTAAACCTCTTGGGAAGAGATCTGGTGGTTTCTTACAGGCATTCACCTACTTGCCCAGACCCTCCACTCCTAGCTATTCATTTGAAAAGACACACACACACACACACACACACACACACACACATCCACAAAAAGATGTGTCTGTAAATGTTCAGAACGTTTTCCCCCCATCATAGCCTAAACCTGGAATTGGTCCAGGTGACTAGTGAACAGAGCTACTAGTGACCATACTACAGGCCAACTGTAGTGTGTTTCTATAAGAGAATACAATCAAACAAATAAAAGAACAAATTACTGATTGCTACTACATTATGGCAGAGGGAAAGAGGTCTGGCACAAGACTTATGTTGCATAATTCAATTTATGTGAAGTTGCTGAATAGGCCAATCTTAACTATGGTGGAAGAGAAAAATCAGACTAGATGTTGCTTCTATAGAGATAAAAATGAAAAAAATGACTGGAAGAAAACTTGTGTGGATGATGACAGGGTTCTACAGGTACAAGTATTTAGCAAATGAAGATGGCTTACTTCACATATGTAAGTTTTATCTCACAAAAAGAACTACATGCATGTTTAGCTAATGACATGAATGCAGAAGAAAATCAGAGGTAAGGAAAAACATCTGCAATTTGCTTTAAAGATGTATAGAACAAGGAGATGAACAGATTAAATTCTAGAAAGATTAAATATGTGGTAACAAACAAATCTGTAGGTTGAAGGGTGTAGGTAGTAGGCATGTGAGTATTTGCATCATTTTTTCAACTTTTTTGATATATTTGATGATGTTCCTAACATGATGAAATGTAATTTTTGGTTGTGCAATCTTAAAATAAGTACAATTTTTCTAGATCCAAATTTCTCCCTCCTAAAGTAATGAAAAAGCTAGATCATGCTTTATCTCTATAAACCCTTCAGCAGTACTAAAAGTGTGTTCTCTGCCTTGTGTCTACATAAAAATTACAATCAAATTCCTATTGCATTTGCTTTAAAATGTAGTAAAATACACATTTCCCTTCTAAATAAGCATGACTCTTATACCACCATCAGTTTTTTTTTTTTTAAAGAAACTAATTCCCAGCATATAAAATACCTAATGCTATTTTTTCCTGAGCCTATCAGAAAGTTCACTCTTTTGGATGGGAGCATCTTCATAAAGATTTCTGTCACAAAGAGGTTTCTTTTATACATTCTAAGTCCATTTGGACCAGCACAAGTTTCCATTAAGATAATCAAAATTTTACAAACTTAAAATTAGGATTTAACTCTATTTTTAAAATTAAATTACCATTGCTTAATCATGTCATACAATACAGAAATAATCAATTTTCCACTTATGTATTTAAAATTCTAATACCCTTGGAAAAGCAATTAAAATACTTCTGATTTCATTACTATGTTCTCATTTCTGTATCAGTCAACATCATACTCATAACAAATGAAATCTGTAAGTCTCAGAAAATTCTAAACATTCAATTTAATCATACACACACACACATTCTAGAAGATTCCACAGGACCTGAAGTCCATTCAGGATGCATATTCGATATGCATGAGAATGAAAGGATGGGTCAGAGTTAAAAATAATAAATTGGGATGACTTACACTATTTCAGCCTCAAACAAAAATGAAATTAGGAACATATTAGAGAGTTCTTGGTTTCCCCAGGACAAAATGACAAGAGAGGCTAAAGTGATATGGTCAGCTGTGTGGCCAATGCAAAGTCTGGGCTCTGGAGGCAGCCACCTCCCAGGACGGCACCGTCTGCAACCTGCAGTGAACGTGGACTGCTGCATGGAGCAGCCCTGAAGCCACGCAGCCATTCTGGGGCAAGTCTCGCATATCCTGCAGCATCCATGAGATGCACAGACCTGCAAATATGACTCGGGACACCGAGTCACAGCCAGAAACCTGTGGAATCGGGCCAGATGGGGCAGAAGCCTGAACCAGTTCCTTGCTAAAGCTTCAGTTCTTAGAATACAGTTTCCACAGCCCAGAAAGCCAAGTCCATTCTGTCCATTTTCTTCTTGCCAGATACCAGCACATCACGGGGGCCATGTATGGGGCAGGAGATGCCCTGCAGCATGGACTTTTCAATTCTAGAGAACCCCAGTTATCTTCATCCCCACATGTATTACAGAACCCAAGAATGAATGCTGGGTTTCCCTACACAGCCCACACCCAACCCCACTGAAAGTATTTACTATGAGAAGAAGAAAAAAAAAAGCACTGTTTCTTTTGGAGGGAAAAAGAAAAACAGCACTTGACTGTACTTACCTAGAAGTAATTTAGGAAAATTTGATGTTTCGATATTATGGTAATACACTATCGACGTTGTTGTGGCAACAAAGCCCATCACAGCTGGCATGAAGAGGTGGAGGTGGCGTGACTGCTGCCTGCTACAGACAGCAGAATAGTATCAGTGTTCACAGTAAACAGTTCTAGGCATTTTTTCCTATTGTAATCATTAATGCTCTCTCTTAGCAATAAGGTGTCAACAATACAGAATGCAGCGATACCTGCTAAGAGAATGTTAAGGAAAACTGTCATCAGAGAAACAACTGTGCTGAGGTGATTTATCCTACCTTGGAGAGCTACATACACAGACCTACAACAGAGGTTACAATAATAGCAAAAACACAATTACTCCCACCAGGATGGGGAGAACTGCAGAAATAATTCAAGAACAAACGCAAGAAAAAAATAACCAAGTGAATATGAACTGTAAAGTTTGTGGCTACATGCTTTTTCTTTTGATAGCTTTCCTGAAATTCATGCTCAGGATGTTCTCCATTTTCATTCATTCAATTTATGCACATTTATACACCAGATTAGATTATGGGGTGCAACAGTGAAGACCAAAAGATGGTGCCCATGGTCTATGGTCACCGAGTTTGCAGTCCATCAGAGTACAATAGGGGATTATAGCCCAGGTGAAAGGTAGCAGACCTAGTGTCTGAGGCAGAGGAATCTGGTGAAGGAAGTGATTACTGAAAGGAGACCTTAAGAGTGAGGAACTGCTCTTGGGAGGAGGAGAGCAGGCACAGAGGCCAGATATGTTCAAGGGAATTGCAAGCTATTCAGTATGTCTGCAGGGAACTAGATTTCATTGGAGCGTAATAGGCTTCAAGTGCATTGGAAATGTGACAGGATGAGGTTTTGCAGGTATGTGGCTCTTTACTCCACATGTTCAAATATATCAGTTAGCAGTAACAGTTCATTTTTCTCAAATTACTTTAATAGATTAGTACAGAGACAATGGGGTGGAGGGGGTAGGGTGAGAACAATTGGGAGTCATTTCAGACAGGATATGGTTGCTAAGGGGAACTGAGACTTCTGGTTGCTCCCAAATCAGGAAAGTAGTGGCAAAGCTCTTTAATAAAGAGAAAACTAGTAGAACCATGAGACAGTGTAACATGCTCAAAATCCCAAGTAGTGTAATGCCCCTTAAATAGAAAGTCTGAGGGTAGGATGGACCACTCGCCGATTTGTATGCAGTGGTAAGGAGTTCCAGTGTCAGCTTGTGGAAAAATGAAACACATAGCAGTGAGTGGCACCGTCAGGTTTGGGCTCAGATACATCAATGTGATAGAGTGTGAGAAGTTGATGGGGAGCGTGTGTGCTTGAGGAGAAGGGAATGGAAAAGGTAGAAAGCATTCTCACCGACAGGTATACTTCATGAAAGAGAATAGGAAAACCTGGATGAAGCTTTGGCAGCAATTAGCATGAAGGAAATAATACATTTGGAAAAGAGTAATTGTTAAAATGGCCAGCACTTTGACAGTGTTAGGGTACAAGGCGATGGTGATGAAGAAGCAGAGAAATTTATGAGGGGACCAAAGGAGACAGTGGGGTGATCAAGTCAAGTTTTAGGAGGATGAGCAGATTGGAAAAGGAATTTAAAATTTAATAAAATTTCAGTGGAGCTTTTTGGATATAAAGATGTCTGACAAATATGCAAAGGGAGTTTTCTACCATGCAAACCACAAGAGATTTCAACATCACTAGGGGTACATTTAGAACTATGAATATAGACCTGGCAATGCAGATGTGAAAGTACTCTGATAATGTCAAGTCTTCAAAAACCACCTATCAGTCCCAGAAATAATTCAAAGTGAAAAGGTAGGAAATCGGTAAAGAAGTCCTGATCTGTTTCAATGCTCTTTAATTACTAAAATCAAGAAATAAAACAATCAGATACTATTTAAGAAATTTAAGAATAAGCATACCATCCATCAAGGCCTGTAAAATGTGGTCATGGTCGTAACTTTAAGCATATTCAATAAGAAAAAATTACAATAATCAAATTGGTAATTCAAGAAGTTAGAAAAAGAATGTGGAAGTGTAACAGGGTGGTCCCCGGGAAAAGGGGAGATTCTAGGTTCCTTGCCCCAGCCAGAAGGAGGGTGGAGCTGAGCAGGGAGGAGAAGAATCTGGAGAGGAGACTGAGGAGGAAGGAAGCAGAATGGAGAGCCAGAAGGGGACCTGAGGGAGGCACCTGGAGCAGAAAGACGTGTGAAGAAGCTTTGCCTTGTTTCTTGGTCCTGGACTGGTTGAAACAGATGTGGGTGAGAGAATCATGGGGAGGTTCACTATGGCAGTATTTATCTTGATTTTGATTTTGCTCTTTTTCTCCCAGACTTGTCTGGCCATTTCTGACCCTTTTTTATTGGGTCCCTGCCAGAAGGTACTTTAGACTTGTGGCAGGCTGTGGGGCAATCCCTTTAGGATTGGTAGGCTTTTACCTACCAGGGGATGGGTAACTTCAGGTGTTTGATTTAGAAACTATATTCTTTATGCTTGCTGTTTTGCACACTGATTGTACTAAAGTTCCTTTCCATTAAAGGTCTTATGTTTTGTCTTGATGTGGCAGAGAGCAGAACGATGTACAGCGGGCAGGTCTGGGGTTCAGGTGTGCCCCTCTCTCTGCCCTCTAACAGAAACACTTTGAGGGTGGCAGTTATAAAAGGTTGACATAACCAGAAACAGCAGTGCTTAAGTTTTGCATGTACTGTGGCATTTCTTTAATAGGAACTTGAAGTACCTTGTAACCATACCACTATTTTTATTAGGACAGCTACTGTTAGTGCTCTGCCTACATACTTCTATAGACTGAGTGCTGCTCCACCCTTTTCTTCTAACTTCTATTATTTTTAGAGTCTGATTCACAGCCCAGTGTTCTGGCAGAAGCACACACATCCCACTACAGCAGAAAATCTGTAGTCAGAGAGACAGCCAACCAGAAACCATATATAATGGAGGACAAAAGAATAATTTCAAAAAAGAGAAAAGAATAAAAAAACCTACATGAAAACAATAGTAGTAAACATGACAATATGCACCTTAAGAAATTTGATGGATTATTAAATGGCATAAAAATTTTCAACACCCACACACAGAGAGGGGGAACTTTGGTAATCCAACTGGTGAACAATAAACTTATCTCCTACAAATAAAATATTTTTAATCTTCATTAAATATTAATAAAAGATTTGACTACACCAAAAATGTTAGTATATCCCCAAAGCTATTTAATTACATGGTTTAATACGCTTATCAAATTAGATTGAAAAGCAAGCTGGCAATAATTCCTAGGCCTAAGAATATCTAAATCATATCTAGTTATTTAGATAGAAATAAAAGAAAGAGGACATCTTAGAAAAACTTGTGCAAGGCAGGTAAATACTTTCAAAAGAACTATTACTAGGCTTTAATATTTGTGTCACTCAAAAAGCAAATCAAATATTCAGTTAGGAAAGATTTGGCATTGCTTTGTAATTCCAAGAAGCTTTTCTGATATTTTCTCAAGGGTTTATTTAAAAAGAATAAAGAAGAGAGGAATGAGCCGCTATGGAGACTCAGACATAGGTATCTAATTCTTGGGCTACCGGCAACTGAACCAGGGGACCTCCAGCCTTTCTCCCCTCCCTCCAGGTCAGAGGATGATACAGAAGTTTAAGCTCCCAATCACCATCTGGTTGCTTCCCCAAGAAATGGCCCCTATTCTTAAGCATTTCCTAAGGTCATCTCATGAAAACTACAATAGCTGCTTTTAACACTTCAACACTTAGGAAATTCCAAGGGTTTGGGCACCTGTGAGCCAGGAGCTGTGAATGAAGGCCACATGTTCGAGAAACATATTTTAGTCATTTAAGCAACGAAATATACAGACACACACACAACAAACAAACACATACACATATCACGTATATAATATGCACATACTATGCATATATAAACCACAATATCAGAGGTGCCCTTAATGTTAATTATGATTCTGATAGAAACAGTTCCCAGAACAGTAGAGAAAGCAAATCTGATTTAGGTTTCAGAAGTAACTGGAGGGTAACTTTTGAGAAGCCTGGATAAAATGGGGAAGAAGTCTGTAGCTAAAGAACATGAGGGGGAAGATGTATACGCACTTCTGCTTGTTCTTAGGATTGACCTTTTGTTGTCACTGACAGTAAAATAAGTATCTGCCACTAACATATTCCTCATCATTCTTAGTTCAAACTCCTTCATCAATCTCAGAAGTTACACATCAACTACGGAACTGGAAATGCTGCCAATGTGCTATCAGTTTCAGAGAGACGGGGACTATCTAACTTCCAGTTTACACCCACCCAGAAAACCCTCAAGTCAGCCTATGTGTTAAGGGGGTTTTAAAAATCAAGACTAGACTGGCCCTCCCTGGTGGCAAAAAGGGTTAGGACGTAGCACTGCAAGCTAGTCACAGCCACATCAGTGCAAGTTCCATCCCTGGCCCAGAAGGTCGTTGATCTGTCTGTCCTGCTCCCCCCTGTCTCTGGTGAAGCCTCTCACCACCCCTGGCTTGTACCCGAGTTCTGTATGAATAAATAAATTTGTTAAAAATCATTAAAAAAAAAGGCAACTCTGGCAGCCTTTAAAAAAAGAATTTAAGACTAACACAAATACACCACCACATTTTAAACAATTATCAAGTAGATATTAGCCAGCAGGGCTTTCAAATTCTTGGAGACATGGCATATCATTCTCTGATTTTTCTTTTTTTTTTTTTTATCAAAAAATGAAGATGTGCACATAAATGCAGAGAACTGTTATAAAACATTACAAAATAGTTGGCTTGTGACAAAAGCATAGAAGCTCCATTCCCTGTTAATTGCAACAGAAAAGCATAAACAGATGTCAGGGGAGGTTCTTGGTAGATAAGGAGAAAACGATTTTTGGAGCTTTCTTTTTTAAGAACTTTAAGGCCTTTTCATATCAACCCCTCAATAAAAGATGGTTATGAAATGATGACCAACGGTACAAGTTTTCCTATTTCTTGTGTTTATTTTCTGTTACTGTGTGATACACAGAATCCGGAAATGTAGAAGCAGACTGTGGAAATGAGGCCACCAGAGGGGCAGGCATGGGGTGAGAGCAGTTGGGGAGGAAGCACACAGGTGTCTTGGTGGGGTGCCCATGGTAACAACACCCGGGGACGGGGGGATCCCAACCCCTACTACATGAACTATGTAAACCCTGTCATCTCAGCTTTAAAAAAGAATTCACTATAGTCTAACTGCCTCCTACAGACTTCTTACACAAGAGTGACATATTTCCTTCAAAAAAATATGTTTTAAAAATATGTATAGGTTTTAACATGTTTTTTGCAGCAACATGGATGGAGCTGGAAAGGATCATGCTTAGTGAAATAAGCCAGAAAGAAAAGGAAAAATACCAGATGGTTTTACTCATAGCAGGAGTATAACAGACGAGGTGAGAAAACAATAATAATAATGAATATCTAAGTACCAGAGACATTTTATGGGGGTGGACTGGGGAATGGGATCAAAAACAGTGGGGGGAGGGAAATGCACTGGACTTTGGTGATGGCACATGGGTGATTTGGTGATGGGACGCCCACGGGGATTACAACTGAGATGGAAAAATGCACGAAATGATGGAAAAATAAACGATTGAAAAGAGAAAAAATGTATATATAGGTTTTATAATAAAAGTCACTTTTAAGTGAGTGTTTTGCCTCAATTATGTGGCTCATTGCCACTGATTCAGACTTTAAGACCAGCCTCATCTATTTCTGATTTTTACAAAATTAAACATCAGAGAAAAAGTTTTACGTAAACAAGCAGCTGTTATACTTGTCAATATAGACAAGCCTGCCACTTTTACCTATTTTGAAAGATAAGGCGAATATGAATGTTTAAAAGAAGAGAACTTTCTGCAAGGACCCAGAGGAGTGGGCAAAGATACAAAGCAACAAATTACAGGGCTGAACTTGTGTTAGAAGAATGTGACAAACCAAATATATGGGCAAGAGGCCTCATTAAACAAAGTTACGCCTAAATTACTATGCACTCAGCCTCCCAGCCACAATCCATGCCCACATCCCCACCAGCATACTGATCAGATGAAGGAAGACAAGTCACTTACGAATCAGAGACAATGCCTTCTGCTATCTCACAGACATGCACAAACAGGAGCGCAAATGTAAGAATCCATCTCAGGTTATGTCCAGGAAAATGAAGCCATGTATTGTGATGAATTTGTACTTTTGAGCTTTGACTCCCCCACCCTGAAAATAGCAAAAAGGAAAAAATTAATTTACATCGTGCTATGCTTTGGAGGCCTCCAAAAATCTTAATGCTTTCTGGGGCAGCAGTGGAAATCTTGTCTATTTTTGCTACATTAAAAAATAATTTCAGGCCCTCCCTGGTGGCACAGCGGGTTAAAGCACAGCACAAAGAATCATAAGGCACTTCTGCATGAGTTCGATCCCCGCCTGCCCAGGAGATCCACATGGCGAGGCAGACCTCTCCCGACCCACCCACTGCTCCCCTCATCAGTGTACTTCGTCGATCTGCCTGTTCTGCTCCCCACTCTGTCTCTGGTGAATCCTCTAACCCTCCACATCTCTGGCCTGTACCCCAGTTCTGTACGAATAAATAAATCTTTAAAAAAATAAAAATAATTTCAATTAATTTTTAAGCAACTGCTTAAGTTAACATAGTAACACCTGCTAATTGCTCAGGAGTAAAATCAACTGAGGCAAACACTGGTAAATCAGTAAAACTTTATTAGAAGAAGAAAACAACTCTGGGTGACTATGTGGTTATTTCATGCTAATCAGTTCTTTACTGGCAGGTTTCTGATTCATTCAAAGGTGTAAATCAATGCTATTAATAAAAGCAATTTGGTATCTGAAATCTTTTGAGACACAGGATTTGGTGGGAGGATTAATAAAATAATGCTCTATTTGGTGACAAAACACAAGGCTCATTAGATGAGTTACACATAACCACATCTATATAACGAGAGAAAAATGGTAACCTAAGACTATGTCAGCACTGATAGTGGTAATATTTTCTCAAAGAAAGCTAAAGGTTTTTGTTGTTGTTGTTGTTCACTGATTTTTAAATTTTTTTGAAGATTTATTTATTTGTGCATAGTACAGGTCAGAGGTGTAGGGGCGGTGAGAGGATTCACCAGAGACAGAGTGGAGAGCAGAACAGGGAAATTGACGAAGTACACTGCTGAGGGGAGCAGCAGGCAGGTCAGGAGAGGTCTGCCGCGCCATGTGGGTCACCTCCAGGCTGGGATTGAACTCATGCTGAAGTGGCTTTAGCTTCTCAGTGCTGTGCTTTAACCCATTGGGCCACCAGGGAGGGCCAGATGATTTTTTAATTTTTAAACAGGTTTCAATAACACTGAAGGCTTGCTCTTAGATCAGCATTGAAGGAAATACTCAAAATCACATTTTAATAAAACTGGGATGGTTTGCCCTCAAAAACTATAGCTTGCCTATAAGTTGGCTATAAGACCAACTCATAAAAGAAATACTAGGAAATGACCCAGCTCTTGTCTACTCTTGTCACACCATTTTCTCATTTCTTATCTTCAAAGAAACCTTACACACTCAAAAATAAGGGGTGAAATACAGTGCTATCAAGCTATCACCAGCCACTGCAGCAGGAGTTCAGTCCCTGGCCAGGAGCTGACCCACAGCGCAGCAGACCTCTCCTGTCTTGCCCACTGCTCCCCTCAGCAGTATATTTCAGTCAATTTGTCTTTTCTGCTCCCCACTCTGTCTCTGTTGAAACTGTTACCTCCAAGACCTTTGACCTACCCCCCAGTTCGTGTACGTATAAATAAATCTTTAAAAAAAAGAAGTGGAGGCTTGTGCTTGAAATACTGCAGAAGAGATTATCTAGGCAAAGGGAATTTTTGTGTTACTTGTTCCCAAAATTTCTGCTTTCTCACTAACAAGAAGCCAGTGTTATAGACTGCCCTTCTCTGTCATTTTGCTTTTACATGCTTACTCAATTCCACTGCATTTATACGTGTCCACTTTTTCAAAGTTCAAGATTTGCCACTTGATTTTACAAAAAGACCCACATTACTAAATTTTTTTTTTTTTAACAAACTGAAAAGTCTGAAGACAATTTCTGTTCTGTGGCAAGAGGCAAAAAAGCAAATAGATTCAGCTTGGGTTCTGTAGAAGCCATTCCAGGGACAGGGAGCTCAGAGCAGCAAGAGAAGCTCCTTGCCTGAAAGTCCTAGTTCACACAGGACTGTGTATATCACATCAGTCCTGCATTTACTCTAGTGAGTGTTCCTTTAGGTTTCATGTGACTTGTGTCATGGCTTGGCAGGTTAATTTTGTGTGGGACACAAAGTTTTGTCCATTATTATGGTAATTGTTTATTTGCTCTATGTACTCCAGCTTCTAAAAGGTTTCATCACACTACTCTATTCCCGACTCCACCACCCCTTTTTTGTTATTTCTTTTAAATTATTTTAATATATTCATTATATCAACCTTCATTTTTTAAAAAAGATTTATTTATTTATTCATATAGAACTGGGGTATAGGACAGAGATGCGGAGGGTGAGAGGATTCACCAGAGACAGAGTGGGGAGTAGAACAGGCAGATCTATGAAGTACACCGCTGAGGGGAGCGGCGGGCGGGTCAGGAGAGGTCTGCCGCGCCATGTGGATCTCCTCCGGTGCAGGCAGGGATCGAACTCATGAGGAAGTGGCTTAAGCTTCTTAGTGCTGTGCTTTAACCTGCTGAGCCACCAGGGAGGGACCAACCTTCATTTTTTTTTTTTACAAGGTATGGTTTCCTTGTGGAATTCCTACCACCAGCTCACCCGTGCACCATCACCACAGTCCCTGTGCTCTTCCCACCCCTGTCCTGGTCCTTCTCCCTCCTCCTCCCCTACAGAATGACGCCAATCAATAGTTGATTTTTACCTTATTATACTTATTTTTTTCTGATTTCTTTTTTGTTTTCTCTACTTTTTAAAAGGTTTTTTTTTTTCTATTTTTACATAGAAGAATGGAGGTGTTGACCAGAGGTATGGGGAGTGAGAGGATTTGCCAGGAAGAGTGGGGAGCAAAATGACAGATCTACTGAAATACACTGCTGAGGGGAGCAGCAGGTGAGACACAAGGGCTCTGCTGTGCCATGTGACTCAGCTCCCTGGCTGGGATCCAACTCAGTAGTGACAGTGCTAATACTTAACACAGAGGCTACCAGGGAGGCCCAGGAATGCTCTACTCTTGAATATGGGGTAATAGGATGGATGCTTTTTCTAGCCTCTGCCTTCAATGTTAGAGATACGAACAGGTCAGTCATTACGATTGCTCTCAAGTCGTTAAACAGGATGTCAAAAATGAGTTATTAATTATAAAATAAAAAATCTACCTTCAACTTTTGGCCAAAGGGCTTTTATTTTTCTGGGTACAGGCCAGAGGTGCAGGGGCGGTGAGAGGATTCACCAGAGACAGAGTAAGGGACAGAACAGGCAGATGGATGTGGTACACTGCTGAGGGGAGCAGTGGGCAGGCCAGGAGAGGTCTGCCACGCCATGTGGGTCACCTCCGGGGCTGGGGATGGAACTCATGCTTCAGTGGCTTTAGCATCTTAGTGCTGTGCTTTAACCTGCTGCACCACCAGGGAGGGCCCCCAAAGGACATTCTTAATGCAAATAAACAACTAGTATTTCTACATATGGCCACTGTCGTCCAGATACATTTATTATCTGTGCACTTGCACAACATGAATAACTATATACAAGAGCAAACTGGCGATATGTCATGTAACAGAAATTCTTTGGTCATTGTTAGAATACCAGGCATGTAGTAGTGTCGCAATACCTGTTAAATGAGAAAAGCATCCTGATTATTTTTAAACCTTTCTTTATAACAGAAAGAAGTTCTGCTGACTCTAAGAAATCCAGTCTTACAACTTTGTTGTTTATTATTTGGGAACAAAATCACACATGGGAATATTAAACACCAAATCCACACCAGTGGTTACTTCCTGGATGGGAGATGCAGGATGTGTGAAGAGGAACAGGATCTGGAAATATTCTTACTGAAATTCCTTAAGATGAATGTTGGAGGGCCCTTGTCGGTGGCACAGTGGGTTAAAGCACCGCACTATGAAGCTGAAGTTGGCAGCCACTGCAGCACGAGTTCAATTCCGAGCCAGGGAGGTGACCCACATGGTGTGGCAGACCTCTCCTGACCTGTTCACTGCTCCCGTTAGCAGTGTACTTCAGTAGGTCTGCCTCGTCTGCTCCCCACTCTGTCCCTAGTGAATCCTCTCACCTCCCCCCATCTCTGGCCTGTATCCCAATTCTTTTATGCTTAAATAAATAAATCTTTAAAAAAAATAAGATGAGTATTGGCAGTTCAGAATAAGATGGATGCTGGTAGTCTCATTCTTACATATGGAAAATATTTTACAATTTTAAAGTCTAAAGGTCTATTTTTGTTGTAATCTTAGAGTAATTAAAATATGTGTAATAGCTCTAACTAAATGAAGTTTGTCTATTTTTAGATTTTACTTTTTCTTCCTGAAACACCACCTCTCCCACCAATTCCCTGTCCGTCTTAACTGGCACACTCTATCCTTTCAAGTTTCCAAAGTCACTCACTATGTTATCTTTCCCAGCAGCCCCAAGGTGAGTTATTTTTTACATCAGCTTCTAGTCCCAGATAATCTGTTCCTCTATCTTTAAGTGGGTTTAGGCAGTTCTCTTGACTTTGATATAAGGCTTCCAGCACAATTCCAGTGTCCCTTCCACGCAAGTCCTGCCTGCCTTACAGCCCTTTCTTTCTCTGCACCTAGAACAAAGCACTGCTGAACAAATTCTTCAGGTCCATCTATTTCCTCCTTTTAGCAAACTGCTGTTACTATTTGAAGTTCGTTTCTAAGAAGGCAAGTGACTTCTCATTTACTACAGTGTCATATGCCAAAAAAAAAGTAACTGGAAAACATTAAATGACTTGTTCTTTTCATACAGGTATACTTAACTGTTTCCATGATGGAAAGATTAAATCAACAGGAGAGCAAACCTCAGTTAAGAAGATCTTTTAAATAAGCAAATGTTAAGGAACAACCTTTACACATTAAAATAAACAGAACTAAAAAATAAAAGTGATGTGCGAAAGGACAGCAGATTACTTACCAATAAACAAAATTGGAAAAGTAATAAACAGCAGGAAGACATGAGGGACCAGGTTGAGGGCATCCACAAAGCAAGGGTTTTGTAACACACCATCACAGATGTTGTATGAAGAACTGTTGTTACCACAGAATGAAAGGCTCATTTCTTCTTATGTAGTTTCCTCTAAAAGAGAGAAAAGAACAAGGACTCATTATGAAATTCTGTCATAAAATGATAGCCCAAAACAAGTGTAATTTGATAACACTTATCCCTCTTATTTCTGCAGCTGAAGATATAGGGAATTCTATACCAAAGTCACTTGTGCATTTCTTATAAAGACATTATACATTCTAGAAGGTCCATTTTTCAAGTCTTTTTCAGAAAAACATTTAATTTGAATTTGGAAAGTATATAATAGCTACTCTCTACCAACAGTGGTACCTCAAAGGAGTATTTGCCTGACAAAATGATTATGAAGAACAAAAAAGGTGACCTCTCAAGAAAGAGGGGAAAAAAAATCAGTTTTGACTAATAAGTCAAAATGACAGCATGTCAAATACTTCCTCATGTTCATTCTTTGAAATTACTATACCAGTAGTTTTCGCTAAACACCATTCACAGCAGCCACCCAAAGAAAATAGCAAGCAAAGAGACTGACATGGCAGCAAACATCCTTTTTCAGAATATTAAAATCCAGTGCTTAAGACAAATTAAAGACAGTTCAAGTGAATGAAACCTCTCAAGTTCCATAGTGAGAAAATAGTCTTACACGAAATGAATCCTACTCAAGTTCTGAAAGCCAAGATATTTTTACATCAGAAATCTGCACTGCACTAGAGCAAAATAGATGAGATTCAGTAGGAAACAGAACAAGATCACACATTTTGTTCGCCATTGCTGGACCTTTGGCTTCTACTTGGGGGAAACAGGGTCATAGAAGGTTTTTGGTCAGAGAAATGATGTGCTCTGACTTACATTTTAAATGAACTCCTCTCTTTTCTGTGCCAAAACAGACACCTAAGAACCAAGGTGTTTCCAATCAAATATGAGTGTGAAATTCCAATGAGTTGTAGCATTCTGGAGACAGCTTTTTAAATGCCTATTCTCTATTTAGCACTTACTAAATTCTGGACACTTTGCAGACATCATCCTAACTACTCAGAACATCATGCAAGGTTAGTGAAGTTATTCTCCTTTTTCACAAGAGGATATTGAAGTTCAGAGCCAGTTAGTCACTTGCCAACAAGGCAAGTGGGGAAATTTACACCCCACTATACATGTCTATCTATAAGTGAGGTTCCTCCCACTGCCATCACATAGCCTCCAATCTAGATTATATATATTTACGTTACTGTTCATTTTACAACAATGTTTATGAAAATATCTGGGATCTTCCCTGGTGGCACAACAGCTGAAGGCATAGCACTAAAAGCTGTCTGCAGCCACAGTAGCACTAGTTCGATCCCTGGCCGGGGAGTTGACCCACATGGCTCAGCAGATCTCTCCTATCTCACCCACTACTCCCCTCAGTAGTGTATTTCAGTAGATCTGCCTGTTCTACTCCCTGTCTCTGGTGAATTCTCTTACCCTCCCACACGTCTAACCTGTACCCCAGTTCTTATATGCATAAACAAATAAATCTTTTAAAAGAAAACATCTATTTATTCTTCTTAAAATAAATGGGAGTTCAAGATTTTCACTTCATTGCACTTTCCTTTATTCTCCGTATTTATTTCACACTGGATTCTGAGTAATATTATGAAAGGTTGGCAAGTTTGAATAACTAAAGTAGTATCTTTTGATTTAGCAATGATTACTAAAATATTTTTCCTAGGAAGGAGTGTTATTCAAAGAAGATGGACAACAGGTTAATCATGAGAGAAGTAAAATTTCAAATGAAAGTTATAGAAAGCATCAGGTGACCAGAACAATTAGGCAGAAAGCCTTTGTGTTTACAGTCTGTAAATGTTTATATAAAATTCCTCTCACATATTATTTCTGATAAACTCCCTTTTTGATAAATCACCAGTATGCTCTCTAGTTGCAACAATTTCTTATCTTTAGAAAAAAGTTCTATTTTTAAAAAATACCTTGAGATGAAGTTATATACTTGTTAAATTCTTAAGTCGTTAAGTTTCTAAGCTGGAGGAAAGAACTGAAAAGGACATGAGTTTCTAAAAATAACAGTAAATGGAGGTCATAATTGTGTGTTAATGAACTTCTGGCAAAGACAGAAAAGATAGAAACTTAAAAAAGCTAGTGATAGAATTTCTAAGAGTATTCCTTTATTTAGTAGAAATAATACAAGGAGACTTTAAGTCCACTCTAATCGAAAGACAGGAGTAACTGTTTCCTGGAAGGAGTCAGATAATTTTTACTTTAGCTAGTTTTATAACTGTATCCAAAATTATAATGTTCCAGTTGGTCACATTTATAAACTGTGATATTTAATTGTTGTCATTGAGCCAGATGCTGCAGTATAAGTTGCATCATATACTTTGAGATATCAGCACTGCCTCATTTTTAAAAAAGATTTATTTTTTTGTGCAAACAAGATCTAGGGTACAGGCCAGAGGTGCAGGGGTGGAGGGGAGCACTGAGAGAGCATTCGCCAGAGATAGAGTGGGGTACAGAAAAGGCAGATCAACTCAGATACACTGCTGAGGTCTGCTGCTTCATGTGGGTCTGCTCCCTGGCCAGGGATTGAACTCATGCTGCAGTGGCTGCTGACAGCTTCATAGCGTGATAGCGCGGAGACTTAGCCCTTGTGTCATCAGGGAGGCTCCCAGCACTACCTAATTTTTAGTCACTTGTGAAATCTATCAATTTACCTTTTGAAAAATTCCGTAAGTGTGGAAAGCAACTATCAAAGAAAGACAGCACCCTGAAAAAGTCAAAGAACATTTCCACCACGTATCTGATGTCTGGTGCCCCATGTTCTGGCTAGCACCAGGAATCCAGATGAAACTAACGGCTTTGGCAACATTACAAACTCTGCTCTAAAAGATAGGAACATATATAACATAATCACACTAAAGGAAACACTTGAGATTAGTTAAGTAAAAGCTTTGAATGATCTCCACCTGCCAGCTTCTCCAACCTCTGTCACCAGTTCAACAAGACACGCTTCTATTTTCGCCTTGTTCTCCATCCTTTTCCTCTTGACCCTTAGCCTTTCTTCCTCAGCACGCACCGTGTAGATGGCATTTCTAACCAAAGCCTATATTTTCACCTAGAGTCCACAAGGAGTGAACTTATTGTAGAGTTGTTGACATTGTATTCACCAAAGCTATTTTATTCAGTTGGGATATCTAATTCTTCTATCTTCAGTTATCACTTAGTATTTCCCTCCCAGAGTCCAGGATAACCAAGGCAAGCTTAGGAAAGGGTATGACTTGCAGCTCTTGCACACTGACCTGTGTCACGTGACTCCTCAAGGCCCTCCCACTCCTTCCCCCCCAACCCTGTCATTCAGTTAAGCACAGAGGCCCAAGCATTAGGGCCAAGACAAGAAAGGCCAGATAAGATAGAGACATGGCATTTTTCTCCCCATAGCAAAAGCCCACAAATGGTTCATGTTTTATGACAACCTACAGGACTGAAGAACTAGACTGAAGATAAAGTTTAAGACAACACCCAAAGTGAAACTTTGATTACAGGGATGATCTAGAGAGGAGACAAAATAAAAGAAAGTAGTCCTTGATGACCGAAACTTACGGCAAGAAAGTATGCAGTGTTCTCATACCCCACCATGCACTGTGTGGACCTTACACAATTTCAATTCAGTTGACAAATATTAAGTAGGTGAAAACTAATACCCTGAGCTTTTCAGCTCACAGTGTCAATTCAGAGGGGATAGCAACCCCAGAGAATTGAAAACACTGACAACACCTGAAGAAAACACGCTAAAAGTAATATAAAAGCTTTCCTTCTTACATACAAGAATATGTTTCACCAAATTATGTCACGCAAGAGAAACATGGCACTTTTAAAGATCTTATTTAGGGTTGAGTTATCTAAGGTATTTTCAGAATCCGCCTGCTTACAAAAACAAATGTAGTAACTTCTTTGAAGTTAGTCAGTAGACAATTCATAAAGTTTTTCCTGCAAGATGTGTCTGTCTGTCTGTCTGTATGTGAAGAACAGGTCCACGTAGGAAAATCACTGGCAAACATGACCAGACCTCTGATGTAGTTTCTGATCTGAACGCACCCAGCTCAGCCCCAGCGCACACCAGCGACAATGCTGCTACTCCTTAGCAGAATAAGATTTCTTAGACACGCACACCAGTGGGATTCATGATTAGTTTTTGGTTTTAAATTCCAGACTGGTCAAATAAGTCCACAAATAAATACCTTGGGCTGTCTCTTGAAGTTGCTTCAACCCGCTACTGGAACACTTGCTCTAGAGACCTTCAAAGCACCGTCTTCCTACACTATCTTAAGCGTAAACTTCAAACCGGGAGGCAAAACGAACAAGCAGAGAGTAACAAAAAGTAAGTAGACAGAATAAGCTACTCCATGAACGGACGATACAACACTTCTAAGCGAAAAATAAGGAGTGATAACACCTGGCGAGATTTCACTTGATTCAAGTAGGAGAGGACAGCGTTTAGTAAGTAAAGCTGGAAACCTGATCCCCATGCCCTCCCTGCTCAGGATCCTCCATCCTAGAAATAGTGACTGGGCCGGCAAAGCTCCGAGAGCGCTCGGCGCCTTTGGGACCAGAAATGTTAGCTCCCCGTCAACAGCTTACAGTTATTCTTAAAATGTGTAAATTATATTTATGTAAAAGACACGGACTCACTTACTCCGAAGGCAGACTTTTCCTCCCCTGGCCGAAGTACGCAGTGCGCCGGAGCGGATTATTTTTAGGGTGGTGGGAGATCAGCTGCCTCCTATCGAGTTTCTAAATTGCACAAACTGCTCTAGGCTGGGCGGACACGGCGACTCCGGAGGCAGGAAACTGGGCAAAAGCCCCGAGCGCAATGCCTGGGACTGGAGACCCTCCCCACCCCCGCTCAGCCCCACTTTCCACCCCGGACCAGCAGACTTTGGGGCACGGATGCAAAGATTTTACAAACACAAGCAATTATGTGTTTTCCCCCAGCCTCATTAGACACAGAAACTTGTCATCTCTGAGCCAGTGATTTACGGAGTCGGGTTTTCAAAGTCAAAATGAGCAAGGTAGTAACTTACATTTGTACTTCTCCCCCCAACGCCCCCCCCAGTCGCCCTACCCCCCCTCATCCTCTAACCGAACCCTTTTGTTAACCACATAAGGAAGCACATTTGGGGGTTTCACCATTCTCTCCTAGGCAGAACCCAGGAAATGAACTCCTTCCAGGCAGAGGAACCCGCTGCCGCCCTGTGACAGTGTGTGGAGCGTGTCACTAATTGTCCCAGCAACCGGGTAACTTGGTTACTCCTCGGGACAGTCACTGTGCTACTCAACAAGCCCTTTCCCCTAGCTCCCCCAAAGTGGGGCTTTGGTTCCCATGGCTGCTCAATTTTCCCCTCACTCTTGCTTTTGACCAAAGAGATAATTAATTTCCAAGTAGAGAACCAGTTTAAAATACAGCCATCCCCTAATGACTGCCCCCAGGGTGCAAAACATAAATTTTGTCACAGGCAACCCTCTTTCGTTTACACTTAGGTTGTTTTGTTGTTGCTTGTTTTTATTTATTTTTCCTCTCGGGCTACTTCTCAGTCAGTTTGAATAATCTTTGTTTTCATTCACTGTTTGAACCTGATAAAGTATGGACCCCCAGTAGAGGCTGGTGCCTGTGAGGCTCCATGCCTGTTCTCCAAAGAGTGGGAGCTCCAGAATTGATTCCCCCTACCTGAACCATATATGCCAGCACCACCAACACCCCCCTCCCCCACCAAGCTCCCCTGGATTTTATGGGCGGAGGCAGACTCTCGCCAGGCAGACCTAAGGGCGCCCCCCCCCAAGTTCCTGCGTGCCTTGGGGAGTGCGCCCTGCAGGGGCCCTGAAACTTGAGCCCGCACCGCTAGGGGTATGCAAGGCTTGGTGGGGAGCACCCACGAGAGCACACAGACTCCAGCTATTGAAATCCTGGCAAACAACACTAGAACTATTTGCGAGGAGGCAGGCGCTGGGAGAAGAGCACAGTGCCCTACAAGTGCAGGGAGGCAGACTGTGGATGGACTGGGAGGAAACTCAGGGAAGCTGCCAGAAGGGAGGCTTGAGGTTCCAGGGGCTTCTGCGCTGGAGAACAAAAAAGAGCGCACATGAATTCTCAGATGCAGACTCTAAGTGTGACTACTACGGGATTTTTATTGTAAAATCGCATTGACCTTTATTTTTAAATTGGCATTATTATTCCAATCATTTGTAATGATTAAAAAGCTATGCTGTTATAGAAACTTTAGAAATTTTGGAAAAGTGTAAGTCCCCAAACCTATAAACTATCATAACTGCGTGTGTTGTATTTAAAAAGAAAAAGGACACAGTGAGTGATTCAAGGCACCTTGATCATCAAACCCTGTCGCTGCACACTGAGCCCTGAGTCTTGGACACGTTGAGTAAAAGCTCTGCCTCACTTTCCTCATCAGTTGAATGGGACAAAACAAACTATCAATCCTAGGCTCCAGGTGAGGGTAACTGAGGCAATCCTTTTAAAGTGCCCAGACCATTTTAAAGCCCCTCCAGTAAAAGCAGAACCCTTTGTTATCCTTATTCCATTTTAGACAGTCACAAAATAATTTGTCTCCTTACAGTAGCCTTAAAGCAAGTACCTTCCAAGGGTATTTTAAAGGTCTTATAGAAATGCTATAAATTATTGCATGCTAGTTCATTGCCACACGACTATAATTCCAAATCCATTTCTGTTGCTAGACATGTCACTGTCCAATTTTCACAACCCTTTGGTGTCCTAAGATGAATTTTTTTGAATCAAGATTGTTCTCTTTACAGTGGGTTAATTTGATACATTTCTGAAAAGGACTTAAATCATAAGGAGTAAATATTTTTAAGACTGTGGGGATAGAATGCAGAAGTACTTTCCTAAAACATTTCTACTAACTCCCTCCTTCCCTCCCCCCAACTGTGTGAAATGGCCTTCCATAAACTTAAGCACTGACTGGTTTTCTGTTTAGTCTTGTCTCTGGACAGGTAACATGCAATGTTCTGGTTTTGACAATCAGCATTTTGCTCACATGTACATTTATCTTCATAATTGTGAACAGCTTGTTCACATACTTATCCATCTCATGGAAGTTTTTATTTGCATGAATTTTTAATAGGATATTCATCTTCTGTCAAAGATGACACATTTTTTCCAAGTTGTCATTAAAAAAAGGATATTGGTACTGCTGTTTGAAAAAATGAAAACAACTGTTTTCACATCTTCTCCAGAATTTTGTAGCACACATCATGAACTCCACTTCCTGGGGGTCACAGATCTGTGGTGAGTCACCTGTGGAGGGTCTGCTTCATGGCGCCTCCTATGGAAAGATTGACACAGCAAAGTGCGTCTATTTGCCACTGCACTGTATGCCAGTGTCTTCCCTTGTAAATATTAAACTTCATCTGTATTTGTTCAAAAACTTTTTATTACTCTCTTCTAGAATTTATTGCTGTATAAGCCATGGGATGATAACCTATATTAAAGTTTTATTCATTATACCAATACTCTTCACTGAGTGATCTTGTGTTCAAAAATGAAATACCACATGTGATTATTTGGTAACATTTGTTACAGAACTACTTATTTCTTTCGACTGATGCATTTTTCTTTTTTTTTTTTCTGTTCTGTTAACACAGCAGGTAGATTTGATTTTTTATGGTTTTGTATTGTGTAATATTTTCTTAGCTGTTCATTTTTGGGAATTTTATTAAATCCAGGAATTATTTTGTTTTAGCTCTAGGTCTTTCCATCCAGAAAATGATTTTCCATGTTTGAAAGTCTTTATTACAAAATTAAATTTATATAGATCTATACATTTCTTTTAATAATGATACAAATTTCTTTTGTTTTCATATTTTGTACTGCTATTAATAATGCATTTAGAATTTATAGCAGATGTTTATTTTAATATTCAGCACTTTACTAAGCTTTTTCAATCATGGTAGTGCTCTTTTACTGTGATTGTATCTTCAAACTGAGGCACACTTGTGTTATGAACTGAATGTTTGCTTCTCCCCCAACCTTACATATTGAAACCTTAAATCCCAAGAGGATGGTATCAGGAGATGGGGTTTTTCAGAGGTAGTTACAGGATAGGTCCTGAGGGGATTCACCTCCATGTGAGAGAGAGACTAGGGCTTGCTTTCTCTGCTCCCTGTCATGAGGCCTACAGCAAGCAGGCAAATGTTAGCCAATCAGGAAGAGGGACACTCACCAAGAAACCCATCTGCTACCTTGATCTGGACTTTTTAGTTTCCAGAACTGCAACAGATTAATGTTTGTTATTTAAGCTACCTAGCCTATGATAATTATTTTTAGCTGCCCAAAATGAGTAAGTCAACTTATTCCCACTTTCAAATATTTATAGCTTATTTGTATTTTACCCACTCTATATTCCAGTATAGTGTTAAAAAAAAAATAGGAGACAAAATACTTGTTTCTGTTAGAAATATATATAATAGATTTGAAAATCAACCTTTTAAAGTATAGTTTTCATGAAATAAAAATCATTCAGTACAAATGTAAATCCAAACTGTTTTGATACCCTATGATGCAGAATATTTTAATCTCCCCAGGAAATACTCTTGTTTTATTTCTAGAGTGAATCATCATTATTCACTGTGGACAACCACTAATCTGGGATTTATCACAGAGATTAGTTTTATGTAGTTAGAAGTGTCATGCAAATGTAGCCATAATGATGGACTCTTGCTCTTAGGGGTCTTCTTTGACCAGACATGTTGCATTATATTTTTTTAAGATTTATTTATTTATGCATATAGAACTTGGGTACAGGCCAGGGATGCAGGGGGCGGTGAGAGGATTCACCAGAGACAGAGTGGGGAGCAAAATAGGGAAATTGACAAAGTATACTGCAGAGGGGAGGGGGATGGTCTGTCAAGAGAGGTCTGCTGGGCATCATGTGGGTCACCTCCGGGGTGGGGATCAAACTTATGCTGAAGTGGCTTTAGTTTCTTAGTGCTGTACCCTAACCGCTGTGCCACCAGGGAGGGCCGTAATATTTTTGAGATGGACCCTTGTTACAGGTACCATCAGTTTATTCCTTTTTATTTCTGAGAGCTTCCTCATCTGAACATTCCACAATTTGTTTATCCACTCACCTATAGATAAGTGAATACATTCAGTTACTTCCAGTCTTTGACAATTAATAAAGTTCCATTGAAAATTTTGTAAATACAATTTTTCTGTCTCTTCAATAAATTCCAAACAATGAATTTGCTGGATCTTAAGGCGGTTATACATTTAACCACTAAAGTGACTGAAACACATTTCTTCCAGAAAACTATGAGGGTTCTACTTGTTCTATAATCTTGACAGCATTTAGAATCCTCAGAATATTTTTACTTTTATTCTTTTTCTGGGTGTAAAAAAGGTTACTAGTGTCTTAATTTCCTTTCCTTCGCCTCCCTGGTGGCCTAGGCAATAAGTCTCAGCACTACCTCCACAAAGGCCCACAGCAATTGTCTGAGTTCGAATCTGGCCCAGGGCACTAACCTACAGGGCACAGCAGACCTCTCCTATTTCACCCACTGCTCCCCTCAGCAGTGTAGCTCAGTAAATCTGCCTGTTCTACTCCCCCACTCTGTCTCTGGTGAATCTTGCCCCTTCCCAATCTGGCCTATACCCCAGTTCTATGCAAAAATAAAATCTTTTGAA